AACATATTCCAACATAAAAAGTCATTCAGAAAACTCATGCATTAGAGCTCTTAGTATTTATAGAAACATACATGAAAACGTAGTTCTACAACTGGTGATATTCTGACTCCATTTCAAAACCGACATTTCATACAGTGTTTACAGTGCACAGTGTTTAAGACTAAATTGAGAAAAGTTGTTAAAATAAATATGACATTTTCTTTGCCAACGTTAAAATTGTCAAACAAGAAAATTTGTCATCAACTTTAAATTGTTTCAGTTCTTTGTTTGATAGTGTGGTCTCGTAGAAACATATAAATGTAAACCTATCTTCGTTCAGTAAATAATTTCATTAACTTACGCTCTAGGCACTTTTTGATCTTAAACCTGTACAATCTAGGTTTATAAAATTGCAAAATGTTATACATATTTGGCGCAAAATTAAAACCATAATTATATAATTTTTAATCGGTTAGAATAACAATCCCAGTCCAAAAGCATTCAGGTAAAGTATAAACGTGTCTGAATTGTGTAGACCAAAACCTTGTAAAAACGATTCTTGCTATCCAAACTTGAAGAAATAATGTGAAAATAGTGATTCAGTTCATTTGTAATGCATTGACTCAATGCAAGTGGTAAATGTAGCTGTGTTTTCAGCATATTAATTATACCCTCCGATGCCACGCACACAGTATGATTCAGCACAAATATTTCTCTGACGAGCGCGAAGTTTTTACCACGCGGTAAATGAAAATTCCAACTAAAAGTGCTTCTTATTGGCGAAGTGGTGGTTGTTGTAACATAGATAATATTTTTGGTTTTACTCATTTCAAAATGATAAAAGTTCTATAAAATGAAAAATGGTAATTTTCTATAGCGGTGGCATTTGTTCAGAACAGGTTACACCAATGACAGAAAGAATAACGTAAATAACTTTCGTATGATTTTTGAATGAAATATTTCTCATTCTGGAATAAAATCTTTTCTCTCGACCCAAGATTATGTCGTAACTAATGCTTTTAACACATGTTTTATTTTTCTCGACGATAGTGTCATTCAAGTGAGTCAGCTCACTTTTCACACAAATATTTTTTGAAAGATTTTGTCTATCGTAGTGTTTTGTTAAAAAACAGTTTGCTAGCTAAGATCGCTTTAGAGAAATTGAACATAAGAAAATAAAACTTGTTCAGTTGGACAAAATGATTTTTATCCTTTCACCAAACGAACATTGCATATAGTGTAAGAATTATTGGGAAAATCAAATATTGTATTAATTTAACATTAAACAAGAAAGTATAGATTGTTGTAAAACATACCATTTGATTTGAACAAACGTTTGCTTTCTCTACGTACTGCTACACTTGCTCTTGTGTAACGTCTTTCTTCATCCGTATTCTTAAATAAATTGCACTTGCAATGTTTATAAACACAGTTTTGTTTATGTCCTTTAACATTTACGAATATTTCGTGATTTCGGCATTTCCTACATTTGGGAGGACTCCTTCTCTTGCTTCTGACTTTGCTCTGACTCTTTGGCATTTTTTGTAATAAAACCTTGACAAGCCTCTAGCGCGTCACGATGAAGAATGACCACAAACGAACAAATCAAAACTTATGTAGGATATGCAAATAGCATAATTACGATGACGTATGGCGATGACGTATGGCAAATAGCATAATTACGATGACGTATTGTCTATATCCCCAAAATTAGCATATTCTTCATGATAAAATTAATGCTGTTTGTTTTGTCAAATTACTTACACCATGACAGAACAGAAAACTAAACCACTCTATCACCAGGTGAGAGGAGAATAATCAGAAGATCTTAAAGATAACATTGGTGATATAAAAAAAAGGCTTTTATATATAAAAGCCTTTTTTTTATATATGAAACACTTTTCCACTAACTAGAATGACTTTGAGACACCCCATGCTTTCTTTAATGACTAAACTAAAACTGAACTCTATTCAAAAGTAAGAATTGTAATGGATAAATCATAGTCGGCTTTAAATTCAGTCTTGCACAGGTGGTAATTGTTGCTGAAAAAAGAAAGTAAAAAGGAAGTTATTTATATTAATGAGCGAAACATTGTTCCGTTTAATGGATGATATATTCAAAAATAATATATTCAAAATCATCGACACTGCCGACACCTTAAAATGAAAGAAGCACTCTACATTAATAAAACTAACCCTGACCTTAATGTTCAAATTTTTAAAAATTCAATACAATATTTAGTTTATAATACTCTCGGACGCTCCCCAATAATTTATCTTATTTCCTTTTTATTGTTGCAATTATGTATCACATTACTTTTATATAAACTTTGTATCATTTATTATTTCTCTTATACTGAAGATGGCATCATGAGATAATGAAACATGTCTATCTTAAAAAAACTTGTCGTGTATAATAAATGCGGATGATATATTGTTAATCTGCCATGCGTGCGCTTGAATAGTACACAAATGACTAGTACTATATCACAATTTGTTGCTTGAGTGGTTCAGAAACAAGTTTGTTCTTAAAGCTGAATGTAGCTAAATATTATATACATCAAATTGATTAATTTTATTTCGGTGTTTTTGGTGTTTTTTATAGCTTAAGCAGAATCATAATCTGTTGTGCCGGTTTTGCGTGGAAATAGTTACAAGACATCACACCTCTCTTTTTTCTTCCTATTTTCTGTTCAAGGCAAGTTGAAATATTTTCTTATTCGCGCTTTTTGTCTTTGAGGAAATGTTTGATGGTTCATATCCACTAAAAGAGACCTAATGAATGTTGTTCATAGATTAAATACCTAAAAAATTCAGAAGTGTAGCCTATATTTAAGGAATACAATTGTATAATAATTTATTTGAATAAAATTTGTTATCTTCAACATAAACTTAGCTGCATGGCCTCTATATTTGCCTAGAGTTTTCAATATCCGAAAGTATCTTCATTATTTTTTCTTTCTTTATAAAATGACTTATTTTACTATAGGCGTACACAAATATTTGGATTACAGAACCTGTGGTAGGACGTACTAATCAAAAGCTGTATTCACGTTTATATTCCGGCGTTTTGGAGACAAAATGTAGCATACATGTATTACTTCATTTACATTAAATTTCCTTAGTTTTGTACTATATTTCGTACTGTGGTTTTTACGGACTATTATAATTTATCCCATAATATATGATTGTTATTAAAGATATAAGTAACTAAAAAACAAGAAATCTTTTAAAGGATCTTATATAATCTCATCGGACACTTTTCCGTTCTGTGAACACTTTGTAAAAACATGATGGCATATCTCACTAAAAAATTAATTAAAAGACAACATTGTAGCCAGTTTCAAGTTGGAGAACAGACGATTCTTTTGCTTGCATGCGTGGAATACAAGCCCTGTTGTATAAATTTCTTTGCTGTAGTATAATAGAGCGGATCTTAAAAATTATCAAATGTATTAAACAAAGTAATACGATTGCATAAAGTTTTCATACAAACAGGAAGTCATTTATACTGAAAAATTTCAAGTATTTGTTACTTTTGTTTACTCTGCACGTATCTTTCTGCGTTATATCAGTTTGTTATTTATAACATTGCGATGACAACTGCATGTACAATCTGGTGCTTGCAAATTTTGGTGCTTTTGGTCACCTACATTAGAAACTGGTAATTTGATAAAGCAGCAGAAAAACCCTTCATGCTAACAAACAATTTTTGAACTGGAAATAAAAAGACCAAAAACATGAGTGATTTATAGTATAAAACAAATTCTGAAGAAGCAAGACATCTTAAGATTGCAAAATATGCATCAAAACAAGACGAGAAGTGAACTGTAAATTTTCGACTTTATTTCAATACTATCCTCAGACAGAATGATTTGAAAAAGTAATGTCCAAGACTATAATAAAGTCTTTGTCATTTTATAAGATATCAGCCCATTTAAAGTTCTGCAAAATTAGCGCTGATTACAAAGAAAAAAATGTAGAAATTTGTTTTATGAGCAAGGTGTCATTATCGGCTTCATATATGAACAAAACAAACAATGATAAAATGGCATAATTTCTTTAACAGTTGTGCAAGCTATCCACAGGAAACGTACTTGGTATTTGGTGATGGAAATGATTTAACAAATGTCTGAAATTTGAGAAACATTTGATATGATACTGTTACAATACAAAGCTTCGTAGGCAATTCTTTTTAAAAAGATATCTCATACTTATATAGAATTCTATACTGCTCTAATGTATTCTAGAGACTATACCTCTGTATAACTGAACTTTATGGTAAATTAAAAGATACATAAATATATATGAAATTATTGTTTTGCTTATTGAAAATTATTTAAAGTGAAACAAAAAAAACGTTATGAGATTAGAAACAAAACTTGGAGCTTGCATAAAAACACATAATGTATTTCGCCTTAATGCTGCCTAATTTGACATTTAAATCAAATTGTGTTCTTTATCAGTAGCTGAAGATATGGTAGCACTTAGCAACCAAAGATTGTCTAAAGCATTTTATAGGTACAGGCTTGCCTCTTAATTGAAGATGTGGAGAATTCCCGCTGAACATACAAAACACCTTGTAATCGATGTTTTATTCTATATTTTGGCCAAGCATAATATTTTTAGACAAGCATGTATTCGAGGCATTGGCAAAATGACTTATATTTACATCAAAGATTTATTTTTTACATTTCTTGTATCATATTGGCGGTAGCAACCTAACAATATGTCGGCAAGTGTGAAATAACAAGGGTTGAGGATAAAAGTCAAGAGTAAGAGTAAAGTGACGAGGTCGATGATAATACATTAAGAGTGAGGGTAAAATGACAAGGGTTGAGTATAATACGTCAAGAATGTAGGTAAAATGACGAGGGTCCAGGGTAATATCACAGTAGTAAAGCTGTCGTCAATATATCGTCTTTGTAGCGTTAATACGTTAGAAGACATGCGCACGCTCAGTGCTATCTCCTAAAGTATTAAAGCTACAAAGATGATCTTTAGCTCATCTTAAAAGTTAATTGACATTAGATTTGTGACTGTATTTACAAGCATATAGACATAGAGCAGATCTTCAAAATATATGTGACTAACATATAAAATAATAATAACTATAAAATCATTAAATACACTTAAATACCAATTTCATAAATAAGAACAGACAAGGTAATGTATACATTAAATTTCTTCTTTAAATATGCTCTGGCGATTGAGATTTTCATCAGAACCATGCATAATCAATATCTGAACATTGAATGCTGCTATAAGACAACAAAGTACAATAGGTCCGACAATAGCTCCTTCTAAACCAAGGCAATATATTCCTCCAGCAACTGAGAGACCAGTAAGATATGGGTGACCACCACTATTGAGCGATTAACATGGAAATCAGATTAAGTAAGATCAGGAATATTCTAATCTACGTCAATGTCATTCGATGTGAATGCTTTCACAAATAACCATAATATCTAACTAAGACAATGTTAAATTAACATGAAATTAGTCACAATCTTTTACTATATTTGATAGGGCGACATTAAATCTTTCATATTCTCAGCATTTATAGGCGTTTACATACTACATATACAAAATCTTTCTCATTATGTACAGGTTTCGGCAATATTATGTATTATCAGTGCGAGTAAATGAATTTTTTGTAGTTAGTATGAGTAATTTACGTATATTCAATGTACTGTCATTTCACGTGTGGTCTACTTTTCATATGTTTGTATATTTGTAACTTCACAATTATCTCTACTGTCAGTAAATAACTAATCAAATGAAAATATTATGTATGGTTTACAACACTAGTAATCTAACTCATTTACTCGCACTGATAAATGATAGATATAATTAAGATTGCCAAAACGTGCGCAATAAAAAGTTTTCATTTTACGTTCAGTTTGCCAAAGTCATGTTGCAGTGAACGATGGTTGAATTTTTTAAATTATAGCTATGTATAGCTACTTGACAACACCACTTAACTTTTCACACATCTTCATGAAATTAAGAAGTTCAGTTAAACTTACCCTTTATCTCACTATATATAACAGTATCAACGACATAAGTCGGGAGAATATGACATATCACAAGAAGAACAGCTTGTATTCCTGCGTTGTCAATAAGCCATAGTTCTAAGACAGCTGGAACAGCGGCCCAATAAGATGCAACAAACGGTACGACCCCGGTTACGGCTGCAATCGCTAAATACAAGAAAGACATAAATATATAGAAAATAATTGGTAAGGACCATAGGTTGTATGTAAGAAAACTTAGAAGAAAGAATGTCGAATGAAGTTAAATTATATAAATCTATCACTCAATTGAACCTTTTTACTATTTATTATACATAATTTAGCAAAACATGTTTTTCTGTAACTGAAATTTTTGCAGTTCATAAAGCTATACTTTTCTAAGCGTGTTGGGTACCATGAAATATTAGAATTTCAATTACCTGAAGGAATAAAAACAATTTTCACTCCAAATAAAGTGTGAGTAAGCCAGGTATACAAGCCATAAAATGCAGCCATTTTTAACGAAGCACCAAATACACCCCTGAAACAGTTAATAGAAAACGTTAATCGCACATTCAGGGATAAAACTTGGCATTAAGACTGGGTTTTCACAAATCCTTGCATTGCTGAAAGATAAAATGGCCTAGAATTATAGAATTAGCTATAAATAATAAATAGCATTTTCGCAGTATAATACTTAATAGTATTTCTTCAATTAATAAATGTGAATATGGGAGACAAGAGTTTTATTCCAGTCAGAGCACTAAATTACAAGAGAGTATGGTTATTTATGCGTAAACGACGATTTTAAATACTAAACTTTGTAAAAAAATAAATTTTGTGTGCAAAAAAATATACGTCATTAATAAAGGTATTTTTCTCTAGCATATTTTCGGAAAAATCTCTTTGAATGACTGGTTTATTTGCAAGATAGCGTTTGTAACGACTAAGGATCCAAGGATAGTGCAAAGTTAAAAAAAATACTTCATTTTTAATCGTTATTTGAATCAACCATAGAATGTTTTATTCATTTATTTCAGTTCTTCATTAAATACAACTTCATTTTAGTTCAAGATGAACATCTATTTTCTTTATGACAAAAAAATTATTAAAAACTATCAAAAGTTTATAGTCGAAACAACCATTGTTGTTGTCGTGTTTTGACGGCTTTTACGTGTGACCAATTTCTTTTTCTTACAAGGTGTAATGTCTATCGCTATGTCTTTAATAAAGCAGATACTTTGTCGAGGTGACAAATATACATATGTCCTCGAAGAGTGCAATTACCATGATGTATGGCCAAAAATCATAGAGTTTCCAACAGTTCTGAAAAGCAATATAATTCCACGAGTGCTATTAGTTTCTATCAGTTTTGAGAAGTTTTGGGAACTCTATAATTTTCGGCCATTTACGATGGCAAGTACACTCTTCCTTCCAAGCAATATTAGGCTGTGCCAGGCCAAAAACGGTCATCAACAGTTTTAAAATACATTTGTCGAAACAATCTGAAAGACTGACAACATGCTAATAATATATGACAGACAACTTGCACAGTCCACTTCGTAAACTAATGGAGCTCATAACAATGGACTGATCTATATGAATTCTTTATATAACACTTTTGGAAAAGAATTGAGTGTTCCGAAGTAAGATCCTTTACACAAACGACATTCAAATGTTACAAAATTTACAATTAAGACAGTGAGTTCTCAAAATTTTTGTCACTTTGGAAAAATGCTTAAATAACTATATAAATAGGACAACTAAAACAGCCTAAATAACCCTCGATCCACTGACTAACTACATTAAAATACGACGAACACAAATTCATCATCCATAAAGTTTAGACATTTGAATTTTTGCCACGAATTACACTAAAAAACCAATTCATAATGGCGCAACTTCATGACATAGGAACAATGTTTCCTTATAATATAACATATAAGAACTGAGTAACAATTGATTAGATTGTTTGAGTGAAATGTATGAAATAGAAACAGACTTCTAGCTACCTTATTGCCGTATAAATAATCTCTCAAATAGCGTTGCTTCATCACCAGACACCGTGCTAACCCAATGCACTGGTAAATATTGATCATGAGAAAAACTTAGAAGATAAAACAACGTTGTCAAAAAGACAATCTGAAATAAAGGTAAATATTGATCATGAAAAAAACTTAGAAGATAAAACAACGTTGTCAAAAAGACAATCTGAAATAAAGGTAAATATTGATCATGAGAAAAACTTAGAAGATAAAACAACGTTGTCAAAAGACAATCTGAAACAAATAAAAACATACAACTATTTATTATTTATTTTTTTATTAAAAATATGCTATTAATAAAAGGTGAAATAACGCTACTTTAATTAAAACATAGATTATTAACAGCCAGTACTTTTTAACTACTGGAACATGCAACTTCACACTCAGGTTTCGAAACCAAAGTGTTTATCGACATATCAGTTTCAAAGCAAAGAACAATGGTAAAAAAACAAATTACGCAAGTTACAACAGATTTTCACTGGACATCTTTTTAATGCATGTGTTTTTGTATCTCGTCAAGTACATAAATATATGCAAGTTTATTGTTTTAAATATCATTTAAATATGAAACTATTTTGTAGAAGCTTTCCATGCGGCATCTCGTTATACGTGTACAGTATATATGTCTATCAAATAGTCATTATGCAACATCACAGTTATGTTATGTAGGTGTTATTTGATGGATTGAGAGCAAGATTTTAATATTTCAAAATTATTGGAGGTGGGGTGAAGGTGGGGGCACTACGTGTTTTCCGAAATGTAAAAATGTCTTAAAACCAACTTACTGTGGAGAAACCAGCATTGAGAAGGTATGTGCCACTTGAAAACACTACAGATAACAAGACAGTGATGATATTGAAAGCCAAATTCATGTTACTTTTAAAGATTAACCAAACTGATTCCAAAACCTATGAAGAAACGAAAGCATAAAGAACATAAGCAACGAGAACCTTTTCTCAATATTGACATGCAGAGTTGATTTGATATACAACTTCAGAAACTTCAGCTTATTTCATATTACGGCTTACTTTGCAGTCTATACTGCCTCGATTTTATACCCAAATAGTTTTAAGCGCTGCAAAGCATGTACTTTCGTTCAACATGATTTTATAAAGTTGAAGCATAAATTTGGATGACCAAACATATGCCTCTAAACACGTCCAAGAAAACATCAAACATTACATCATGAAGCGTTTCTAGCCAATTTTTTAATATACTTTACTTATATTAAAGTCTGCACAGTGTTAGAATTTCGATACGAACAAATGCAGTAGCAGCATGGTTGCAGAATTTATTTCAATACAAACTAATTTTATGATAATAGTGACATTTCAGCTCATTTATTTAGACCTTCCGTGCTCATTTCTTTCTACCCAAGCACTCACTGTGAAAACAAAAGATTTTAGAATTGAATTGAATATTAATAAGGCGTAAATTCTTTGTCGCTATGATGTCGTAAACAATTGATTCAGTTCAATGTTACATACATTAGAGAAAATTCGTAAATTTTTGAAAACACATGGAGGCTATGAGTTTAATATGTGCAATTTGTGTAAATATGTTATTGCTAGAAAAATATAGAAAATTTTATATCTTAATCAGATATGTAAATTTTTAGGCAAACTACCATATATCTCTTTAGAATTCTTTTCCAGTAAATGAATGGCAAATTATTTTCATTAACTGACTAAGAAATTAGGCTTCCCTTGACACTAAATCAAAGTAATTGGAAAATCACACGTTAAGCAGAAATTTTTGGTTGTTTTGGAGTAAATCTGAGCAAAAAATATAAGTACATAGAAATTAAATAAACTTTTTCCAAAACATCAATAAAAAACCTACATCATCATTCTAGCAAAATGCTCGATAAAATGCTACTCATCATTCATGAAATAGACTGAAAAATATATGAGCCAATGTGAGCAACATTAAGTTACAATACTTTCATAATTCTTTTACGTAAGTCGTGTGATTGCCCAATGACAGAAGATGACATAAAAACTTACAGACATCAAAACATCAATATTTTCTTTGACAACATTTAACACAGTCCAGATATCAATCTTCTGCTTTACAGTCAGTGTGTTATAGATACCCCGTAAGGACAAACCAAATGGGACAGCTCGTTTAAGCGCAGCGGTCGAGTTGGATTTCGTTGTTATTGTCATTTTTTCCGATTGAGATTCGGAGCCAGAACTATTCTAAAAAGGAATTTTTTTATAAAAAAGGGTTTAAAAGAAAAAATGAAAATGATGATGTAAAATTTACAGTTACTCAAAACGCAAATTACTACAGGGAAAAAAGATTGAGGTAACATAGAAATCTCTACATAACAAAACAGAAAACCGCTGTGCACAAATTATAAGGATGCATAACTAGCCTCTTTCTCGGGTAACTCTTTCCAACTTTGATAAAGACGGTCAGTTAATTCAAGTATGTGTTTCCTTAACTGCGAATTATTTCTTTGGGTCGTCCCACCAATATTTTCAACCTTAAAATAAAACATTTAACGGAGTCAAAATTTCATTTTATATTGCGGAGTGTCTTGCGAAATCCAGAAGCAAACAAACAATTTTGCTGTGATCTTCCTATTTTAAATGATATAAAAAAGAGTGATGAAACAGTGCTCAAATGAATTAGTTGTTACATACTAGAATTATGAGTGACTACAGAAATATTTGCCTAGCAGAAATAAACAAAAGGGCTCGCTGTGCATAAATAAGATTAGGTATACTTTATTCGCCAGCCAATCACGACCATGAAAAAACATTTGATCTACAGCCTTATCAATGATATGGTGAAAGTCTTGGTTTTCAGGAGCCCATTGCCTAGAGAAGATTTAAAAATGATTAAAGGAACATTTATAGTAATTGATATACGTAGACGTTTTTTTATGCTAAAATATTAAGAAAAAAACAGAAGTCTTCAAAATTGCCTTCAAAGCAGTTCACCAAGAATAACTGCGTGAGACTTACTGGGACTAGATATTTAATTTTTCTTTCATGAATGCCAAAACCCTCAAAATGTTGCTCTATATTTTATGCAATACAGAACGACAACGGTAAATATTCAACTGGCCAGGCTTTCTGCAACCAGAGTAAACAATCACAATATTTTATAATGTTCATGATCAGAAAGAAATTCGGTTATCAACGCGAGTTTCAAAATAAATGAAAAATATTTTCCATTATATTTGACATTCCGAATCCTATCTAGATATAATAAGTACAGGTTAATGATGGTATGGTCAATTTATGCATGAATAAACACAATGTCAGAAAAGGCCAAAATATTGCTTTTATAATAACGTTACTGCAAATGGCTATTTGACTGAAGTTACAAGACGAAACTCGGTTAATATCTATCTCCAAATGAGCATAAAATAATAATCATACTCACTTAAAAAATTCTGGATATTCATTCATGGCATCATTGACAAGATCACCACTGACTTGCACCAAATGTAGACTTTCTCTTTGTACCTTTATAAAATCTTTCATTGTCTAATCGAGAGTTGACAACTGAAACAAATGAAGCAGCAATGTACCTGGATAGCTATGACTGCAGCAAACATTATTGTACCAAGAATAAGAAAGAATATCATACATATGCTGATTAGTTTGTCAACAAACTGCTCGACCCAAAACACCATCTATAAAAATATCAATAACAACGTACAAAGCATTTACCTCAGTTACTTTACGTATATTATGTTCAATGAAAGCTATAGATGCCTCGGAGGCTCGCACGCGGGTAAAAGATATCTTACCAACAAACGTAAAACACAAGTGAAAACCACGATTAACCCTTTACTGGAATTGTTTGGATAAAAACTTATCTGGCAAATATTTTCTTCGATTGAGTTTCGTTTCGCTTGCTTATTGTTTCAACAATGCCGGGTAAAAGTTTAACAATAGACCAACTACGTGTAATAGGAGAAAGTGCATGCGTAGCATGTATGACATTCTTTGATCAATCCTTAATTTATTGGGAAAATTTCGGGTTAAGACTAACTTTTGGTTAAACAAAAATGATCAAGTCCCTTATCACTAAGTAAACAATGATTCATGGAAATGAACAAGAAAACATAAAACCATTTCTATAGCTGTTAATTTACGTAAACAGCACCGTACACACTAGGATACGTAGGTGCTATATAGTCACAGGAGAGTGATTATGAAAACCTAAAGTTCAACAAAGACCGCCTAAATGCCATTGACATTTCTTTTCCAAACAACTCGTCAAATTGAGACCATTCCAATTTTGGTGTGGCGCAAATCACAATTAAACATAGCTAATACCAGAGAGGTATACTGCGAGACTTTTAGCACGGGGGGTTCTCGGATATTTTTCACCACTGTCAGCTACACAAACTTGACGTAGAATTCCAACAAGGCGGCTGAGCCCCTGCCTACTCTGAGCCTATCACCTAAAAATCTCTTTACCACCCTATTGTAACTACGTAAGTTAAGTCTACACGTACCTTTTTATCTCCCAATAATATAGTCCTTGTTATTCCTCTCAGTGGAGCTGGAGCAAGAACATCTTTCCGTTCTTTTGCCCAAACTTTCAGTTTCGCAGAGAATGTGCAAACATATTCATGTAAGGCATTTTCATTATCAATCCATACCAACAATTTTTTCCCCACATATATGACAAAGGGAACAGTCAATAGTTCTAATATCCAGAGGTTCTTTGCAATGCACACAAATCCAGTGGCCCAGAACAACGCGAGGAAGAAAAGATCACTAGCTTTTATGTTGGGAGTTTTTTCATCGACAGTGTCTGTTGTCACGTGATCATCTTTCGTTAATTTTGGCCCATCTTTTGTTTTTTCTCCCTTTCTACACAAAATATACGCAAAAATGCCACAACAAAAAAAAACAATATATTTTCCCAATTATCAGCATCAGAAGTTTATTGACAGTTTCTTACACAGTTTCATCTTCAGATTCAGAATTTTGATTTTTCATAACAGCTGCTGCAGCAAATGACAAATTTCGCAACAACTTACTGCCATCTCTATGAAGCTTGTACTTGTGACCTGAGAATGAAAAAAAATGTGCATTTACGTAATGAACATGACAAGTATTTTAAAAATAGAAACTAAAAAACTTGTCGTGTTCATTAAATGGGCATAATCAGTTGTGCCTCTATGCAGTTTTGGAAAAAAGATAATTTGATTTTCTTTTATTTCGCTTCAAATAATATTTTCCTTCACATTTTCATATTCTATACAATTTAAATTTTTTTCATAACAAAGGTTAATGCTGTACAACTTATGTACGAGTTCCAGCTCCAGCTTTGCTTAAAACAGAGTTTTAGCTCAGATAAAAAGTCTCAATCTCCGAAAATTTATGAAATTTCTTAGTACCAAAAATGTTCTTTTTCAGAAAAAATAAATCGCTCAGAACTTAACGCATTTCGTTTTTCGTGGACATTTATTTGATGAGACATTTACTAAAACTTCTGTCAACTGCTCTGATAATCACTGCTGGATTTTCTGTCCAGACCTCAACAACTCAGATCTTAACTTTGGCTCTATAGCTCAGACTCAAGTGAACAGCATATATGAAGGTTGAAGACAAACACAATAATAAAAATATTTTCTTGAGTGAAACTGCCTTGAAGCAGCTACTATAATTGAATAGCTAGCTAACAACAAAACCTAAGTTGCTAACCTTTATAAGACTTAACTAACTCGGCAAGTGCACCAACACAGCATAGCATTAGGATGAATAAGAACAATGGAACTTTGAACTTCCCAGCACTGGATGCCACGTGTAGAATAAACACACTCCAAACAGGGTATGCAAAGATTGTGATGATTTTTGTATATGATGGTGTCCAAAAAAACACAACAATGATAGAATAACAAAGGACAACAGACCATACCTATAAAAAATTTAATTCAACATACCAGAATGAAATTGAATATAAGTAGACAGATACTTTAACAGGAACAATATGGTGTATGTACTAGTGCATGCTCAAGCAGAAAATGATCAACTATAATTTTAGTACAAGACCAAATGAAATATTCATTTTCACTTTTGATGAATTTTGTTATTACATTAAAGTTCAGAATGATATAAAGGCCTGAAAATATGAAAAATTATAACTTCTGCTAAGTATACTCATTTTACTTAAATTACCTATGAAGAAATTTTACTTCTGGTCTTCATTAGAGTTGCAACATTATTTGTAAAACTTCTTTGCATTATTTTTTAAAGATATGTCATTAGCATTACTTGTTGTACTAATATTAAAAGATTGAACAAACAATAATATCTGCTTCCTCTTATAACATGAAACAAGCCAGACAAAATTTCAAAGAAACTTGGTGTGAAACATACTTTCAATCTTGTCTGTCAAGTTTTCTTCATATAAAATTAGGGTCATGGCAAACGGTCAGGTTATTTACATTGAGGGGGGGGGAGCCAGGGGCCAGTTGCACGAAGCCTGGATGGAAAAAATTGCTATCAATCCAATGGATAACGCTATCCAGGCTTGCAACCAACCCCAGTAATTTAGTCATGCTGTTTCTGTCAGTAAAAACAATACATTTTCAATGCGACGACAAATAATAATGTTTTGACAATTACATGGCAGCAACCTTAGTAGGACTTATGTAGTTGGTTGGCTACAACACTAATTATCAACCTTACCCATAAAGGATTCGAGAAATAACCAAGAGCTTGATACAGAAACATTCCAATTCCACTGACAATGATGAAAATCTCATTAAATGGTTGGTATAAATATAGCAGATATAAGGCTAATGATGTGCACGTCAAAGATAATAATTCCGTGATGTGACGAAATATAAACACACCAATGATCGCTGATAGTTCATTCAATACTTGAAAAGGCAGAATTGCAAAACCCACGAGCAAAGGTGTATTAGATTCTCTCAGAGATCTCAGCCATGAACATACAAGTTTTGACAACGTGTACTTTAAAGGAAATAAAAAAGCCCCGCACAGTACAGCCCATAATAAAGGTTTGACGAAAGCTTCCAAAACAAAATACACCGCCACTGCAGCACCAAGACCAACAAAAATAAACGAAAATGCTGCAACATTGTAGAAAGCATTTTGCAAATGTACGTCACTTTTTGAATCTCGAAGAACCGTAGTTAAGGGTGTACTGAAGTATCGTGTTATCTGTCGAACTGGAGATCTATCTGTCATTTCTTGTCACTTATTCAACTATTTGAAGTAATGATATGTAGAATTGAAAATATACGACTTCGTCGACTTTTTTTGTTGTCTTGAGCTTGATTTTGGTCTTCAATCGAGATCTCGATTCTTGTTTTTATATTAAGACGCGCCTGTGGTTGTCCGTGTTTATAGGTCAGCAGATAATACAATTTTATCTTGCCTACTTTACCACAGTACTTTACCCATTGACCAAACGACCAATTTTTTTCTACTTTTTTTTACCAAAAAATAAGTTTATGATGTTTGAAGTAATGAAGTTTTACTAAAAAATATTGCTAATATGAGTAAATTGCTAATATCAGGTTTAAACGTATTGCCTTCTATAATCTATATGACGGATCACCTAGCACATGATCAAGAGTAATCACTGATAAGCGACGTTGTTGAAGCTGGTTTTGAAGAGCAGCTGAGCTGTGGTCTAACGACTGTAACCAGCCTACAAGAATACGGTCTCTTCATATTCAGTTTTACATTATGATTCATTTCAGTCCTTCAAAAATCTCTTGCTTTTTTCACCGAACAAACAAACGCATCTTTTGCTCCAATGATAGACACTTACGCTCACTTGGGAACGACGAGCAGCCTCTTAGTGTATACATAATATATTAACCTAACACGGTTTTACATGCACATGAAAAACTTAGTGTATACCAGACGTAGGAGTTTTTTCAGGCTTAGTTCTAGAACAACAGTTTAAATTTGATCCTATAGGTCTCGATAAATTTGAACTACAAATCTGGATGGTCTTACGATAAATTTAGGCTGGCGAGTGGCGACTGAGGTTGAGCGTGAGTTTGTCAATAAGATCAAATCTAGGATGGAAGTGGAAACGCAGTAATAAACTGGTTTAAAGACCTGTAAAATCCCTCTAATGTTTCATGAGTGCAATTAAGCAGCGTAGGCAAAGCCGTAGGAAACGGGAGGCTTTAGCCTTGTAAAGTGCATCGTTAGCCCCTCCCAAGTTAAAAGACCTGTAAAATCCCTCTAATGTTTCATGAGTGCAACTAAGCAGCATAGGAAAAGGCGTAGGAAACGGGAGGCTTTAGCCTTGTAAAGTGCATCGTTAGCCCCCCTCCCCCACACCAAGTTAAAAGACCTGTAAAATCCCTCTAATGTTCCATGGGTACAAGTAAGCAGAGGAGGCAAAGGCGTAGGAAACGGGGGCTTTAGCTTCGTAAAGTGCATTTTTAGCCCCCCCCCCAAAATGAAGGTTGATATTTCCAAAATCTTATACTAACTGACATTGATTTGGAATACGTATCTTACAAGACAATAAAAACCACCAATCGTTCTGGTGATTTGTTAAATTTTTTGTTTTGTGTATTGTACTAAACTTGCCTGCTGCATTGCTTGTGTCATGTGTATTGTAATGAAGTCCAAAGTATACAATAAAAAATTTATAACTAGCTCCCAAGTCCCGTAAAGGACTCTAAAATAATGAAAGCTACAGAGCTCTTAAAGTTTAAAATAATTTGGATTAGGTCGACTAATTGTACTGCACACAAAGCATTGACGTCAGTAAATGCCATTTAAATCACTTTTACAATTCCTTTTTTTCAAATATGCACCCCCTTTAAAGTTTCTGGTTACGGCCATTAAAGTAAAAAGTAGATTTATTTCAGGTCAGCCCTGTAACTAGTAATTACTTCTGTTCAGTATCTCCAAGAAAAGTTGTCATCCAAAGCCACCACGTTTTTACAGTAGTTCCCAGGACCTTTACTGCTAATTTTCAAATTAATGCTCAACGTAAAAGTCGTTAACGTTCAAAGTTCAAAACCGTCGTGGATGATAACGCACGTTTCAAATTCAGAAAATAACACAAACAAAATGAATCGCTCATTAAAACGAGAAAGCCTTTTTAGGTGGAATGATACGTCTACAAACATTCGCAGTATAAAACGAGAAACTGGGAAAATTTTGAGCATAAATGATATGTACAAAAGAAAATGGAGAGCAGTGAAGACTGCAATTGATGTAAGCAATCACATGAAAGTGATTTTTCAAAAAAAAGCAAGAGCAAGAAGCAAGTCGGTAAAATCCCGAAAGTTAAAATTTTCTGTGAACGAAGAAATAAAACAACAAGCAGTAAAAACTGATGAGGAACGCAAGATTTCGCGCGAGGTAGCTATAAAAACACGTTTCAAAAAAGTCTAGCATTCAAGAATCACGCGCTCTCAATATACATCAAATTTCTCATGTTTTTATGTGATGCATAATGACATTTCTTGAGTGTTTTTTTTTTGTCTAGAAAAGTAAAGCAAAATTCAAGAATATTGTTAAAAAGGTATGAAGCGAGTTGAGTTTTACTTGTCAGTTTACTAGACGTACTTTTGAGAAGATCTTAAGCCATAACAAAAAACCTGTTTTCATCTATTAAATATAGTAGAAAAAATGCCAACATGACATCAACAGCAACAATAAGTTATACCGAAAATTTTTATAACAAAAGCAGAGCAGACAAAACATTATCATAAATGTAGAAATTATATAATGCTTAGACATAACTGTCAATCAACGACTCTTCCTCTGGTTCTTCAAAATCCTATGATCTGCCAAAAATAATTAATAAATAAGTTCAAAGATATGAAACTTATATAAATTTTTTTGTGTTCTTGCATTTGTACAAAGTTTATGTCAAGCGTGAAAAAATGTGAAGTGTTAAAATCCTCAATCAAAAACAGATTTCTGTTGGGAAAACTAAGATTTGTTTACCACACTTATAAATAATTCTTGACTCGACGTATTGTGCCGTGTTGGTTGATGAAAGAATTCTTGAAAGTTGTTATTTTGGGAACCTAAACATGTCAACTTAAGTGGCGTAAAAATCATGGATTCTTCAGCGTCTTAATCAACTGTTTGAAATCAAAAACGTGCAAAAACTAAAAAAATATCAGAATGTTTATTATCTCGATCAGAGGCGTAACTAGAACGTTACTTCGTGGGGTGCATTCATATATTCCGTTGTGCCCTACTGATTTCTTTTGAAAGTGAAAAAACCTAACTTGCTTAGACTTTCGAGAAATTAACACAGTTTCCTTTTGCATTAAATTTACAAAACATATTCCTTCATCCTACCCCCATGCACCTCATCAAAATAGGGAAAATTAAATTATATTCAGAGATGTTTGCTCAGCTTATCTGCAAATAATGCATTTTAACTTTCAATTTAGATCATGTATCTTCGATCGGTATTAGGTCAAGTTTTAAACAGCGCATTAGAACATGGAGGTTATGAGAAAATTACATCTGATCTACGACTTCGACTAAAATTAGATAGCGCCAATATACGTACAGATCGAGCGAATATTTTCGATCCTGATCAATACAAAGCCGATTATCAGGTATTAAAAACTATTATCAGATTGTTGAGAAGTGCTTATACGTGTAGATTTGGACACGAGCCTGGTTAACAGTATCTTCAAGGAATGATAAAAAAATAGGGAAATACTGTGACGTAGGTCTTAAGCATTGAGCACCAGCTTGTAATAGATAGTATGTGACTTAGGTAGATCTTTTGGTTGTTTACGATAGCATTCTCCTTAATTAAGAACATATAAATGTTTTTAGTTACATAAAGCTAGCATTTTGTACCACTTAAATTTTTTTACAATATAGCAATTGCTGATATGTGCAGTCACAGCAACGAGTCTAGGGTAGCCAAAAGGATCTACGCTTTTTAAATAACTTGGAGAACTTTAATCACCTAAGAAATGAATTAAAAACTCAAACCATAACATGTTACACAGATGCAATCTGTAAATTATATCCCCAGAAATGATATCTCCTGTATTCCTATGAGCTTAGATACACTTCATGTTAAAAATATCACCAATATCTAGGGATATTTTCCAAGATGGGCTAAAGAAATAACGCAAAAAGCTCCTGATAACAGAACAGAAAAAGAAGTCGACTCCATGATGAAGATATTGAAACTGCTTAATGCGTTCCGTCGTTATTCTCCAGGCACACAGCGTCTTTTATGTAAAGCTGTTAGATATAACAGGTTAATATAATTTATGGATAACTTGGAATTTTATTTCATTATAACAATGTTCTTTTATTCAAAAAGTAATGTTGAACTTGAAAAGAATAAGACAAATTTCATAATTCTCATTCTTAATTACCATGCAAGAAGAGGCTTTGGAAGCTTTCAAAAGTTGTGGGTGTTCCATGTTCGCAATTTGATAATGCGAGAAACTTAGAATAGTAATGAAACTGTTTCATATTAGTTATTTTAGATTTTTTCTTCCTTTTCGGCATTTATTTCAAAATTGTCAAAATGTATTACATAGAAATGATTTGCACATATCGGCAATGCTCGAAAAATTTGAAATTTCCTGCTTGCTGGTGCCAGTTCCTTAATTAGAAAATTCACTGTGCTTGCAAAAACTCAGCGTGCAATATGTCATATATTTTCATGCAAGAAGCTAAATTTGTGGGTATCCTTCCTATATAGAACACCCACACTCTAAAAATTGTGGGTGCACTGGCACCCGGACACCCACGGCTTCCCAAGCCCCTGCATGCAAGTAAATGAAAAATCTAAATTTTTTAATTAAACACGTAGTCTTTGAAGATGGAACAAGTTTTTTGACACTCATGCATGCATCTCATATCATGAATTTGGAATTTAGCTATTTTATATCTCATCATATTCCATTTCAACTCACTTTGATAGCTACTTTTGCAAGTTAAAAAACAGCAAGTTTTTACGGCTTTGGTTCGCAGCAAAGTAAAAATCGTAAAAATACTTCACTTTTAGGTACACGACAGTTTCTCGCGTAATTTTGATAGTAAAAAAGCGATGAACTACGGGTGTTTTTTAATCATTTTTAGATTCGAGCGTCATCGTGTTATCATACGCAAAGGGCATGTTGGCAGAAGATTTTATGTCATATATTCTGGATCTGTAGCGTTCACATTTAATGAAGACGACGCTGAAGTGTTCTCTAAACAACCAGGCTATTATACCATGGGAAAAGGCGATGCGTTTGGGGTAGGTTTCTATATGTACCTTAAAAATATGTGTTTACTTAAAAAAATCAATAGATGCATGTGATTAAATACCTGACTTGTTTTACTCTGTATATAATATTAAACAAAAGCTTATACAAAACATTCTATAACAGAAAAAAACCAACTCAGTCTTAGAAAAAGGTATATCTTGGAAATTAGGGGAATTATATGTGCAAGTTTATACAATAAGAGGCTACTTTTTGTTGTCCACCCTTTGCAATTTCAGTTGTAAATTCAATTTTTATGCTTAAGATAGACTTTATAGTTACACACGAGAGAACATCTAAGATTTGTATTGTTAACCGATAATGTGCTAGGATAAGATTAAAAAAAGACTGATATAAAGTTATTATCATACGTTCAGCATAAATTTAAAGATTTATAATAAAGGAAATGGAGTTTTTTGAGCCCTGCATGATTTTACAAATTTTCCATGTTGCCCTTGAACATTTCACTTTGTTGCACCAGGAGAACTAGGTCTTTTTTTACCCTCCCACCGCCAAGGTCTTGCACCTCTATATCTCACCCCAATAACCTTCAGAAGCACCCAGAATAGCACATCTTATTAAAACATTTAATAATATTGAACGCCCAAACAGGAACTTTCTCTGATAAGAAATGCACAACGGTCTGCGACCATTGTCTGTTTGACCACAACGGAGCTGCTCTATATTGAAAAAGAAGACTTCAGTCTAATGGGAATCGACAACATTTTGCGCAATGAAATGGAATACAGAGTAAAATATTTCAGGTTAGAAAATGTTCGAGCTTATATCTTGTTCTACTAAACATGCGGTGTGGTAAGGTTTGTTAAAAACGATACAGACATGCAAGAAAATTGAGTTTTGGGTTGGGGTTAGGGTAGGGTAGGGTTTTAAGTGTCTTCCAAAGCTGGTATTTATCGAATGCTATACCCAGTCATACCCAGTCCCTTTCTCTTAACTGTCAACACACGGTCACTCACGGGACCAATTTGAAATGATTTTCAGAGACTTTGAACTCTTCTCAAGTTGGCCACAAAGCGTGATGCAAAAAGTTGCAGAAGAAAGCCGTTCAATTGAGTATCGTAATGACACAGTTATTGATAATAATTTACTCCAAACAGACATGGTGTATGTTTTAATTTTGGTAAGTGGAAATTTGTTTATCATTTCATTCGACAGATGGAATTTTTTTATATGATTTGTATGTGTTCATAAAAAATTAAATCCGGGGATTTGACATGACCAAAATATTACATATATAATTCACAGACACGCATTTGATTTTAATCAAGATAAAATTTAATTTAGTGTTGTCTAAAGTCAATTATTGTATTTAACCTAGGGAAGATGCGAGGTTCTTCGTTTACTTGATCTAACCCACAACAAGAAATGGGCAAAAATGCGACAAAGTCAAACAATCCTTTACAATCAAGAATTTCCAGAAACATGCAGCAGTACGACCTACTCACGTCAAAGGGCTTTCTCGCGACTTAGTGCTTTATCAAGTATTCCTGGCTCCAATTCAAGCAGAATTCCGAGATCATCCTCAATGCCACACAATCAGACCCAGACTGCCAATATTCCACAACGATTAACAAAGTCTGCTGTCGGTAATATTCAAAGAAAAACTCCCGAAAAAGAGTTGAAGTGTCAATTCCAACTCACGGATTTATCAGAAAACCAGAAAAAAAGTTCCTTGTCGATTACTGATTCCAAACAGAGCGATATTGGAGTAGGAGTACTTTTATGCCTTGACATAATTGAGAAGAAAGGACAATTTGCAGTAAGATAACCTTTGATATCGATTTATAAAGCTGTCACCATTAAATTGACAAACAGATTTATTATTCAGGGTCTTCATGGAGTACTGCGCAATGATGACAGAATATCAAATTCAAACATCAACAAAAGACAAATATTATTGATGAGCAAAGGTTGCTTTCTCATATCTATACCAGTTGAAGTCATAAAGAAATATGCCGATAATGAAACAATTGCGAAAATGAAGAAATGTATCAAATATTATCCAAGTGATCGTGAATTGGTCGACTGTTACATAGAAACGTCTCGATGGAAAGTGTACAAAGAAGTAGTCATCGGAAGAATAATCAAAGATAGAGAAAAACGAAGAAACGAAAAGCAACCTGGCTCAATGGTCAGTACACGTAAGCCAATAACTAGACCACAACTTCAACAAAGATTATTTGGTGAGTTTTTGTTGTACCTAATTTCATGATCTCACTTTGATAAAGAAGAGTAAGAAACATTTAAAACTTCAATTGCAAATAAGTTCTTTTCTTTCATATATAAGATCTAAGTACTTTCTCTAATGCTGTATTGTTGTTTTGTATTCGAAGTCCTAAATCATTTCATCGCTACAGGAGGACCTCAATCCAAACACCCAATCCAAAGGATGAAAAAATCAAGAGCTGATTCACGAATGTCAACGTTATCTAGTAATACATCTGTCAATGAATACTTGTTCCAACAAACAGACACTATTTACGCCAAAGGAAGTCACCGGAGTTTGGTGCTTATGAATGGAAAAATAAAAGGCAGTACTGCTCAAGATGAGATCGAAAGCAAGCTACTTAACAGTTGAGTGATTACAACAGTTTGATGAGAAAAAGCATAGTTGTAAATATGTGTAATCTTTATTTCTACTGACATAAATAATTAAGACATAGCAAACAAGTACGAAAATAAAAATAAATTGCACACATGCAGTATATACGTTTCTTGTGTACAAACTATTACAGTACATGGGATACTATTTTGAAAACTCTGACTATTGTTTTTGTTGAACGTTTTGTCAACATATGTCTGTAGATAAAATTGAACCAGGGAAAATACTCAGGATTTGCCACCAAAAAACGCAGCATTTTCGACGGTTGACTCTGCAAGTTAATTGATACAAAGAATTTTTCTCTAAAACGAGCATGTAGCTATGTGTTTACAATCTTTAAAAACAGGAAGATCTACTGACAAAATTAATCAACTTTTAACCCTCGATAGACCAAATTATTTCTTTAACTTGGTTTCATGTTGCTCAGCTGTCAGTTGCCAATTGGGCACTGTATAAAGAAAATAAAAAGATTATGAGTGACTCTCAGAATTTATGTTTGCGACTATGCGAAGGGCCAGTCAAACAGAACGCTCTCTTAGAATCCTTAAGATGTTCCTGTAAGGAATTAAAACGGTTGTGCCTTAAAGAAAAACAGCACATTTTGAAGTCAGATGAGAATGAAGCACTCAACAAAAGATTAAAGCCCAATCCAACAAGCAATAGAGGATTTGCCTCATCTCTGACGATCGTTTATACATGGACACAATGTAGCAAAATGCAATCGTATGGAATTATTGTATATTGTATTTTAACCAAAGATATACATATAAAAAAGTCGTGCATATTGGCCTTGTGTGAATTTGAATTTGCTCTTTCACATTTCTAGTATTCATGGTAGTCCTAAAAATTAAAAAAATTTCACGTTTTATTATTCATTCCAAACACAGAAAACACAGCTTACTTAAATTATGCTAAAACAAAAATGTTATAGGTCAAATAATACATATTCTTACCACCATGGTGGTGAAAAGTTTTCATAATATCAACAGAATTATACCGATGCCAAAAATACCACTACTAACACCAAGTACATTGGTAAGATCATCGAATCTTTGGTATACTCTAAAGAAAATACGTTGGTTAGAGCACTGTTGTACAATTTGGTAAACTATATGTATATTTGTAAAAACTGAAGAGCACCTTTTAAGAAAGATAATTGTAAAGCATAAAGATAGTTTGCTGAAAAAAATTTAATTGGAAGAAATTGTTTTGGTAGTTACTGTGATGACATGCCTGACCAATGTAATCAATTATGACAGCTAGATACAGGGGCACACATAGGAGGTGTGTGGAGAGCGGAACATCCCCTGATTTTCAAAAGATGTCAATAGTCGGTCATGAGAAAATGCACTTCGGCAGTCAATTCGGTCCCCTACCATTTAAAGGACACATGCAACATAAAATTCGGATTGTTATTTTTGTACTTTACATAAAGGTATAGCTCCAACTAATAGTTCACCAAAGTTTGAGACTCAAAGGATAAATATTTTTGAAGATATGGAGGTTTAAAGTTGATGCTTTCCTGATAACGTATTAAAAATGCCCGACGAGCTAACGACAGCTACCGATGTCGTTGTGACGTAATAGTTGACATAAGCTAAACGCGGTCAATTGCGCGCTTCGTTCAAAATATACTTTGCCTGCATTAACAACACGACAATTTAGCATTGAAAATATGGTTTATTGTGCCGCATTTAATTATAAAAACGGTTCTTCTAAGAACCATCAAACGCAGCAAAAGGTTTCTTTTTTCGTTTCCCGAAAACAAGCGCATGCGAGATATTTGGATTGAAAAAATCCAACGCAAAAATTTGAAGCCAACAAAGAGCTCACAATTGTGCTCGCAACATTTCGAGAGTTCGTGCTTCGTGCAAAATTTTGAAGCGATGCAATCAGTAGGATGGACAGCAGGACGGCTTCGCCTTAAGAAGGATGCTGTATCCACGATTTTTTAATACTCTGTGGAACCCACAAGTGTAGCCATCTAAAAGGAAGCAGCCAACAAATGTTAGAACTGCATTTGAGAAGAGACGAAGGCAAGAGGTGATTATTATAGTTATATTTAGCAATATTTGTTTACATTTATAAAAACTAAGCTATAGAGCATTACCAAATTGAGGGCAATTTTATAATTTTAGATTATTGACGACGTTCTTGCAGAACATGACGACTTTCTTGTAGGCGACGACCACGATGTGTCGACATCGGCTCGAAATGTTTGTGCGTTTTACCTCAAATGAAGTTTGTCTAAGATAAAGATGTCAAAATATATGTAGACAGCGAAACACAAACATATACAGTGGTAACTAATTCAGACTAATGTCGTTTGATCTTTTCTTTGTTATTTTAACTCATAGAAAATTCCTAACGTACCTTAGAAGCGCAATGTGAAATGCCAAGCAGCCATAACAATCCGTCCGCAAAAACACGTAAGGTCAAGAACCACTCAAACAAAGTGCCAAATATGATAAGTAGAGCTATAGACTTTCCATTTCGGCCGTTTTGATTTTTGTGAAAAATCCAGCAATACGATAATTTTATTTAAAGGTTGAGTTAATTTCAACAAAAAATCATAGCACACAGACGACGTCATGTGAAATTGAACATTTTGAGGATAGCGCTGTATGGTCTGATACAGAAAGCACGTCGACGATGAGCAATAGCTACAATGGATGAGACTCTCACTCATTTTCTTCACTCTCAGGCATAGGTCCAATGTCATGTGTAACGATAGCTGTTCTTACGACAGCTTCGTTTGTACACACTGTGGCAAACTCTTCCTCTTGTGTGATACAAATATGATCGCCATGTATCAAAGGATCAGTATTGTTTACCTCTTGGCAACATATACTTTCCCGTCCTGTACTCATGACCACACAAAAGCCACATTCGCACCTAAAAGATAAAAACATTGTTTTTACTTTGGGAAAAACAATGAAGCATCAATAAAATGCAACTAACCGTTCAACATTTCCAATTCTGTGAATGTATTTATCTTCGCTTTCCGATGACGGAGAATTGTCATTACTATGACCACCTTGCGCGTTGGCCAAAGGCTCAAACATGTAAGGTTGTACCTCATTGTTATTGATGACAATATCATAATCGACATCTTCTTCAGAAGAATCCATTAATTTTTGATAAATAAAAAACAGTAATAGCAAACTACCGAAAGCCGTGCAAGCACTGCGTGCAAGTCGTAGAACGATATAAAAACGAAGCTTGTTTATGTCAACTATTACGTCACTCTTTCCCAGTTCCCAGACTTAAAAAATATCACGGCGTTTTAGCAATGGTCATCGAATATCGTGTTTTTACCGATTATAACCCTAAATATCTTTTGAAATATTTTGCGGACGACTTTGAAACTTGGTACGTCTTATTTTCACGCTATAGGCATTACAATAAAATAAAGTTGTCTTCTAGCTTGCATGTGTCCTTTAATAGAGTAAATTGGTATGTTTAGGAATTTTGTGTTTAATTTTCATCCTTTAATTGAATTCTCTTATCTTAAATCAATTAAACATGCATTAATATCACATGCATAATCTGCACACAACAGATTATTAAGTAAATAAAAACAGTGTATTTTGATTTTTTAAATTTGACCGGCATCGTGTCGTAAGTAAAGGATTGACGTCGTACGTCTCAGCGCAACCGTAAATCCATTAAAACACTTTCAGATGTATTGACAACGCTTGCGTCAAGGAATAGCATTTCGTGGCTCTTCCTCAGAGAAACAAGGAAATGGTACCTTCCGTCAGATTGCATCTTTGGTAGCCAGATACTCACCATCATTCAGGAGATGGTCGGATGATGCTCCAAAGCGGACGCACAGAGTCGACCGTCTTAGTTCCAGTTTTCAAAATGAATTTCTTGACGTATTAGCAGAAGATGCTGCAGATAAAGTCAGTGGTGAAATAAATCAGGCTGGAATGTTTTCCGTCATAGCTGATACAAATCAGGCTGGAATGTTTTCCATCATAGCTGATACAACACCCGATGTGTCCCACGTTGCCCGACTTTCTTTGGTGGCACGATACGTAAGTACTGATGGAAATCAACAAGAACGTCTTGATATAAAGATAATCCATGACAAAACAGGTGACGGTCATGCACAAGAAATTATTTCTTCTCTGAATGATAAGTGTCTCAACACATATGACGTAGTTTTTCATTCCTACGATTACACGTCTTTCATGTCAGGCATTTTGCAGGGATTGTCGAGCAAAATTGAAAGAATATCTTGGAAAGGAAATACCTTATTTTCCTTGTCTTGCTCATCGAGTCAACACAACCGTGGAGCAAAGTGATGAAGCAAGGCTGTATGTAATGTTTGACATCCTCCAAGAACTTTTGTCTTCTTTACATCAAGCCTGAAGAGATACCGCGTTTACCATGAAATTTTAAAGAATAGTGATGCAGTTGGAGCACTTGAATTAAGAAATCTTTCAGATATGCGCTGGAGTTCACGTGCTGACTCTATTAAATCTGTATGGATAAGCTACAATGAAATAACAAGATCACTTGTAGAATTGAAAGAGTCAGATGATCCAAAGACCAGATCAAAAACAAGCAATCTACTGGCAAGAGTAAAGTCGTTTGAATTTCTTATTTATGTTGATCTTCATAAAAAATGTTACGACAAAGACAAAGATTTTGACAAATGAAATCCAAAGTATAGATATAAACATTGTCGATGCACTTGAGGCCTCCGAAACTACCATTGCTACGCTGTAGAATCTACGCGATGATGAAAGCAATTTGAACGGCCAATGCAACTGTTATTTTTTCTGCACAGTATGAAATAGATGCTGAAGATGAGGACCAGCAGACTCATCGCTTTCGACGCAAACGGATAAAATTGGACGAAAGACGTTAAACCAATGCAATCCTAAATTTCAATAATTTCTACAGAAAAGAATTCGCTCATATTCTTAACGTTCGAATTCATAATCTTAATGCCAAAGTTAAAGCTGTTTGTGACATACTTACATCTGCGATCTACTTGCTTATGCCACCATTCGACAAAGAACCAGAACCAGAAGAGCTGCTGGCACTGGTAAAAATGCTTCCTGAAACCTTTACTTTGATGCAAGTGCCCTAAAGCTTGAACTCACAACGATTAGGCACGAATGACCAAGCAAACAAGCCTGATATCAAATCGCTCGAAGATGAAGCAAACTGTATAAAAGTTCCATCTTCCCAATGACACGTAGATGTTAATAGTTGGTTTTGACAGAAAATATAACTTCAGCTTCTAGTGAGCGTAGTTTGTCAAAGCTCAAATTGATCCAGACAGTTTTTGCGTTCAGCAATAAAGCAAGAACGACTTAAAAATTTTATGGTGCTTGCATGCGAAAATGATATCACAGATTCAATTGATATCGATGTAATTCTGGATCTTTGACCGAAAACAAAACGTTTCATCACTGTTGGACAAAGTGATTAGCGGGGAAAAAAGTAATTTTCAATTACATTTTGGAACTAAAAACTAGTAATGATGATCGACTGTCGAACAAAGTGGAGTTTTAAATTACTTCAAAACGTGTCATTAAAATGGTTCAAACTTATTACCCTTGTTTTTAATGCCATAATAATTCTTTTAATGAAATAATTAAGAGTTGAAAATCTACATTTAGATCCTAATATGACTTCTGTTTTTTTTTAACCATTAAAGCGCTAGGGGAAAATTAAAACATGCTAAGTCGTACCCAAGCAGTTCTACAAGTGTGCACAGTATCCCCCCCCCCCTCCTCAAGAAAAGCACAGTAAAACATCATCATCAAGTCATAAATAAATCATCACAATGTCAATGTCATACGCGATTTATATAATACAAAGTAATGTGTATGAAATATTATTTTCATGGCTTTATAAAGAAGATTGTTATAGAATGCTTACAGATAAAATGGGAAAGCAATGTAATAAAAATTGATTCATTATTTCTTTCTTGTTATTCTTCAATAAAACAATGTTTTTACTACACAAAGACAGCGAGTGAATTTATAACATGCAGTTAGTCAGGACATTCAAATCCGTTTCATCGCATGGTGTCAACTTCTGTTTCTACACAAACGAGATATTTTTGCCGGGATTTAAACAAATTTGAATTTTGAAAAGAAAAATTGAACTACCTCCAATACCAAGTGTTTACCCGAAAGCTTGTGCAGCTCACTCAACAAGAACTTGATTTATTCAGCGTCAAATCCTTGTTCAGTTGTAACGGCACTTACAACTTCGGCAAGATTACCTTCCTCCTGAAGACGTGAACCTAAAATAATCACCATTGAACTAAATAGATGGAAGGCTACGTCAGCATATATTTTGATGCTAGTAGCGCCCAGTCTTTCCACGCAATGTAAACACACGGCCAATAGTAGCGAATAAAAATTAACTTGTACGAACTACGAAGTTCCGAAAACAAAACACAAATCCCTTTTTGTTTTTATTTGGCAAACGAACCTTTTCAAATGAAACTTAACATCAGGCATAAACAACTGAAATTTTACATCAAGCATACACAACTTTCTGATTTTATGGTTGAGTGATGATCACAAAACTTGGGAGATCTGTTCTCCAAAATGTCGATAATGACAGCTTAGTGATACGTATGACATTAACTTAAAAAAGCATGCGAGAAATGTTCCTCTTAATCTTCCTATTAATCTTGTCGTGAGACCGTACAGTCTCATGTATTCATAATTCCTCAATAAATCTAAGGAAGTTAGTGTTGAGATATGCTTTTAATTCGCCGGTGAAAAGAGTGGAAATACTTCACTTAAATTTTGAAAAAGTAAGAGTTGCTGTATCTCGTTAGTTGATACACATACGTATTTGTCGTTGTTAGTATGTTTAATGCTTTCATCTCTTATATGAGCAATCAAACCGTATAATTCATAAAAAAAGTGTTGAAATATATACATACGTATCAATTCAATGATTGCCCGTTGAGTGCGCCTCTCTAATTTTTCTAATTTCTTGGCAACGTCACGTTTTAAATCCCTAAAACATACAACAACTATGAACGATATTTGTAAATGTAACCAATATAGGTACATATATAAAATTTGCCAACTTTGAAATTTCTACATGCATCTATAAGTAGCAGTTATCACAGTAAAACGATAACAAGAATGCAATATAGAAACTAGTGACGTCACTACAAAAACTAGTTCGTTTAATCACATATTATTCGAGGAATCATCTGAACATGCTGAGTCCGCAATACAACTGTTCAAGTTCATGGTCATGACAATGACTAGCAACATCTACTTACACCGTTTTTTGGAGTAACTAGTACTATCAATAACAAACTCTAAGGGACATCATTTGAGCATGCGAATCACATCACACTCGTCATTCGAAGAGCAGCTTTGAAATATAATGCGTAAAAGCCAATGGTAAAGTCCCAGTGTGCGAATTAACGGTGTGCAATGTGCAATTTGCACATCGCTTTAGCTAAAATGAAAACAATTGCACATCACTTTTTCAAACGATATGCAAAAAACTTCTTTATTGATTACTACCACATAAATTGAAGAAAGTTTTCAAGCTTAATCTTTACTGATCTTTACTTTATAAACGAGTGCGCTGCACGACATTAAAATCCATGTTGGCACAATGTCATCAAATTTGAAGACATTGTCACTGAGACTGAGAAGTCTGTCAAGAGTCCACATACATGGTGTTTATATGCTTATGACAATAGGGGTGTAATACATTATTAATGTCAATTTTTGCATTTGCGTTGTTTTGTAAACCGTTACGTACTGTTTTTGGCATTATAGCTATTTTGAGTATTTTCAGTAAAATCGGGAAACATTTTGATTTTGATTCTTAAAACAAGACAAAAAACTTTATAAGCTAAATTTGAAGAATAAACCAAGGGAATTTTGATTTTAAATAAGCCTAACGTGAGAAAAAGCCAAATTGGCTCAAAATATTAAGCCAAATTTGGCTCAAAATATTAAGCCAAACTAGCAACTTTGATCAGCCATACTTTTTGCTTTTATATTTTGCTTGTAATATGACATAAATATGATGTTTTTTATCGTAAGTAAACATCAAGGATGTTACTGTTAATAATCAGAAAACAAACGTATATTCGGTTATTCTCTTTTCACTTTTGTCTTTCTTGCCATTTTCGTCGAAAGGTTGTAGCTACCAGCAAAGTTAATACAGTAAAAAAATATTTAAAGTCTTTCATATGTTTCAATTCGAGTGCATCATTAATACAGTGAAAAAAATAGATGGAAACATCAAATGCTGACTCGTTTGATTACTAGGATGATGGTCAAGTGGTGAATTTATTGCGCTGTAAAGTTTGCACAAAAAAAGAGGAGAGAATAACATGCGAAAAAATTTCTCTCATACATTTTATACTGGGTCAGCGGTTTTAACGAAAAACACTGTCGTAAATCATATGAATTTGTTCACGTTTAAGAATATTAATTTAGCAATTAGCGCTATATAATAATTAACGTAATATCGATTTGATTATGCCTCTAAAGAAACACTTTTGTCAAAAAAAATTGCACATCGTTTTTTCTGAACTAATTCGCACACTGTATAGTCCAAATAAAGCCCAATTTTCAATCCTAATGTTATGAAATTTTAATTTATTTTGGAAAGAAAACTCGCACGTTATGCGTTCAATTATTTATCCTCTGGTATTATACTCACCAATCGGGTTTTCGGGGTGCAAGATTACTTAAGTCCTAAATTAAAGAAATTTGTACATCACAATTGATTCGGTAAATTTAGAATTCGTTTCAGGAAAGTATTCATTCATAAAGTATTTATTTAGTATTTATTTATCAAGTTTTATTTTCTATCTTTATCCATGAACATGAAACTGTTGATTTTATTCTTACCACTTCATTTACAACATCAGATTTTCCTTTTTCAACATGTTCTTTCACTTCTTGTTCCACTAAAACAACAGAAAAAATTTTGAGGTGGCTTTACAAAACATTTGATTAAGTAAAGCAAGAGACACGTTAGAAGTATGTAGCAGAAAATAAAACTAAGTAGAAAAAAGGTAAAATAATTAAAGTAAAATTGAACACAATTACGACAAACTTATGGGAATTTTACGTTTCTTTTAATGAATAGTGTACGTAAGTGTTTGATAAAAGTTATAAGACCGAACAGTAAAAAAGCTCATATACAATGGTACATTTATCATTTTCAGGCTTTATTTATGTAAATATAGGTAGGTATAGGTGAAAAAAAAACTTTAGGAAAATTGTCCCCCTCACAAACTTTTACCTTTATCTTAAAAAACAGTGAAACTTTTCAGTTTTAAAACAAGATCGCAGGTGATTTTAGATATTTCAATCTATTTGGATCAATAAATTTAGTTAAATTTTATAAAACCAGTCAAAACAACCATCACAATTCATAGATACCATCATGCATTGACGAATATAGCAATAATACATAGTAATTAAACTAATGACTCAGAAAAACAACCCGCAGATACAGAAGCGCAAGGGATTAAATGACTTACACATTTCACCCAAACGTTGATCCACAAGTATAAACCGCATAACAAAACATTCAGAAACACGAGGAAACGCCGAGATATCTTGCTGAATGTTTTGTATGTTTGAAAGTTCATTGTACACGAACAACAAACTATTTTATGAATTGTTACTTATGTGCTTCGTGATCGGCAAAACGCAGTAAAAGGAACTAACACTCTTTAATAAACATTTCCTCAGTTATTTAAAATAAGAAAAACATATTTTTTACTGTTAAAGTTTTTCATTACTTCTTTCATTTGGGGAGGACAAATTTGAAAACGGGGGGACATAGTTCCTAGAAAATTTGGCGCGGGGTAGGAATTTTTTTTGGGGGGGGGGGCATAGTTAGACACATAACGTGCCCGACCAAAATATTGTTGTATCAACGAACGATAACAACCGTCTATAATTGAAAAACTTGCATGAAAATAAAACATTTTATGTATGACGCTAAATTGCATTGGTGTTATAACTCGATGTCATCATTTGCTTCCAGTAGCTATATCATGCTCTATTACAAAAAAACTTTGCATTTATAAATGCTAGTTTTTTTCTTCGGATTTGTTCACTTATTGATAATACCAAGCAAAATAAATGGTTTGAATGGCTTGAGTATCTGTGCCAAAACATCAGTCAATATCAAAACCCACAGTCCTTCTAGGAAATGCATTAACCTGGACAGTCTACATCTACAAACACTAAGTTAACCAAGGAGACAGTACATGCTGTCATTAACAGCAATTTAACTTCATCCTTTACCATATATAGATACTTTGTTTCTTCAAATCACTTGTAAAAACTGATATTGTCATGTTTATATGTTTAACATTTCTTGTACATTAAATAACCTGAAAGTGGTTTGGCCCCAGAAAGTTTTTGCTCCTTTAGTGCTTCATCTTTTGGTTGGTAGTTTCTAAATTTTATAACTTTCACAGCAGATCTAAATGTGAAAGGAGGAAAACAATGAAAGATATATATATATATATAAGTTTAAAGATTGGTAATCCAGGCATATTTAATGTATAAAAATAAAAGATTCTCCGGATTGTATAAAATGGTTTATTGAGCTTTCGTCTCGTGTAAATAATATTTCCTCATTCTGACGAGGGCTCAAAGCAACGAGTCGAAAGCTCAATAAAATCATTTTATACAATCTGGAGAATCTTTTATTTTTATACATTTATATATATATATACAAAGTGTATAACATATATAAAGCATATATATACAAAGTGTATAACATATATAAAGTATATATATACAAAGTGTATAAGCATATATATATATATGTATATAACAATGAGTGAATGTGATTACAAAGGTATATTAATTTATGCTGGGCTTGAAATAATAGGTACGTATGGCCAAAGCAAGCCATCATTAAAAGATAGTAAGCAACAATAATTTATGCTAGCAATATTCTCAGTAATACGTAAGTATACATCTCTTACTTAATTTGTCGCCAACTTAAGGCAAATTCTAGTTGGCTAGCCAAAAAATTTAAATGTCAGGCATTACTTTTCTTTCAATATCATGCCTAGATTGACAATCACAACATACAAACACAATGAATGCATTACTCGCTTTCTGTTGAGCTGTCACTGACTCCTCTCTTTTCACCACGACCTCCCTAAAGATCAAACACATTCTGTTTCTAGTGTTTGTATGGAAAATACAAGTCATCCAAAATTTTGACTGATAATGGAACAATGTGCAAAGCCTTCTTAATTGCTGTGCACAAAATAGAATGGAGATTTTAAAACAAAACACCATTACACGCAAGAAACACATGTTTTGTTTTTATTGTGTAACCAAGCCAACATTTATAATTTTATATTGAATTTCATGATTGCTGATGGATCAGTACTATTGATTGCATTGTGTGTATCTGCGCAGTATAAAGCAGTTTACTATAATGCCATCATACAAAACTGAAGATCTCGTCAAAAAAAGGCATACTTTTCAGAATACTGAGAATATAGGCTGAGTAGACACATTGATGATTGTCATTTTGAGAGTACAGTAACTGGCTTTGACAAAAAGATGATACGATGAGCCTGACGGTTGAAATAAACAATTAAGACAATAGTATACCTCAGCAGCAGCAGCACTCTTCTCCCTCAATGCTTTTAGCTTTTCTCGCCGTTTCAATGCTTCTTGCTCTAATGAAGTTTCTTCGGCCATATTTAGTTATAGAGTTTAATATTGACCGCGCGCAAATAGAAGTAGCCTGGGCCGAGAGTCAAAAATTCACAGTGATGAAGAGATGTCAGCAAATGGCAGAAAACGATAACACAAAAATCTAGCTTGTACTATTAATTCGCACGAATAACTATGGCATCTACAGATACTCTAATACTGGTATGTTTCATCTTATAGATAATTCTAACATTAGTTGCAGAAATATAAATTATATTTTGACTCAAGCAAGTGCAATATTTTACTTGGCAACAGGGCAGTATCAACTATTATTGTCGAGCAAGATTTTACAGGCACCTACAAAACGTGTGTTTGCAAGGTTTGCAGAAGCACGGAGGTGATCCGGTTTTGACATTTTGGAAAGCATTTGGAATACTGATGGAAGGTTTGTTGTTAAAAATGTAGAGTATTGTCGTTCGCATTCTGCAGTTGTTGCGTTGCGTAGTCCATGGCAACAGGTTTTCTCTAGACTTTCTCGTAATTGATTGTCCCATTTTTACTAGTACTTTGTCATTTGATGCATTCTGACTGTTTTAAAACTGTCTGTGTATACTGCACCCTTCAAATAAGAAAATTTTCACTTTATTTTGTCTCCTGTCATTTCACATATGAAGCTTTACATTCTGCAAGCAGAATTTATGTCAATTTATAGTGGTTGGTCTCTTATCCATCACTAAACTAGCTTGTGCTTGCTTAAAAGCTTTATTTCTTTGTATTTAAAATGATCCAATGATATTTATTAAAATATACTGTATTGCCAATACTTCATAATGGTTGTTACATTGACTTGCAGATCGTGTGTCAGAAGCCATTAGAGAATTTGAATCCATCCAAGAAAGTGAAGAAGTTGTCCTTTGCTGTTTGATGGCATTAATCTATGCACATAAAAAGGCACAATTAATTGACAAGGAAAGTGTACATGAATTGGAAACAAGATTGAAAAAGATTCGAACAAGTGTTGGTGAGAATGCACTATACTTTGGTGCAATGTTTTTGTGGCACACAGGACGTCATGAAAAAGCAAGAGAATATGTTGACAGAATGTTGAAAATGTCCAATGGTTCAAAAGAGGTTTTCTAAACATGCCTTTTCACATCATAACCACAATTTAACCTGTCTTCTTTCATACAGGGAACTATTTTACGTGGATGGATTGATCTTACAAGTACACGAGATTCTGCCATTAAGAAATCCATAAAATATTTTGATGAGGCTTTACAGGAGTATGTTAATGTTTTCTCATAAAGACTTTACAATTTTCAATATTTCAATATAATATTTTCCAACTTCAGAGCTAAATCATCAGAGAATATTGATGCACTGTTTGGGAAGGTATGTAAAATACACAAAGTACATAGAAAACATCCATGCCATTTTGTCATGTCATGTTTTCATTTCTCTTTCAAGGCTACATATCTTGTAAAGAAGAGTAATTTCACTTTGGCGCTGGAATTTATTAATAAAGTAAGTTGTTTATTGTGAAATATCGATGAATTTTAAATGCATTTAAGAAATAAAAGATGTTTACTTTGTTTGCACAAGCTCATGCAAACTTGAGAGCTGATCAGTGCAATCCGAGGTCAAATAATGGCCCAGCTCTATAGTTCTCAGTCTCAAACATGTCAGAGGTCTGCATAAGTCAGTGCAAACACGAAAAACATTTTTCATTTCTTTTATAAAATAACAAAAATGCAAAACAGACAAATGTAACACAAACGTTTTAATTTTTCACTAAAATATATTCACAATTGATTTTCAAATTCTCTTTTATTGATTGATTCTTTTCATTGGTTGAGCTCAGATCAGTTTTCATTGGCTAATTCAAGCACAGCTATAGACCATACAGCGCACGTGTTTTAATGCTTTTATTTTATAATCTACGTTGTTTTACACAAGCATATACGTATGGTGGGGTATGGAAGTACATTGAGTTATGTTTCAAACACTTAAAAAATTCATGAAGTTAGCTATTGGCAATTGAATTGAAAGGCAGCATTGATTGAAATAAAATTTTTCGTAACCGGCAAGTTTTAGTATTACAATTCTATGATTGTATTGCAATAGTATTGAAACGATCATACATATAATCATTGAACGGAATAGTGTAACATAATTTTCTACTTAAGGTGGTTGTATGTTTTCCTGATTTTGAGCCTGCACTAATTGAAAAGATGAAAATTCAACTTGCTTTACAAGATTGGGAACAAACTATGGACGTTGCTCAAAGGTGATCTAGAATTTTTTACAACATATATTTGCGTTATAGAAAGCAACATAACCATTGTTAGAATCTTGAATAACGTACGTACGGGTTATAAAAATTGACTTTTTCGAAATTCAGCATTAATGTTTAAATCAAAATTCAGCGTAAACATAAAATTATGTTTGACAAATCTGAGAAGGGATTGGGACTACTGCAGTTTAGCCGACACCTTTGACGCTGACCCAAACGCTGATCCTATAATTCTAAGCAAAAATAAGCCCGCGCTCCCCATACAAGCACTTCTGGTGTCCGCTAAACTGCAGTCTAGCCGAAGGATTAAACAGTCATCGCTTTATTCTTTCATTTTTCTACCTCACTGCTATCAATTTTTAACGGGGACAAAACACTTGATTTTATTTAATTTTTATCGAAGGTGTTTGAAATTAAACCGTTACTCTTTGGATGCTCACAAAATGAGTATTATATCTTTTCTGTGTCGCGATGGAAAGTACGATGAAGCTGCTGAAAAGATCAGTGAATTGATTCATCTCTATGACAGACATGAACCTAAAAGTCATTCACTGTATTTCGAAGCGGGAAAGCTTTTTAGCCGTGTGGTGAGTCTAGCAAAAATCATTTATCAGTTTTCCTGCTATCGACTTGAAAGTGACTGACATACGTTTTCATGAAATACTTTACCTGCTAACTATAGAACTATATATACCCAAATAGTCTAGCATATACTAACACTTTTTTTATTATATTTAAAAAAATGAACGCTTTTCTTGTAGTGTGGAAGGAATACATTAGTTCTTCAACAAACATTTGAATTAATTGTTCGAGCCCAGTCTCTCAGTGAGACGAATGCCGAGTACACTGTTGAAGTACGTAGCTACCTTTAAATTTGTTTTTGAAATTTACTTAAATTGTACTTGACTTACAATGAAAATTCAATCTCTTTCTCAAATCTTTTCTTCTGAGAACACCTCGTAACTACTCTTAAGAAAAAAGGAATATTTTTCGAAACTATTATGATTTTATTGATGTGTGATACTCATTTGTGAATTTTAACACAAAAAACTTTTTTATTTCAAAGCTTGGTAATCAGTTAGTTATGCAGATGAAAATACGTGATGCAATGAAGGCGTATCGCAAAGCTATGAAACTAGATGAAACAAGTGTTCCTGCATTGACTGGTAAACTGAATTACAACGTACAATGTAATTAAAAGACTTCGGCCGTTTAATATACCAAATGCCGACTGCACGATAGACATTCCAAGCCGTTTGTGAATTAAATGGCTCGTTCATAACGTAGAATTTTAATTGTGTGCTATAAAACGAGCATAACTTTTAACTTTCGCCTCAATAGTTGAAACTTTCCAAAAGCTTGAAACTTAAAGTGTTATACATTTGGGTACGTTCGAACATCGTATGAGGGAGTTGGTGGGTCAATGTTGGATAATAAGAGCATCTAAAAGCTGTATCTTGTGGTAAAATAGCGTTGATTTGTCCTTGAAGTTAAAATTTTTCATTTTTTCAGGCCATTAAAGCATTGTTTTATCAATCGACATAGATTTTTTTCATTGATTTTGATTGTTCGGTGAAGAAATAAATGATTTGGTCCTTGCATACCCAATAACGTGTTCATGCGCATATCTCCATGCCCTTATAATTTTAATATAGGCATTATAAATTGCCAACTTCTGGAGAATATGATTGAAGATGCTGAACAGCAACTTGAGTTTCTAAATGAAATTCAGCAGTCTATTGGGAAGTCTGCGGTAAGAAATTTATCTGCATGGTCTGTGTAAAATTTGACTGACAAAAATACCTTCTGTATTTATCTGTATGTCAAGTTTACAAATCACTATTGGTTTATATAATTGTAGGACTGAGGTTACATATGATCAGTATTTGGCTTATAAACATATTGTAAACAAGTATTTAGTACAAGGCTATGGTGAATAAAATCATGTGGAAATATATGATTACCATTTAGTTATTATCTGAGGGATAAATTTCTGCTTACGTCATGCACATTGAAACTTAACAAAAAAATTGAATTTATTTTATGATTCTATCGCATTACGTATAGGAATTGTCTTATCTCGGTGCAGTCCTCGCTCGCAAAAAAGAAAAGAGATTTGAGGAAGTTGTTAATTTACTACACGAAGCTACGGACAGCCATTTTAAAGAGTTGCAGGTGTTTGTACATTTTATATCGTTTCTCTATTTCTATGTACAATGAGGTCATCTTCGGTGTTTCTATGTACAGCTGAGGTCATCTTGTGAATTTCTATGTACAGCTGAAGTCATCTTGTGAGTTTCTATGTACAGCTGAAGTCATCTCGTGGTTTCTATATACAGCTGAGGTCATCTTATGGGTTTCAATGTACAGTTATGGTCGTCTTGTGTGTACCTAAATTCTCTATCTTGAAGAAGACTACTTAACATGCACGCAATTACATTTACACAATTACAGTTACTATTTGTCGAAAACTGCAACTGAACCAATTGCTGTAAGCCTCAAATATTTTAACAGTAACAATCAATTATTTAATCAATAACAATCAATTACGTAAAATTCCATCGACAAGGCAACCTTATAGAAACGCTATCAAATCAAAATTCTCATTTGTAACAGAAGTGCATAGCATTTCTCTATTAATTTATTTCAGGGCATCCCTTTAGGATTTGAGTATTTTTTGAAGCTGAATCCAGAGTTTTTATTGCAAACCATTGAAGAGTATCTTGTCTTTGCTCCAAGTGAGGTAATTACCTATTAATAATATAAATATTGTGCATTCAAACAATTTTTTGTACGATTTTCGCATTCAAGTGTTTGTACTCTACTGCTATATGTACTTCTCAGAGCGAGGTACTCTTCTAGTCTTACCTTAAGTGGTGCGGCTCAGTTTTTTGAATCTGGTTTAGACTAATTGATTAAGTCTAGCACTTGTATATATGCGTCTTTATGCCTTCGAAGTAGGTCAGATAATCCCAAATGATTTTAGATAAGTTTATCCAAACGGTCAACATTTAAACCCCTATCTGTGACGAAACACCTGAAACTAAGAACACCCGAAAGGGGTAATTTCTGTATGGTGCTAATTATCAATATATGATAAGATTCTTTGATGGTTCAGAGATAATACTTTATGATCAGTCTTTAGGTAGTGTTTCTTATATTGCACGTGCGTACATAAATACTTCGTGAATTTGTGGCTTTAACTTTCAATCAGATCGCAGTGGATCTACATTAGTTAGTTTCCTAAATCTTTTTAGTAGTACTGTATTGGGTACTTATTTAAGTATTTTATATTTCTGGTTTGGTGTAAAATTTTAGGTATTTTCTTACCGTGAACATTTCATAATATATGAACACACGACGCAATATTCTATTTAGCCTGTTGAGAAGGGCCAGTCTGTTTCTCCCTTACTGAAACGTTGTGCTGCGGTTCTTGATCCATTGACTAAAGCAACGCCAGGTGTTTTACAAGGTCTTTATCTCATGGCTAAAGTGCGATATCTCTCAGGTGCGTTGTTGATTTGTATCAGACATTGTGGCTACGTATGAAAAAGGGAACTTTCTGTTAGTTATTAAACTATGTATGTATCGTTTACCATTATTGTTTGTCGTATCGAAACTGTTCACCCATGATTTAACCTAAAGCAAACTTGGGTGAGAAAACTTTTTATTGTGCACCATAAACTGTGTATACTTTACCATTAACCTTGTCAGGAATGAACACAGTCATTGAAAAAATCTTTGTATTTTTTACTAAACTCATTGTCTGTTCACTTGTTTAATGTTTTTAGGTAATATTGAGGTAGCAAAGACGATGTTGGATCATTGTTTGCAAAAGCACGAAAGATTTTTTGACGGATACTTGCTCATGGCACAGGTGAAATCCATGTTTCATTGTGATATTTTTGTTACATGTACTTTTTCCTGGCCTGCTGCAGTCCTGTCTGTCTGTATATGATGACTTTCAAGCTCATTATGTTTATTTTTTCTAGCGCACTAGACGAGGGCGTAAATCCTAGGGAGGCAGGGGTTAAATCCTGGAGAGCAGGGTGTAAATCCTGGAGGGTTAGGGGTAAATCCTGGGGGCAGGGTGTCAATCCTGGAGGGTAGTGTGTCAATCCTGGAGAGCAGTGTGTCAATCCTAGGGACACAGGGGTTAAATCCTGGAGAGCAGGGGGTAAATACTGGAGGGTAGGGGAATCCCCTGGGGCAGGGTGTGTCCAGCGGAGGGCAGTGGTGTCAATCCTGGGGAGACGGGGTAAATCCTGGAGGCAGAGGGTAAATCAGAGGAATCAATCCTGAAATCATGAGGAATCAATCTATCAATCCTGGAGGGGGGGTAAATCCTGAGGAGGCTGGGGAGGAGGGAAATCCTGGAGGCAGGAGTAACAATCCTGAGAGGGCAGGGGTAGGAATCCTGGAGGCGGGGGAGTGGAATCCTGGAGGGCGGGGTAAAATCCTGGAGGCAGGGTGAAAGAAAAAATCCTGGAGAGCAGGGGGTAAATCCTGGAGGGCAGGGGGGTGAATCCTGGGAGGCAGGGGTGTCCATCGGAGGGACAGGGTCAATCCTGGAGGCAGAGGGGAATGAAAAAATCCTGGAGGCAGGGGTAAATCCTGGAGGGCAGGGGTTTAAATCCTGGGAGGCAGGGGTAAATCCTGGAGGGCAGGGGTAAATCCAGTGGGCAGGGTGTCAATCCTGGAGGGCAGGGTGTCAATCCCACTGTAGGCGGGGTAATCCTGGGGCGGGGTGTGTCACCTGGAGGCAAAGTATCAATCCTGGAGGCAGAAGTAAAATCCTGGAGGGCAGGGAGTAAATCCAGTGGGCAGGAGTGTCAATCCTGGGAGGCAGGGGTAAATCCTGAAAGGCAGGTTGGCTCAATCCTGGGGGGCAGGGGTGTATATGCTGGGGACAGGGGTATATATGCTGTGAGGACAGGGGGTAAATTCTGGAATAAAGGATATATCAATCCTGTAGAGACAGAGGGGTCATGTCCACCACCTTTTTCAGCAATGATTTCACATAAGAAAACCTATTACACCCTGAGATACCCAGTCTATTGCTCCCCCTCTCCTTTTTTGAAAACAGATTTGCTTCCTCGCTGTTTAAGATAATACTTACGTACTTTGTACCAAAATCTTTTTACCTGCATATGCAAAAACTTTTATACCAATGTTACAGATTCATCTAAGGGAAGGAAATTACAGAATGGCGGATCAATCCCTTGATGTTGGACTTAGTTATAATTTTCAGGTGAGTGCCTCCACAAACTCTGTCAATGTTGACTTTTATAACCGCGGACGGCTTACATATATTTGAACTCAACTTTGGAGTCCGGCCTGTTTATTTTATCATCAGAATTTCTATGATGTATTTGGCCTACCAGTTTAAATTTGATCCAAGTTTTATTTAAATATTTCAAATATATTAGTACGAATTCAATAAGGTACAGAAAATGATCAAACCATGTCCCGCTAGAATGCAAAGGAGTCGGCTTTCAAACGCTTCATCGTGGAGACCAAACTCTGAAGACAATGTTTTTAAAGAACTGTCATTGTACAATTGATAAATTTCTTCATGGCATAAGCTCTTTCACTTATTTAAATATATGTGCAAATGTGCAAAAAACAACGATGCAAAACTTACGGAGCAACCTACGAAGTGGACGGCCAAAACATACTTCTAGAAAAGACCGAGCTTTCTTGCTTTCAAGTGACGATAAAGGATGAAAAGTTCCCTGTAGCTTAGACAAGATCTCATGCAAAATGGAAAATTTTATCACAATATTTTTCATTTTTTACAAACGTCTACAATCCTTATTTTCAGGTTCGTGATTCTCCTCAGTATCATTTAATAAAAGCTTCTGTTCATAAAAGTTTGGGAAATCATGAAGAATGTATTCGGACATTAAATATAGCGATGTCTCTGCCCGGTGTGAAAAAATCAAGTGTGTATTGCGTCATCCTATTTAAACCTTACAAACATCGGTGTATGAATAAAGATTGTTAATTATTTTTAAATTCCAGCTAGTCAAGGAGGTGTTAAGGGTAGCAGTTTGACTACAAGCGAAAGAGCATCTGTGTATTTGGAACTGGCAGCAGCACATTCTAACTTAGATCATTCGGTAAGCCTCAAGAATTTCTCAATTGAAGTCCATGTTGTCATTTGTTGACCTTAAGGGCTTTTAAGGATTCAATATGTATGAAGATATGACTAAACGAAACATGTCATGTTTTTAGTGTTTCTCATTACTTCTTTTAGTACTCATGTTATCCTCTACTACTGCACATGTCATCTTCTACAAGTACACATGTTATCCTCTACTACTGCACATGTCATCTTCTACAAGTACACATGTTATCCTCTACTACTACACATGTCATCTTCTACAAGTACACATGTTATCCTCTACTACTACACATGTCATCTTCTACAAGTACACATGATATCCTCTACTACTACACATGTCATCTTCTACAAGTACACATGTTATCCTCTAATACTGCACATGTCATCTTCTACAAGTAGTACACTATCTCGTAGTACATATGACATCTCCTTAGTACAAATGCTTACCACAAGTTACCAAAACTTTAAATCACTTTTCATGATATTATGTAGCATGAAGCTGCGAAAATAATGCAAGATGCAATGAACGAGTTTTCTGGAACTTCTGAAGAAGTCAGGTCAATAATATAGAACATACAAATTACGATTTTGTGAAATAGTTTGACATAAATTTGGTCATTGGTGTCGAATTCATTTTTCAGATGGACGTTTTGAATCAATATAATCGTATATCGATTATTATTTACCATTGAATTTTGAAACAAATCTATAACTTTGTTTCACATTCGAGATGGACAATTTCAAATTTGCGTCAAAATGTCGTTCTGCAAAACATTGAACATGACACTTAAAAATTTTTTTAGTACAATTTAATACAAAATATGCCAGAGGGTTTTTACAAACTACATTTTAAATTCTTTATCAGGGTTAACATTGCAAATGCAGATCTGTTTTTAAAACGAGGAGATTACAAAGAAGCACCAATATACTTCGATCTGTTACTCGGAACAAAGGTAAAATGCTAATGGGTGTGTTGTCTTAATTTATCCATATCGCCAATGCTAAATGTGAAGACCCACAGTTTATTACGGTGTTTTGTAATGTCTTTCTGAGCTAACCCTTCCGTGTTCGCACGTTTTATGATTTAATTTTTTAAGCGTTTCTTGATTTTATCCACACGCTTTTTACGTTATGAATTAATTCTTTTTGTAGTTACTTCATTCAGGCGAGAGAGAAAATGGCAGACATTTATCTGAATTACCGCAAAGATAAACGTCTTTATGCCAGCTGCTATCGGTTGCTTTATTTATATATGTGCTATTTATGAGTTTCACGTGTGTATACTAACCCTATTTCGTATTTTTTAAAGTGAACTTTTTGACAAATATCCCAATGCTCAAACCAGCCTACTATTGGGAGATGCCTATATGAGCATACAGGAGGTAAACGTTAAAAATTATGACAATTTATTAATACTATAGCTTTAGTAATACTAGCTTCAATTTCAAACATTGGTCTGTGTTGACCTAAATTAATTTTTTTTTTAATTCACGCATATTGACACTATCTTCATGAAGTTTCCTTTAGACATTGAGCGATGATCGTTGTATTAACTGATGTTGTGTTTTCAAGTCAGGAAAACAATAAAATGCCTTTATCCTCGAATAAAATACAAAGTGTATTAAAAACACTTAGAAAATGCAACAAATAACGTGTTATGTATTTCTATATGATGAACGTTTATGTGGTAACATGAAAGTAGACTTTTTGTTTTTTCCGTATTTTTGTAGCCTGAACAAGCAATTGAAGTTTACGAATCTGCTCTAAAACGCAACCCTCGTGATAGTACACTGTCCACCAAGATTGGACAGGCACTGATTAAAACACATAATTACAACAAAGTAAAAGCATTCTTATATACCTCACAGAATTTGATGAGTGGTTGATCGGACGCAACTTGATTTAATTCTAGGCTATAAACTATTACGAGGCAGCCGTAAAATCTGGAAACCAAGGATTTCTTAGGTAATGCACGACATTAGATTATATTTTTCCTCTGTCTCTGACGTAATTACTAAAAATCCCAAATCGAAGTCCTGATCAATTTCCTTCGAAGTCTTGATTAATTGGTTTGAAGATAGTGGTGATGGTGTGAAAAGCGTGGTAACTGAGTAAAATGCAAGATATGGTAGTGTGTGGAAAGTAGTGGTGACAGTTAAAGAAAAATAAATGTAAAGTGGTGGAATGATAGTGGTAAAATGGAAAAATGTAGTGAAGAAAGTAGTGTAAAGCTGTGGTGGATAGTGGTAACAGTGGTGGAATGTAATGGTAACAATGAAGTGAAAAAATGGTCAACAGTGGTAAGATAGTAACGGTGTGGAAGGTAGTGGTAACAGTTGTGGAAAAGAGTTAGCAATGAAACGTAGTGGAAAATGTAGAACAGTTGTGGAAGGTTATATGCTGGAAGTGAGTAGAAAATTAAATGAAGTGACAGTTATGGAAAGGTAAATGAAACTGACGTTGTGGAAATAGCTGTGGTAATAGAGGTGAAAAATAAATGAAAACAGTTATGAAGGCTAAATGGTAATGAGGTGGAAGGTGAGTTATGTTGGAGGAAGATATTGGTTTTGGTGGTGGAAAATAGTAGTTATGGTGCTAAATCATTGTGGTAATATTGGTGGAAGAAATCGGTAATGGTGGTTAAAGATAGTGGTTTTGGTGGTTGGAAGAAAGAGGTAGTTGTGGTTAAAAAGAGTGATAATAGTGGTGGAAAATAATGGTTATTATGGTGAAAGATAGAGATTATGGTGGTTAGAGATTGCGGTTATGGTGGTGGACGAAATCGGTAATGGTAGTTAAATACGTATATTGGTAATGGTGGTGAGAAATATTAGTAATGGTGGCACTAAGATGTCCTTGCTACAAAATTGTTTTCTTGATGATGGTAAGAAAGCTCTAGTTTCTTATATAGGTACGATCTTGCTGAACTCTATATGAAACTGAGAAACAACGAAAAAGCAGAAAAAGTAATTCAAGCTGCTCTACTAGAGGAAAACGGTATAAGTAATGTTGTATTTCTAGTATTTATTGATTGGTTATTTATGTGAAAGTTTTGGGGTAATTTGGTACATATGACGATTAAAAATTCACCATTCCTACTTTCCAAAATTCACTCGTTGATATGATGAAACACAACCTTCAGTATTACTGGTTTTTAGGAACGGATATTTCTTCATTGATGCAGGAAAGTAAACTACTTTTTCTTCACTCCAAACTTCACCAGCAAACAAAAAATACAGAAGAATATTCGAAAGTTTTAATGAAAGCAAGAGATGTTCAAATCAGGTAGGTATTTTTTGTTCACTTCCTATTAAGACAAATTTAGACAAGAACCACAAGAGAAAATTATGGTAACTAAGGAAAATAATGGGAGCACTGTGAAAATTAATGGCATTCAAAATTCAATGAGATCATCACTTTCTACGGCAGTAACGTTAACATTATCAGATCCAGATCATTATTAGAACTACGTCTGAAACCCGTGATATGTTATGCAGCCACTTTTCTAAATTTTTCAAACGTGTTGCTGAAACTACATAATGAACACAGAGGCGCAACTAGAATGTTTATTGGGTGGGCATATGTCATATATTCAGTTGTGTTCGACTGATTTCTCATCAAAGAAAATATCTTTTCTAAAGAAATCATTCGGGCGCAACTGAATATATGAATACACACACACAATCAACTTTCTACTTACGCCCCTGGAGGAACACCAATGCATAATGCTAAGAAAGTTATCAAACTGCTGTTGGCCGAAAATTTTGTGAGGCGCAAGACACAACTATACCTGCCAAAAATAAATAGTCCTGACTTTAATGTAGCACTTTTTATTGCAGGACGCCATTTTAACCTGAATGTCTTCATGTCTCCAAATATTTTCTAGAGTTTTGAAAAGAGTGGGTCTTGAACAACCTGATCAAACAACTGCACAAAAACAGAACGCAGCCAGGTGAGTTTATTCTCCATTTAAATGGATACTATGAAGCACCTGCATGTAGTGGTACTGAACACTTAGTGGTGACGTGATCCATTTTCTATTCTGTAAATAAAGAAGTCTACTTTAATTAAAGAGAAGTGTTGATCATGTTCGTGTTGTCATGTTGATTTTACTGTTGCAAATAACAAGGTTAGCACAATATCACTTTATATTATTGACATCTAAGTGAATGTTTAATTTTGTCTGAAGGATCTGTTGTGACATCGCAGAGTTAGCCACAAGCAATCGTGAATATGAACGATCCATTCGTTTTTACCAAGAAGCAATGTCACATGACCCATCGCATATTGAGGTATTGTGACTACATCGTGAAGTAAATAAGGATTTTTTCATGGATGTTGATGGTATTTATCTGCACCGTAGGCAATGTTGTCCCTTGCGAGATTATATTTGGTGGTTGACGACATGGATGCTTGTAGACTGCAATGCTTGAAGTTGTTAGAAGTCGATAAAAACAACGACTCCGCATATATGGTAAGTATCTAAAGCGAGATTTTCGTGCAAGATCTCTTCTCTGCTGATTTTAATGTTTTCTATAAATCTTTAATCGTATGAGAACGCAAGTTATTGTTTTTTTAATATTTCGTGTGACAAAAATCAACGTATTGATATTAAACATGTCTTCATTGGAAATCTTGTTTTAAAGGGAAATAAAAAGTCCTGAATGCATAAAAATGTGTCAAATTTCACATGCTAATTTAAAGTCAATTCCTCCTTCAAAACTCGTAGCTTAGCAAGGACACTAGATTGAAATATAATGACGGTAACTCTCATGACAATTGAAATTTCAGATGATTGCTGAGATAATGTTTCGTAAGCACGACTATGAATCAGCCATATTCAACTTTCAGCAGTTACTGGAAAGGAAGCCAGGTGATGAAACTTGCACCCTATTTAAACGTATTCTACACATACGTATTATTGTGGCGGATGTTATCTATTGAATTCTTCTGGTTCATTTCTGTTTTGCAAAAGCCTTCAGTGGAAAAACGTTTGTTTGACTTCAAATGGTTAATCTGACAGTAAATTTTCTGCAAATAATAACCATTTTTCGAGTGAAAAAAATTGATAACTTTAGCAAAGTTTTCCAATTTGTTCAGTTTTTTTTTTAATACACCCTGTAGTGCTTATTTTAACGAATTATTAAGAATAACAAATTCTACATTACATATTTACAATACGCTGTGATCTTTTTTTACTGTTGTGAAATAGAATTATTTATGTTGTACACGCCGTAACTTAACACGTTCATTCTTTAATTGCTAGATTTTACATGTCAACTGTTTTCTTACGTATTGTGTAAAGTTATTTGCTGTGTCGGCTTATGGTGCAATTGTAATTTGGCATGTTAATTTATCGCTTCTAGCTTTGCATGTATTGCTGTTACATTTACAATTACTGTTATACTGTATGTGTTCTTGTCCTCTGTTGTAGATCAATATGAAGCCCTGACAAAGCTCTTAGATCTATTACGACGAGCAGGAAAACTTGAAGAATGTGATCAATTTATTGAACAAGTAACATATACCGGATTCATTTCATGAAAATACGATTCTTAGGCTGCGTTTACACTATACCAGATTCGCTCATCACGACATCTTCATTTTCTTTGAAGGGTTAACTGTTCGGAATAAAAGCTTATTAAGTTGATAGATTTAGTCTATTTGATTGTGTTTCTGACGTTGAACAATTTCTGTGACTTTTAATACAAAGAATATTCAACCTGCTACAATAGCAATCTGATATAGTGTAAACGGGACCTTAATTTCTCAGGAGAATTTTCTTTTTCTTTTTGATTCCATTGTTCTTTTTTCAAATCGTATATGTACATCATATTTAAGGCCGAGAAATCCTCCCCAGGTGACAGAGATACAGGCTTGAGTTACTGCAAGGGAATGTGTGAATGGTAAATGTAGTGACGTTGTTGATTTATATAACTTTAATTTATCAATTATTAATGCACAGCTTTCGCTTAAAATTTGCCACTATCTTTTTTTATCACGCCTGGTTAAGCGAGGTTTTAAAACATTTACTTTATGTAAAATGAATCAATTGGAAATTTACTAAACCAAAATTTATTGATCTTTCTTTTTCATCGTGTCATCGTATATATGTGTTATGTTTTAATTTGTGGATCTTGAAGGTACAAGAATAATCCAACTCAAGCATTAAATCATTTCAATTGGTCACGAAAGGATGCTTTGTGGTATGATCATTTTTGTAGCTATATGTTTAGTTCGTGATAACGAAAGTTTCCATCTTCCTAAATAATTATAGACATTGTCATTCTCTCTGCATTTCTGTCCAGTGTAATACATTCGTTTTCTCCTGTGGTAACTAGATACCGCTAAACCTTTTTATGTAGGGGTGAAAACGCCACGTATAATATGATCGAAATTTGTTTGAATCCTGATAACGAAACGCTTGGTAAGATCGTTCATTGAGCCAACAGTGAGAAACCGTCATTTTTATTAAGAGGAAAGGGTGTATATGGGACTTTAATGATGTTTTTATTTTTACATGATCGACAACTTTACTCAATTCTCCATGCATGAACCCTCTACGCTACCAGTGAAGTTTACATTTGTTAATAACGATTTAAGCATCCTTAGCAATCACGTTAATGTTCTTTGTGCACGCCAAGAGCACATATTCCAAATTTATACATCCTATAGAAATGTAACGCTCTCTCCTTATCTTAATTAAATTTTATTTTATTTTGTTTTAGGCGGTGAAACATTTGAAGGAATGGATGGGGATTTGGGGTATGGATAATTTTTGCTTTCTATCGTTTTAACACTTTATAAAAAAATTATTAAAGTTAATAGTTTTTATGCGATTTTGGTAGAAATCAAGCTGAGAAGACTGACTCTCAACTTGCTGCTGTCAAAACTGCAGAGAAGCTTTTAAAGGTATATATATATATGACGCGTGTCCTTTTAATGTTTGAACAAAATTCCTTTTGTATCGCAAGTTGATGCTTGGAATTCACAATGTCACAAAATACAATCACCAATAGATTTGGTCGCCAATTGTTATAGATACGAACAACATAAACTTGTTTTACTTGTACGTTTCACGTGCCAGATGCTCCAAGTTGCTAAGTCACGTGTCACCGTTAACGTGCCAGATTCATTAATTCACTGAAGTGTTGATTTAAGATTCCGGATTATCTTTTGTTTGTAATTTGTTCTGCATCTGAAATGCTGAACGTTTGCTACGGGGCTTAAATACAAAACAGGTCAATTTATCAAATTGCGTTCTCTTCAAGGAATTAAAACCGAAGGGAAATCGATTAAAGCATCAAATTTTTGAGAATTATGCATTGATGGCGAACAGGAACAAATCAAATATCGAAAAGGCTCTATCACAATTCATGGAAATAGCCACATCTGAGGTAAAATTTTGTAACTTCGTATCTGGGGATAAACAATCACAGATTTAAATTGGTATTCATTTCGCTACATTCAAAAAATGCATTCAGATAATCTGATCCTTCACTTTACCCACTACACACATGTACATGGTTTATCAGCGACTTGATCCATCATTGCACCCACAACACACCTTAGGCTTTATGGCTATAATTCCGTGTTCGGCAATACGAGAAACTGATCCCTTGTTTTATGTGTACTAGCCAGCCTACAGATTTACTCCCGCTATGTAAATTAAGGATTACCATTATTCATTTCTTTAGAAATCTATTCTTCTCATGGTGAATTTACCCAAAAACATTTGAATAGCTGGAGTAAAATGTTACGCTGTTTACTTACTAATTGCTTATTTAAAAAAGATTAAGGTTTCATGAGCAGTTTCACCAATTTGTATAACACGGAAATATTACTGTAAGCTAACTGTGACTTCTCTACCATCAGAGGGATTACTTACCGTCACTGAAACTGTAGCTGCAATAACTGTAAGCTAACTGTGACGTCTCTACCATCAGAGGGATTACTTACCGTCACTGAAACTGTAGCTGCAATAACTGTAAGCTAACTGTGACTTCTCTACCATCAGAGGGATTACTTACCGCACTGCAACTGTAGCTGCAATAACTGTAAGCTAACTGTGACTTCTCTACCATTAGAGGGATTACTTACCGTCACTGAAACTGTAGCTGCAATAACTGTAAGCTAACTGTAGCTTCTCTACCATCAGAGGGATTACTTACCGCACTGAAACTGTATCTGCAATAACTGTAAGCTAACTGTGACTTCTCTACCATCAGAGGGATTACTTACCGCACTGCAACTGTAGCTGCAATAACTGTAAGCTAACTGTAGCTTCTCTACCATCTAAGGGATTACTTACCGTCACTGAAACTGTAGCTGCAATAACTGTAAGCTAACTGTAGCTTCTCTACCATCTAAGGGATTACTTACCGTCACTGAAACTGTAGCTGCAATAACTGTAAGCTAACTGTAGCTTCTCTACCATCAGAGGGATTACTTACCGTCACTGAAACTGTAGCTGCAATAACTGTAAGCTAACTGTAGCTTCTCTACCATCAGAGGGATTACTTACCGTCACTGAAACTGTAGCTGCAATAACTGTAAGCTAACTGTAGCTTCTCTACCATCAGAGGGATTACTTACCGTCACTGAAACTGTAGCTGCAATAACTGTCAGCTAACTGTGACTTCTCTACCATCAGAAGGATTACTTGCCGTCACTGAAACTGGAGCTGCAATAACTGTAAACTTACTGTAGCTTCTCTACCATGAGAGGGATTACTTACCGCACTGCAACTGTAGCTGCAATAACTGTACGCTAACTGTGACTTCTCTACCATCAGAGGGATTACTTACCGTCACTGCTTGGCATGGCGACCGCCTATATGTATTTAAAACAGATACCTAGAGCAAGAAACCAATTGAAACGTGTTGCGAAGATGAACTGGAATATGGGGGTAAAGTATTGACAGCCCTTACTAATATCTAGGTTATCATGAATTTTTCAAAATCTACATGATCTATTGCGTAATAATTTTATTTACAAATAATTGTGTCTTTTTGACTTAAACTATTTAAAACTTCTTTATCTTTAAAAATTGGCAATTTTTTTAGGAGGCTGAAGAGTTTGAAAAATGTTGGTTACTTTTGGCTGATATTTATATTCAGGTGAAGCACATACGAATAGTAATCTTTAGCGATTTGTTTAAGATAGTTTTTATTAAACATTTACATGCTTTTCAACTTTGTCTTTGTCTTGTATTATTTAGAATGGGAAATACGATATGGCAGGAGAATTGCTAAAAAAATGTCTCGAACACAATAAGGTAAGAGACCGTTTTCTCTTTGCACAGTAATTTTGTATTGACCAGTGACAGTCAAGAACATAAAGACATTATTTAATTAACCTTGTAAAGTCGATAATACAAATCTTTTTTTTCTCATAAATTAAGTCGTTAAAATGAAAACCATGCAGCAATTTGTAAATACACTGTTAATACTAAAATGATGAAAAACCCCAACGGTATCATCTTTAAGATGTTTTGAAATTATGTATGTCTGGCATTATATAAGCACATAGTCGCACAAACGAAAATTGATCTCTGAGTTAACTTTTCGTTCATGCAGTCATGCTGTAAAGCGTGGGAATACTTGGGCTTTATAATGGAAAAAGAGCAATCTTATCAAGACGCGGCGCGGAATTATGAAAATGCATGGAAATTTGGCAATCAAAATAATCCTGCGATTGGTATGAATTTACCGAAGCACAAGTTCATTATAGCTTCGCAATGAAAAATTGGTTTTGCTTTAGGTTACAAGTTGGCATTCAACTATCTCAAGGCAAAACGATTTGTTGATGCAATTGATGTTTGTCAAAAGGTATAAATAGATAAAACTCACTTTTACAAACATTTCTTCCCCAAAAGCTGTGAGACACCATTATATAACCTGCTTTTTGTATGATTTGTGTTTCTATTCAAGGTTTTGTCTCGCCATCCGAAGTATCCGAAAATTAGAAAAGAAATTCTTGAAAAAGCAAGATCTTCATTGAGAATGTAGCCAGAAAGAAATAGAAAAGCCTTATGGATGTTTGTTTGAACTGTGTAAAATATGTTGTATAAAAATCAAATATTTATATTAAAGATTTATTATTATTTAGTAGTACATAATACATTCACAATACAAAGTTCTACAGCTAAAGATTGATGTCATCATTAAGTGCTTTTGTCAATACGCACTTTTCTAGCACACGTTACATATTTATGTATAAATCAAGGTCATCGTCAAGTGCTCTTCTTACAGTTACTTTAAACTAGCTGCATATTTACGAAATTGGCTTGCGTTGTAATCCATGCGTTTTTTGATGCCACCATTTTTGCCTGGTATGGACCCACGATAATCGTCACGATCTAGATATTCATCAGCAACTTTACTCCACTCTTCTTTGTTGATTAACTTGACTGTCTTGTGAGAGGCCTTGAATTCTCCACGAAATACTCCGTTGACAAGAGCTATTTGCACATAACTTGGATAGTCGTAATACTTTGGAAAAAGTTTAACGGCTACTTGGATTTTAATTTTCAATTGTGCCTCAAAAAGTTTCGATACTTGATCATTGGTCAGACTTGTCCTACCACTAACAACATCATCAAAATCAACCATAGGTAGAGCATTTTGAAACAATTCTCTTGCATCACTTTGCTCAAGATTAAAACCAACTCCAATAGTCTTGATTCCTCTTGTGTCTTCATACACTTTGGGAAAATTACCTTCAAACTTTTCGATAACTTCTTTCATTCTTTCGAAACTCATGATTAGCGTTTTCTGAATGCATTCTGAAAGTAAAATTTCTTTTATATAAAAACACTATTTAATGACTCATTTATTCAAACGAAGACGAAAGCAAAAATAAAAGTGAAAAAATTACCTTTAGAGTCGTGACGAAACCGAAAATTCAAATAAACTTAATTCACTAATAAAAATAAATATTTTTACATTGTTTTCAATATTGACAGAGCATTATTGAAAACGTGTCATAACTTTTAATGTTAGTATTAAAGTGTTTTGACTCGGTTTGAGCGTGGTGACATAGTGAAGGAAATATGAAATTGTTAAAATTTGGTGAAATGCTGGTGAAACTTTTAGAGATTATTAAATTGATAGAAAATAGTCCAAAGACCGTGGCAGGAGTCATATTATTATGACGTTTCTCTGATGATGGCTTTGGAATAAAGTCAAAACACGGTGCCATCTAAAAACTGTTATCGTGGCGAGAATATATCGTCCATACGTATGCCGTTTAGAATAGATTTCACAAAAACCTTGTCACGATTCATATTAATATACATCTATGATGATGGCTTTGGAATAAAGTCAAAACATCGTGATATTTCTCAGGTACACTAACATTATGGTTATTGATAAAACAGGACCTGATATTTTTCTGGTCAACAAACAATACGGTTATGAACATTTCTCTGTAAACATTAATAAGTTTTCTTTTGCAACGAAGGTGTCTTCCTAACAGCAAGCGACTTTTTCTTCTTAATCTCAACACCAATCTTGAAACGACGAAATTTATACTTGGCATATTTACTATGAGTGCTCTCTAATGGTTTAATGTCTAGATCTTTGATCAGTTTTACATAGCGTTCAAAATTTGAATTCTTAATACTCTTTAATTTCTTCATTCGTTGATCTTTCAGCCATTGCAGATACACTTTATTATGCTTGTCCTGAGTATAAACACAATGGGGTTATATGGCTGAGATGATACTGGCATCAAAGAAAATTACCAAAGTTAACAAACCTTATTTTTCATCATCTCCAAATGCTTCTCCAAATTTTTAATAGAAACTGTTTGCACTGCAACTATGGAATATTATCTCTTAGCAAGAAAATTTGTCCAAATGTTATATATATATATATGTCTGTAGCTAGAGGTATGAAATTTATTATTGTAAATAAGATATGCTGTAGCTTTCAATTTGGCTGTGGTGGCTGCATCAAGGTTTTTTTTTACCAAGATTTTTTGTAAAATTTCTATCACAAGCAATTTCCTTTTTTAAGGTAAATTATTAACTTGAGATGACCACCAAGAGCACAGAATAATGATCATATTAGATGGGTCACAATGGTATTCGTCACGGTTGCCATTTTATTCATGCAAGTTGATAATAGTTTGTCATTTGGCTGGAATAATGGCAGCTTATACAATGTATGGCATAATTTGCACAAGGACAAAAATGTCAAAAGTATCAACAGGAGTTTTTTAGTAAAACTCAAAAAAATTTACTCTCCATATAAAGTGATAACATGCAACACTAGTCGAAACATTTAGAATAAAATGTTTACTTCATACAAGTGTTAATTGTTTTGTGTTCTACAGAAATACTTTTTGGGAGTTGTAATTTTTTCAACAGGAGTGGCCCTTCAGTATATTGCATATTCTATGACCAAAGATACAAGGAGAAACAATGGACATTTGCAGGGATGTGTAAAGAATAGCAATAAGGAATGCAAGAGTACTAGAGATTGATTATGCACTGATAATGCCAGTGATATTATAAATGATTTATTACACATAAAAGGGTGTAAATAAATAAGTCTATGAGGATACTAAAGGCATGAAGAGACATTTTGAAGCCAATTATTGGATCTGTCTGGCTTCTTCCTCATGTATAAATATGAGTTAGTTTGATTATAATAGAAAGAAAAAATACAAACTTTGATTTTCTTTTGCTGTGATGCAACTTTTCATCAACTGCTTGTTCCAAACTTTTCTCTTGGCTTGCTATAGATGGAAAATTGATAACATTAAAATCGAAGTTAAATATGACCAGTAAGTGGACAGAATGGATTGTACCTGAGATGCATTTTCAAAACTAAAAATTCTACGAACATTTTCGTCTGCACTAAATAACACAACAGCAATCAGTCAATAACTGCATTACACTGCATGACATGGAAAATAATTTTCAACAAAAAATATACATCAAAGTTTATAGTACTTTTGCAGCTCTTCTATATCTTCAAAGCCACCAATAAACTTCACTTTATTTGACAAAGCTTGAACATTAGAAAAAATAGTGTGTAACCTTTGCGGACGGTAAATTGTCAAAATAACTATAATTAATTTTAAAAACACAAGTACACATACGTACCATTTGTACACAAAATTTTACAAACAAACAGTTTCTTTTGAATAACATTTTGAGGAAAAAAACGTTTGAAAACATAAGAAAGTGACATTTTGTTGATGCCACTAAGGCTAATTAAGAAATTTATTATGCATCATCCTTCACAATGACACAAGAAATTCGAAATATACTTAAAAATAGGTACGCGATGCGTACATTCACTCGCAGGAACAGCACTCTTTCCAAATAATAACTTAGCAGTAAAAACTAATAGCTCACCGAATGCAATTACCAATATTTTTCAGCTAGTGAACTAGAAGTAACAAAATGTTCTTGAATTAAATGTTTTATGAAATATCGCCTTCGTATGGCAATAGACAATGAAGAAAAGAGAAAAACTATGCTATAGACCAAGTGTTAATTGTTACTGGGCACTGTCTAGTCCAAAGTCCAAACTAACTTAATATTGTTCATCATACGATATCATAAAAACAAACACTCTCCCAAGAATGCAACTCATGTTCTAAAAGAAAATGTTTATTTATTGCGGAATGTTAATTGCTTTCTGTTAAATTATATGTTGGCAGTATGCACTTTTGCGGTACACATTACATACTTATGTATAATGTCAGCTTAAGTTCTTAATGACCAGTGTCATGCTTAAGTTCTGTTTTCACAGTTACCAGTATTGAGGAAGCCTTCAAACCCTTTGATAACTTTTTTCATACTTTCCACACTTATGATTGGTGTTCTCTAACTGTAGTCATAAGCGTGCGGGACGGGGGGCAGGGAGAGCAGCTCCCCCCCCCCTAAGATAGTTTAAAAAGTAAAAAGTTGGGCAAATGTTTAGCGTCAGGCAGGCGAAAATACGGTGGAACCTTCTTCGTAAAATGGGAAGCAATTACTGCCTCCCCCCCCCCTCCCCCCAGAAATGATAGCTCCCGTACGCCAATGACTCTAGTCGTTACTGAACATATTTGAAAGCAATATTTTCTTTTATATTTAAACACTATTTAAAAACTTCAACAATTCACGTGTTGATAAAACAAAGCAAAAATGAAAGGGAAATAGTCAATTGCACAGGAAGTGCAGCCGGTTTGTCAGCAAAAAATTTTTATTGGCTAAAAATGATTTTGGTATATACCCAACAAATTCTCTCACATTTAAAACTTAAATGAAAGCAAAAACGAAAGAAAACATAAGTTACATGTTGTGTCATTTATTTTTTTTAAATGGCTTGACTCTAATCATCAAAAACTAATGAAATAATTTTGAAAGCTGTTTCAAATACAAGAAATTTATGTTATTTTTGCAGTCAAAAATGACCAGACTGGTTTCTAAATCAAAATTTTCTATCCTATTCCTGAAAGATTTTTTGCGAATCAAAACATTGTTTATATCAAAGTCTTGTTTAATTCTAAAACACAAATTTCTGAGATATTTTACGACTATTTTACATGCGATCTCCAAGAATGTCCTCAGCATCATTCATTGTCTTGTTGGTTAAAGTTTTTTTCAAAATAAGGAGAACTCTCTGTTTGTCAAAGACATTTCATCCACAAACCTAACAAAAAAATATTGTTAATCGATTTTCTATACAGAGAAAACTGAAACAGATAAAAAACATGGAATAACAATATACTGTGGACAATTTCTTCTATGCAGTTTTTAAATAAAACTGCCCAACTTATAGCAGTTTTCATAATAAAGGAGGCTGGGAACGAGAGAATGCACACTCATTAAAACCTCCAAACACAAAAATGTTTGGTCAATTCAATTCATGCTAAATTTAAAATCATATGAAATTTCTTCAATTTGCAATATATTGTAGAATCACCAATAAAAAACTTTTCCTAAAATTCAAGGGAAAATTTTTTAGCGGCTGTCAACTCCAAAATCTATACTTATGACTAAAATCAAAATATTCTAAACTAATGAATTAAATAATACAAACTATATCATAGGAAATCTACCTCGTCATTTCACTATGAACACAAGAATGCCTCTCTGTTTTTGTCCATGATTCTCTCCCAACACCATCTTTCATCCACCATCCATATTTCATGTTGGTTGTCACTGGTTTTACATATATTTCATTTGGACCTATGTATGGAAAAGATCAATTTGTAAAAAAAACATTGCTCTTTTTTTCAAAGTAAAATACAATAAAAACAAAGTTTCTCAATTGTTACAAATCACATAATTCCTGAATCCCTATTCACATGTAATTTTCTTTCGAAAGTCATAAGCCATTATGATTTCATTGAATTTCGAATGCAAAACATTTGTACTAAACAGCAAAAATGTTAAACAAACACGAGAAACAGACAGGATATGTTTTTTTCAAAGAGGGGTGTACGGAAGAATACTGCCCTGGCAAGGAGACAATAGAAAAATACCATTTTGCAATGACAAGAAATTATCCTTACCAATAGGTGAACGCTGGTGCTTTTGGAGCAGCGCTGTGTATTTCTTGTGTGATCCGTTTGCTAGAGAATTTGGAAGGACAGTTTCATCAAACTTCGAGGAAACAGGTGTCCCTTCTTTAGATGCCGAATTATTTCGACTTTCTAATGATTGATCTGTTACAGAGGCCCTAACAATATTATCTGCACCAAGTTCAGTTAAATTGAAAAATGACATTACGATTTACGAGGAAAAAATTCCAAAAAAATGAGAAAAAACTTTTGACTTCTCGCATTTAGCGTTTGTTCATTAGTTGCCATAACAACAATGGCATCAACCGCGAGCCAAAATTGCAGTTGCAGACATTCCAAAATCCAACATGGCGTTCCAAAAGATTCTTTTCGATTTTCCTGAAGCTATCTCTGCTTTTGCCTATGGATCTGCTGTATTTACTCAAGAAAGCAATTCAGATATGAAGAATAATATGCTAGATGTCGTCTTTATAGTAGATAATGCTCTAAGATGGCATAAATCCAATTTACAGATGAACAGATCTCACTATTCGATGTTTGCACGAAGTATTGGCCCTAGTTTTATCGCATCACTGCAGGAAAATCTCGGCGCTAAAATGTACTACAATACCTTGGTACCATGGAATGGCCAAATGATAAAATATGGCGTCATAACTCAAACTCGTTTGAAAGAGGATCTTTTGCACTGGCAATCACTTTATAGTAGTGGTCGTTTACAAAAACCTGTGAAATTCCTTTGTTCAATCTCCGACCAAATACAAAGTTGTTTAGACACAAATTTAAAACACGCCTTGAATGCATCGCTTTTATGTCTTCCAGAGAAATTTTCGGTTGAGGACCTGTTTATGCAAATAACGCGCTTATCGTATGACGGTGATTTCCGAATGATAATCGGTGAAAACAAGAACAAAGTGTCAAATATAGTAAAGCCGAACATTGAACTTTTCCGGAAACTTTATTACTCGCATTTGATAAATGATAAGTTCATACATATTGACAAAGATATAATTATTCAGGATTTAAATCCAGAAACCCGGTTCGCACGGCTCAGACAGCTCCCTTGTAATGTAAAATCCCGCATTGTCAACTGGCAAATGTCGTGGCTGAGTTTTCAAACTTTCAACAATCCTTTGAATGAAATGCAGGATGCAATCCTTTACAGTCTCGCTCATAATCAAATAAAAACGCAAGAATCGGTACAAAAAGCAACCAGATCAATTGTAAGATATAGCAGCATAACACAAAGTTCAAAAGGAATTCTAACCACGGGTATTTCCAAATCTCTTATATATTCTGGCAAGAAACTAGCAAAAATGTTACGAGGAATATTTCGATAAAAGAATAAAGCAAAGATGCATACAACATCGCATTTAATTTTTATTTGTATAATGGATGAATACACCATCTAACACAACATATTACATATACTTATGTAAACTTAAAAAAAGCCTTGAACTATGAACAACGTTATAAATTTTTAACAATATAGGTTTCAACTCGTGCTGTGAGGTAGATTTATTGTAGTTATATATGATGAAGTGTAACGAAATTTCGCGTGCATTTTAAACAGTTCGTAGATTGTATTTACCATAAACTCAACAGATTTTAACTTCTATAATTACAAAATTAAGTTAGTCTTCTCGCTCTCACGTAGAGCATAACAAATGAAATAATCCTGAACGAAATCATCAAAGCGATGATGTAATAAAGATTTGGATAGAAGTTTTCCTGGAAGAAAAAAATTTACAAGCTATTGGATAGTGACAAGAAAAGAATGGAAAACTGTTCTTGATCAGAAGTCGTTCGTCAGTAATTACTAGTTACTAGTACACACAGGGATTCGTCGAGAACCGGTTTTTTACAATAAATTTTCTTTTACAACTTTTATACATACTTGATTATCTTTTGAACTCTATCAGCTAACGATTTAGCTGCGACACCGAAATGATCTTTTAGATACTATATAGCCATTATAAAGGCTACTCCTTTGTATATCGCGTATACAAAGGCGGCAAACAATGCGTGTGGAATGAGTATTTGATATCAGAATGATCTATCATATTATCATTATAAAATGAATTCTGTGCACTATGTATTTTAGTGAACAACAAGAACTGCCATAAATCTTAAACAAATATAACCCATGTTCGAACCTCATCTCCGGGATGACCAATAAATGTAAGATAATTATAAGATTAATGATCTAAACTTTGAATGTAAGGGTGATTAAAGAATAAGAATCTTTTGAAGGGATTAAAATAAAACTTATCATGAACGATTAAATCTTACGTACCTCGTGCAATTGAAAACGCTTAAGAACCATCTCACCCGTGGTATCACATGAAGCAGTATTATTACGCTCACAAGCTATAATTTAAGAACATTCTTACTGAAATGTCGTACATGTGTATAATCATTGCATATTCTGCAACTAAAGTGAAACTAAATAATCACGTTAAAATTATTTTTTCGGTCTCACTCCTCCCTGACAACTTCTGTCTATTATGCGCGTATATTTACCTATCATGCCAGGATAGTCCTCCCATTGATTAATCATCAAGTTTTCAAAGCCATAATTGAACCATGAGAGATACCTTAGCCAAATAAAATAATCTGGAACCGTACTAAATATTGAAAGAGGACAGTGAGATGCAACGAAATACGTTAGTCAGACTTAGTTCATCGCGTATAAATACACCGACTCATCATTTGCTTAAGTTCGCCTGAAAATCTACCTGAAATAAGCTGAGCTCACTGAGTCAACATATGTCAAAATTCTAAACTTCACAGAAAATTTTTTCAAGCACAAAGCTATAAAATTCCAACGCAATTATATTAAAAAAAGGCATTCCTTCTTACTCGTTGTTCACGAAGAAACCACCAAAGAGAAGTAAAGGCAACATACAAACAGGTCCCAGGGCGGTAGCAGTTTCAACTGAAGACGTCATTGTTGAAATAGCATAGCCTAGACATACATCACAAAAAAAACAGCTCATAAGAGCAAAATGATTCTTATCATTGCAGGCTGTTGTCCAAAAACAACTGTGCAGCTTTTGGCCACAAATAAGTGAGTAAATACTCACAATACATAAGGTATTAATGCTTCCACAAACCGTATGAAGCTGCTGTGTTGACTATCAAAACGCCAATTGCAACGCAAATAAAGAAAGCGCCAGCGTCCTCACGAAGATCTAAAAAAATAATTTTATAAAAAGAATAGCAAAAATAGGTTCGCAAATTTAATTGCAAGTTAGTAGTTTAGAATATTGAATTGCAAATAATGATGTACGTTTAATTCTTAACTTCGCAAGTTTTTTGTCCGATATCTAAGTTTTAGATCGTTTTGTTTTTGTTGAAACAAAGATCTATTTCAACACTTATTAATCATCAGAAGAAAAGAAAGATCTATTTAATCACTTACTAGCCATCCAGTAGGAAATAGTAATCAAAATAACAGCAGCAATGGAAAATATTGGAACCTAAAAGCAGACGAAATACTGCGTTAAACAATGTCCACACAATGATAAATACGAGATAACTACTAGAGCTACACCTCTGCCATTGTCTTTGCCAAATAATACGTGTCAGTTCGATACATGCCACTTTTATGTTCTCTAAGGAAAACAGGAACCTCAACTGGAAACACCTTCATGGAAAAAAGGATTGACGCACAATGAAAACAGCCATTTCATTGAAAAAACATTTTTCATAAATTTTTATAATATTAATTTTATAGGCTTATAAAAAAATCGAATGTTTTCTAAAATATCAAACAAAATAAATGAAGAATGAGTTGCATATACGTATCTATTTTATCATACTAAGGTGAACACCGTTTTGTAGTTAATCGACTACTGATTTATATAATCATAGCATATTTAACCATAAACACGTATTGAGAATCAAATCATAACTTTATTGTACTTTTTTTCTAATCATAATCATCACATAGATTCAATCTTTAAGACCACTTCAAACTAAGCTCAAATTATGTCAGACAAGCATCGATTAAACTTACAAATATAACACCCTGCAAGCTTGCGAACGACAGATTTGTTACGATAAAGAACAAAAGACCAGCAAAATTCTGAATGTTTTCTTGATTGTACGAAAGACGTAAGTATATAAGACCCACAACAATGCCGAGTATCTAAAAAACAAAGTACAAGCACAAATAGGTCAAGAAAAATGGGATGTTGCAACGACGCATATTTTCTAGAGTCCAAAATTATAAGTAGATATCAATGCCCTAGCGTTGATATCAACAGATTACGTTTCCCAGAAAATCGAAACGATCTTTCCATATTAGTTGGTAAGCACATAGCTCTGCGTACAAAAACTTTGCAATATATGGGAAATAATTAATGACAAGACAAAACCTGTTGCTGATGAAAAATTTCTATTTTTTTAAATATATTACGACAACAAAGTTCAACTTACAAGAGATTGCATGATTCTTATAACTGAAACCATTTTGTCCCGTTTTGCACTCAACATAGCACGATGAAATAAGACAAAAAACTGTTTCAGCCAGCTTGCTTGATACCTAAATAACCAACACGTCAATGCCTCCAGCAATATGAATTCCCGACGGTTGAAAAATAGTAACAAAAGAATGAAGTTTCATTTGAGTCCAACAATTCATACAATTTTATCGATAAAAATAACTTAAGAGCACCAACGCTGATACTATTTGCGAACATATTAGTTAATTATATGAAATGAAAAGAAATGCTTCTGCTTTACCTGGATCCGGATACAACAGTTGTTTCAAAAGAATTCTACAAAAAAATACCGAAAACAAACAATGTCAACGTATGTAGTGACAAAATTTCATTGCCCCATTTGTTCAAATTTGAAAGCACATACCACTCTTTCGTTCAGTGGTTTCTTTTTTATGTTACTGCCTTCCCACTCGTCATGCTTGTCACAGATGAACTAAATACAAGATTATCTACGACATTGAAAACTACATGTGTAAACTGTTACATGGTAGAACTGTTAGGTAAAATGAACAATAGATATAAAATGCTCACTCCGCGTGCAATGGAAAACAAATAAACAAAACAATATGACAATTCGTCAGCAAAAACTCTGCACACATACCTTAATCCTTTCTTTTGACTCTTCCTCCTTTTCCGGAATAAATGCGAGGATGTAAACAAAATAATCGGCAGGATTGTAGTTCACGGGACACGGATAATTGATCCTATTTAAATTAGAAGTTTTTGTCATGTCAGTCAAACATGCAATGCAATCCTTGTCTACGAACTCATTGATCTATAGCAAGTGCAAAAGTGACAAAAAACTAAATAAAGGGGACACCATGGCTTCAAAAGAAATTTTTTTCGGTTAAAAAAGACTTGCACGTATGTTAGACGTGTTAGAGAATTGAGCAACTATACAAAATTCACCTCTTGTGAACTGAGATGACTGCAGTAATGTGAGCTAGATTTAAAGAAACCTTAGACTAATGCCTTGTATTACAAGCGCACTATTTTAATTACCAGTCATCACAACGATATCAACAGCAAATGTCACTATCACAAATTTTAAAAATTGCAAAGGAAGACAACTAGCAAATTATGCAAACAGCCCAATTAATTGCTACCTTTCAAAGTAGGGAATTGCTTCCTCTCGAGGACCAACATACGCTAACCGACCATTCGCTAACAATATTAAGCTAAAAAATAAGCAGACTCATCTTTCAAAAACTATTTAATCGTGGTTACTCACTTCTTGTCGACAACTTACTTATCGAACATTTGATACACTTCTGACGATGGTTGATGTATGGTTGACAAAATAGTCATACCATGATGAGCAAGATTCTGCAGGGTTGCAACAACTGTTTGCGCCATGAAAGAGTCCAGACCTGAAGTTGGTTCGTCAACAAACAACAATGGAGGATCTGTTAAAATCTACGAGAAACATAAAATCAAACAGGAGCTACATAATTGAATCAAGAGTATAAAAAGAAAAGAAACCACATATATGTATCGTGACTAAAAATGAGATACGAACATAAAAAATAACGCTGTTTCTCATAAAGTAGAAATCCTTGTACTTATTTATTATGGTCATTCTTGCAGAGATACTCCAAATTTTTCACCTAATGCCGATAAAGCATTAAATTTGATAAAATTGCACTTCCGTTAAAAATTAACTTTTCAACCAGAATTTCCACCATGTCATCAAAAACCAAAGCTTAATTATTGGTTGGTTGAACATTGTCCGCTAAAAATCGTAGGCACACCACAGGAAAATTTGCGTTACGTGAAGACTTTGTTTTTAATTGACAAATTTAAACTTCACAAAATATCAAACAATTTCGGGGCTGTTCATATGTGAGCCCAGGTAACAGGGATTCAGCGAGGCGTGAAAAGATTTTGAGTCATTGAAAGAAGTAAAACGTTAAGCGCAAAACTTACAACCTTTTCTAAAGCGTCACAAGTCATTTTAGTTGTATGTAATTTTCACAGAGTATTGCCAATATTTATTTCTAAAATTATTGATGTTCTTAGCGCAAAAAACAAACCTCTGATGCAAATGAAAGACGCTTTTTCTCTCCGCCAGAAATTCCACGAAGTCTTCCGGGAATTCCTATTAGAGTCTCAGAGCATTTCGCTAATCCCAACTACAGAAAAAAAGAAAACAGGAGTTGTGTATTGTTAAGTTAGATGGAACAATACACAATTAGGAAGAATATATATAAAAACCTCCGTTATTGCTTTTTCAACTCTTCTCACTCTCTCGGATTGTGGAATGTTTTTATCCATGCGCAACAAAGCCTGAAACGTAATAAAACAAAAAAAACATAAACTGAGGTTTAGTATCTTATCGCAGGGGGCAGAATCTGGAATCGTTCCCCTTTTCAGAACGCACATAATTTAATATTTATAATCTTTATAGTATTTTTTGTCTTTATTATTCTCAAAATAGTTCTACTTAATATATCTACAACAATATACATTTGTATAACATGCTCTGGAGACTGGATATTTTAAGCTAATTCAACATACTTGAAACATAAGATGTTCACGAACAGTCAATGTTCCAATAAACAGGTCTTCTTGCTGAACATATGCAGACATGGTGTTGATTTCTTGACGCACAGGAGATCCATTGAGAAATACTGTTCCTGTCACATTGACAGCAGATATGTTGCGATGCGACAGAACATTTAATAAGGTTGACTTTCCTGCACCACTATAAACAATACAATTAAATGAAGTAAATAAAAGTAAAGTACTTAATGTACATATATATGTTAACATAAAACAGTGTCATCTAACCATAACATTTTACTAAGGCTATATTTCAATTGGTTATTGCATAAATTACCTTGAACCCATCAGAGCAACAAGAGATCCAGCTTTAATCTCTCCTGATACTGTCAAGTACAAAACAAGATAACATGTGCTAGTAAAATATACCCAAACAGTATAAGAGTGCCAGAAATATATGACCTAACAACAATGCTGGCCTTGAAAGACAGAATCATTCAATTTCCAAACATTGTTACAAAGAAAACACAATCGAAATTCCAGCATAGCCAAAATCATGAGTAAACCTCAATTTTCAGATTACATACACTACTGAAAAAGATGATTATTTACTATTTTTAAGAATCTGTAACACATCTTCTTTATCTTCATTACCACCAAGAAAACCAAAGCATTTTTTGTTGCTTCTTGTAACAAACACATTTATGTCTTCCCAAGACAAATTTACTCCTTTGCCTCTAATCCTGCTGATTTTACCTTCTTTAGACTGTTCGATGGCATTGCCAAATTGATCTTCAAATAAACAAGTCATAACTTAAAGAAACTATCAAATTAGATCACAACTGATAAAGACATTTGGAATCAGGCTTGTATGAAGCCTCCTCCCACTGGTCGAGACAATAACCATAGTGTGTTAAGTATTCAAAAACAAGTCTTTTTTTACTGAAAGCAGCCTGTACGTTTTGCTACTACTGTGTAAATTTCTTAAAATTATCAGTATGAATTTTAAATTGAAACCTGCATAACTATACTAAATAAGCAGGCTAGCCTTATTACACCAATGATTTAATCAATGCATTTAACAAAAACTATGAAACTGAATATCTCCCAATCTTCAACAGCACCATCTTACAGAAAAAGTGTACTTTCACAATGAAAATTATCACAGTCAGCAAAAGTGGCATGCTGGGAACAAATTCTCCTAAGGAGGGGGTGGGGGTGGGGGGAATACCCACCACTGCAACAAGTCTTGCATGGGTTTCAAAATCAATTTTTTCATGGACCTATTACAAGCTCATTTTAAATGTTAAAAGCATTAAAAGTTAAGGGCATTGTGAATCTAAGAAATTGTCTATGTTGGTTCCGTTCGTAAACAGCATAAGCGGGGCTATTATAAGCTGTAAGATACAAAAATGACGATTTGTATATGCACTGAAAACGTTTCTGCCATTTGGTCAAAATATACAGTAAGGCAAATTTTTGTGGTTTCAAAAAAAACAATAAAAATAATAATGACAAGTTGCGAATGAATGAGTTCGAATACAATGGGGCAATCAATTTTCCCCACACGTGGATATCGCGCTAAATTTTATGCACGAAATTGCAGAAATAAAGATGTAATATTGCGATAATATGTCAGACGCTTTAGTAAAGCTACGGCCGCCAATGTCTACAAACAGACAGTTCACTAATCACTATTACCATCGGCAAGATCTTGATTTTCCCCATCTACTAAGGTCCATTGCACTCTTGTCATCATTTTATTTTATGTAACTATTCTTATTTCTCAGTCTCACAGGACTGGCACTCACCCGAATTTGCTTCATTTACGATTACAACATCATGATTGTTTTCATCATGTGACGTTGACGACGCTTTTTGTGTAATTTCACTTTCTGCCATCTATAAATATTCAACCGTAGAGACTTTGAATCAATGGCAAATACTGCGCTAAGGGAAAGCTTATATAATAGTACACTGTAACTGTAACTGTATACGTGAAGCTATTAATCAGATTGTCTATTCTAGTGGAAAACATATCACTCAACCGTCAAGATCCTCTCAAAGACAATGTCGCAAATAAAAACGAATTCAGAAACAGTGCCACATTCCGAAAATGAACCAATGACTTAAAAAGTTAAAACTTTTAAAAAAGATTTGATCTTGTCTGTAGTGATAAAATACGTAATAGACAGATGTGCTAACATGAACACTGGGCAGAAAACGGAGAATTTTGCGTTTGGTTTGGTGGACAGTGGAATTTGTGTAGCTGGTGGTTGTAGCAGGTTTCATAATTTGTGGTTGAAAATTCCATATTGGTAAATACACAAAGAAATATACTGAGAAGCAAATTTTGATTTTGCAAATTTTGGTGCTTGTTATCACGTATTGCATGGTCTGTAAGAAAAGAAGTTCCTTTTTCAGACTGGTTTCTGTCATTTTTTTATGTACTCGGTGTATTGAAAAAAACTACAACGCTACAATTTGCATTTTGCAGTCACTGTAGTTAGGCTAAATTAGCATCCATTGCTTGTGCTACTTTTAATACTATGTCCTTAAAGTTATTAGGATATGCTCATATAAATTTCATTATAGGTATGATGTATCATAGTGATTGCCTGTATCACGAAATTAAATTTCTTTTTATTTGCGTCTCTTTGAGTGTGGATGGAGAGTTGGGGTAAATATTGCTGAGCCATGCTAATTTTTAACGTTGCGTCATTTCGAAAAGTTGCAGTTTTTTGAAACATCATTCACATTCATTACTGTTTCCTTATGTACGACATTCGTTGCATGATATCATTTATCATCGGCAAAACTCAAAATGAATCAAGCATCTATATCATACGACAATTTGTGAACGCTGTTGCTAAAACTTGAATTCTACGATATAACAAGAATTTACCTTTTCTTTGGCAAGAATTGTATTAATTTCAGTTTTTTTCTACGGGACTCCTACAATAATAAGACGTAAATATTGTTTAGCCTTTTTCAGCGTTGATGACTTGATGTAATCATGTAATACGTAATACTAAATTTATATAATGACGTATGACGTCGTGGTAAAAACTAAAAATTGTTGTAAAATGAAATTTAAGATTAAAATTCTCAAAGCAGGATTTCCACAGAAGCGAGGACGTTCAGTGACAAGATTATAGTCCACTTTTAGTCTATTCCAAGCAAATAGCCAAGGTTAATGTAAAACTATTTACGTGAAGAACACTATGATGTCTTTGGCGTCTGCCACACAGATTATGTGGGTATTTGCCCCCTGAGGAAAACTGTCTGAGCTGCATTTTAGCACAGTAGAGTACGACATACGCGACAAACGACTATTTTAAATTTTTCAAATTGCCTTGTCCCCTAGGCTACCTTCATCACTTAATATATTGACTGAACCATAAGTTTGTTTCACATATTACAACCAATTCTGATAGCGTGCGACTATTTATAATAAAAAAGTTTTTATGAGTCTTACTTACTATGTATTAGCTATAAAAACTTGCGATAGCTAATGTCTTTCTATTCCTTGTAAACGCTGTAGCACCTCACCCGCAATATCGCGAAGATGTAATAATCAAATTAAAAATATGTGCAAGTAAATTGCCAATATCTTCGAAAGTATAAAGAATTTTATAATAAAGCACTTATTCAAAGCACGCTGTGAGTGGTCAATATTAATGCATGTATGTATTCCAAATACTTCATTGTAACATTTTTGTATTGTATAAAGTCTTGGTTTTGCATTCTTTGATTCATTAAAACAGAGATTAGATTGAATTGATTTCAAAGTTCCGGCAACTGAAATTGATTAGAATTTACAGAAACCAGAAACAGAAATCAAGAGTGAGAAAAACTGCACTCTAAAAGAGAGGAGTAAGAAAATGGTGAAAATCTAACGGAAATGTTGACTTACGGAGGTGGATAAGGACGAGCAGGCTTTGATAGCGACAACGAAATAAACGCTAACGCACAAACAACAACATTTGGTTCAACCCACCATTTTGCAAAAACGTTCGAACAAACATTGCACGAGATTTTTTGAATTGATTGATTCACAAACACTTTCCTATACATGAAACACTACTAAAAAGTAAAAGATAGTTGTTGTATTAACCACACGTCAAAAACATCATATCAGCTTATAATAAACTTATTTAGGTAAATAACAATCATAACATGAAATCCAATGACAGAAGCACCACACAGACGAAGAGTATAAACGCATTATATATTGTAATATGCACTTACAATGACGTAACCAGTCTGTATATCTGAAATTTCTCATGACAGGACAAAACTTGCGGACGGACTGCGCAGCTGAGCAGTGAGCACTTTTTGTTGGGGAATTTCTTCATAAATGCATGAATAATACTCTTAGTAATATTGTGAGACTAAATTTTGAAATCTTTATGAAGGTTTGGATAATTTGATTATTTGCATACAACTTCCGTCATATAGACGCGTGAGCTGATATTGCATGAGAAAAACGTAAATGATGAAACGAGTTGAAAGATTGATGTGAGTTTTGCAAGGATAGGATGCCAAATGTCTTTAATTGCTGCCAGAAGTAGAGGTATGCGATTATTTTAATGTATTTAGATTTTGTGCTCTTGTTTTATAAAAGCGTAGAAAGAAAAATACAGTCCTCAGAGCGTTATTGAGTCAGAGAACAGACAACTTTTCATTTACCAAAACTAATGTCAAATGAACTCATGAAGATTACAGGAATATAGTATTCACTTTCATTTTTCACAACTTCCACGCCTTATTAATCACGGCGTCGACTAAACATTTTTGGTTCGTCACTAAAATGATTTTTTTTCAATTATAATTCTGTCGAGCCGTACCATAAAAATAGCGATCACGCGATTTCAATAGAATAGGTGGTGGAACAAAGTGATTGCTTTAATTTGTTTCTGTGACCAATGAAATTTATTCAGTTTGCTTTATGTTGTTAATTGCTACGAAACTAATCCCACCATTGAATGTCCTCCATTCACTCAGAAAATTGAACTATGACGTGTGTGGCGATGAGTGAAAAATGAGCAAAATCCCAATGTAGAGCATGTGTTGAAAAATTTTAAATGATTAAATCATATGGATTATAACAAGATAAAAATTTTAGAAAGCTATACTCATTTTTCAGAATTTTTTTTATATAATAACTAGTAATTTGACCTTCTTACTTTACATTTTTCACGACAGACAAAATAACAGGATCGACTTATTTCTTCATCTATAAAGGTTTGCTTGTACTGCCCCATAAATTCTTTGTTGATATCTTAAGACAAATCTAAAAAATTCATACGCCAGTCTTGTTCTCAGACTTATTTCGAATTCCACGAACTTTCCATTAGAATTTAGATTTAAAAGTAAATTTCAAACCAAGAAACAACTCTATAATTTTAGGAGGTTATATTTTTTAAGTTTGATTGATGATTTCACGTCATTCAGCGATTCTACCAACGCTCTTTAGACGAGTCAAAAATTATATGTCTTATTATATGACTCTACTTTGTGAATTTTTGTGTTTCAAAATTTACAAGATTGCAAATGGAGATGGCCATGGCCGGATGTCGTGTAATGTCTAGTATAGTTTGGCTTTCCTGCCAAGTTTTGCATTTTGTAGCACAAATACAGACAACCGACTTATGTAGCCTAAGTACTCTTTTAAATCTATACATATATTGTAATGTTAACTCACAATTACTTAATTGGGTGAGATTTTTGGAGAGGCATACTATATATGTTTAAATGAAAAGCTAGCCAAAAGGAAAAGGATAGTTTAACTTTATAAAGGAATAATAGTTTAAATGTTCTTATTTACACTGTCGCTTTCTCTAAAAGAAAGAAGTCATTATCAGACAGAATAATGCCTTACATGTCAAAATGAGTCAACGAACTCTGGACTTTTTTAACAAGAACAAGTACGCCAATATCCTGTAGCCAAGGCAAAGAGCTGCCAAAAGCCAAAAGTTTAATTTGAAGTTGCCCTATATAATGGAAAGTTTAATTAAGTCAACGAGTGTAAATGTGAAAAATTATCCTTAACAAGCACTGTTGCTATTTTTCATATTGTGCAAGCCACTTCAAAACTTTGTGAAGAGTCAACATTGTTACAAGATTAGCTCTAGTATAAGTGAACGTTAATATCTTAAACGTCCACACTAATTTTTGCATGCAGCATTGTTTAAAGGTGACTTGGTGGTCATCTGGTTGCCGACAAGATTTTGTGCAAGAAGGTGGCAAAATGGTGTAGTGGAATTCTGGAATATGGGCCTATCTTCAAAGGTTTTGTCTTGTTTTTAAATTAAACATTATAACTCTTTTACAAATTTCATAACACAAGAGCTCAAAACGTTAAGGGCGTACAGACAAACTTCATATTCATGGTAAGAAATTGCAATTGCCGTCATATATGTGTAAATGAAAGCGTTTACATCAAGTCAGTCAACTGAAACTCTTACCTCGCTCAGCTGATAGAAATCTAAAATTTCACGACCATTTTCTAAACAATGCCTAGATGTTGTTTTTCCACAACCTATAAAATAGGACAGTAATGAATGTTAAACAAAATAGGAAGACATGAAAGGCTTCTATTAGATAACTGCTAATGTGCATACGAAAGTAAACGCAAAGTGGGTTTGTAGTTTCACTGCGTCGTCGAAAACATCCTTTGCAGTATTTGAATAATTATCAGTGCACGATGGTTAATAGGTATGGGCATTGCAATAAACTGAATAATTCCTAATGTTTTGTAGACATAAGTGCAAGCTCTAGCGAATGTTTGGGGACTCCATATGAACCAATAAAATTAATCGATGTCTGGTTATTTTGACATTCTGTTTGGTTACCTGATATTTTCTCAACATGTCGCCATTGATTGATCATAAGATTCTCAAATCCAAAATTAATCCAAGACAAATATCGCAGCCATTTCAAACTATCCGGAATCGTGCTGTTGTAAGTATAGTTATGTGTTTGAGTTTTAGTTGGCAATCCAATGTTTTTTCAAATCATGACTGAAGCGAAACCTTACTTATTTGAAACAAAAAATCCACCAAATATCAACAAAGGTAAAATAAGCACGGGGCCAGTAGCTATGGCGTGCGAAATGGAGTCTGTCGCTGTGGAAATAAGCAGACCTAAAAAGAGCGGCGGAATGATTAACCATCTGTGTTTTTTTTTGCATCTGTTGCTATTATTGTTGGGAACATGATACAAATAATTTAGATAAAGTGATAAATTTGTGAACGCACCAAATGACACCGAAGTATGACAAACTAATAGTGCTGTTGCACATGCAACGAAATATGCTTCAGCCGTTTCTTTCAGACCTATATAAAACAACAACAATTCCAGGCTGTTCACAGTCTGACTGTGTTGGCAAACACTACAGGCAGGGCACCACTGGGAGAGGAGGGCTGCCTGAGAGAGTTAAGCTGCATTGCAAATAATCGATTCATGTTTATGATCATATGAATGTTCATGGCCTTTACCTGACATCCAATAAGCAATAGATATTAGAATTATACATAAAATTGAATCAATGGGTATCTAAAACAGAAAACGCAGTTAACGTAGCTTTGTCTAAATTTAATTGTTTTTATTAAGACCGGATGAACAATAAAAATCGCTTGATAACAATCTGCCAAGAAAAACCGCAAGTAACGAAATAGTTTAATGTTGTCTAAACTAAATCAACGAAAATCAGTTAAAAATGCCATCGCCGAAATAGCATTGTGTTATATATTAAACGATTCTAATTGGCCCATTGAAGACCTCTCGTGTGCATGGTGACTTGCAAAAAAATTGTTTGAACATAAGAGATAGGTGTGCAAATATTTTAGTAAATAATGATGTACAATTGATCTTACCCCGACAAGAGATTTTGCAACAAAGAACACACTTTTATGGTAAAGACCAATTCGATTTTCTCGTAAAACTATATCTCTTTCGACTGGGAAAGTCTAAAAAAGTAGAAGATATTTCCACATAACCTGTCGCATAATCTTTTGTTCTCTTAGCCATATAGCTACAACTTTTTGTTCTTATAAATTACAATGGCTGTTATTATACACATTATCATATAGCAAATCTACAACTTGTGAATAATACTTCTATAGAGTCGAAACCTGACTTCTAGCTGTGTCTTGTTGAAATCACTGTAATGTTATTGAAATAAGGATTGCGTGAATTTATTCTCCGTTTTATTCAATGGTTTTTTCTCACAAGATAGAATATAATTCGTGTGGGCATTACAAAGGATTCAAAGCAATTTTAATTTACTGATGTCTAAGATAGATTCGATAGAACGATAAGCTACAGGAAAACATCAAGTGTATATAATAACCATATAAAACAACTAATCATATAGATCTTAAATATGTATTGTACTTTCAATATACTTACAGATAGAACTCCTTGAAACGAGGTGAAAGATATGTTCAAAACAAGAAAGAACAAAAGACCGGAGAAATTGCGAACGTTTTCTTGGTCTTTCCTTAGTTGGAAGTATACTTGCCCCGTTATAAATCCAAGAATCTACGAAAAGAAATAAAATACTTTTTATAATCTAGACAGAGCATCAGGCACCGATACAACAAAACTGTGATACTTCAGTGTCCTATAGAAGCAACACTAGATTCCCAAAGAACTTTACCGCTTGAAAAATAGCAATGATTATCATTACGAATTGCTGGGAAAAAAGGAGAACTTACAAACACTTGAGCTGTTCTATAAAGTAACGTAGATTTATCTCTTTTGAGCATGATCGTACAACGCCACATCAACATGAGAAGCTGAGCAAAACGATTGGCGTGGAAACTGTACAATAAATCATAAGAAAATTTTGTAGGAATTCAAATGCAAGTATTGACAAAAAATTTAAGATACAATAGGAAAAAAAAGGCTCATTCAAAATGCAGATATTTTGCAAGCTTTTGCAACATTTCGAGACTCATTATGTTGAGTTTCAACATAAGATTTTTCATAAAAAACAACGCTTATAGGAAAGTTATAGAAATTTGGTGAAAGACGTCGAATTTACTCCTATATGCATGCATGTGTCAATGCAGGCCTCCATTGCGTGCTATGGAAGTTTTCCATTAAAGTATTCCACTCCAATACATGTAGCTGGAATGGAAAGCAGGTTACAGACAGGGAGGCCAGAATAACGGTGGGGGGGTTTTAGCTCATTTGTTTCTATTAAAATCAATTATGATTACGGATCCTAAAATATGAATATGACTCCCCATTATCAAACTTCCGGGTTCAGATCGTCATTTGTAAGTTACAGTCTACTTACAAAGTTGTCCTCTTATCTAGATCATCAAACGATTCCTGGAAGAAAGAAACAGGTTTTTCTCTGCAATAATATTAATACATCAGAATATATGTAAACAATCCATACTTATAACATTTATTAATTCAAGAAAATTCAAGATACGACAACAAGAATGATAGCTGCATTCTGAAATTGTCACTATACTGAGATCATCATAAACATTTACAAGCACGTGATGTTACATGCTGTTGCTGGAGGCATAGTTTGAGTCTCAAAATTGGAGAGTGAAGACTGGATTTGTATGATTTTGTATGTCGTTAGTAATAAAATTCCTTTTCTCTGTGTAGTATAGAGAAAATTTGCAATGGTGTGTCGCAATGCTTTAAGTCTCATTCAAGTTCACTTGGCCGATGAGTTAGCTATAGTACGTTTTGTCTGTCATAACTGCCATCCCCATCCTTTGGTCAAAGAGTAGTTAATTTCAAATAAATAATGAAACAAACAATACTAAACTTTGGATGTGAGCACATGAACTTCAACTTAATTTGCCAGGGCTAGAAAAACGTGCTTTGAATAAATTTCAAAGCAGAGTTTTATGTAGACAATTTGTACAACCTTTCATTGAGTCACAAGCATCCATGCAATTAGTAGTTAGAGTAATATCTTCAACTTACTATGGGTCCTAAAGCACTTTCTCCTCTCGGTTGTATTTCGATTTCCTTATATTTGTCATAGATATACTAAAATTTACAATTTAACAAAAAGTACAACATTTACATAAAGAACAAATAAGAATATTTGAATTGAATTTATGTGTTTACTTTTATTCTTGCTAAGGAATTTTCACGTTCCGCCGGAATGACAGATAATGTTCGGATAAAGTAATCAGAAGGATTATGGTTGCTTGGACAAGGAAATCCTATGCTATAAAACACAGAATTTATGAAATAAATACGAGAGAAAATTCATTGACCATATCAATATATCAGTCAGAAAATTAATTGGCGTCTATTCTCTCTGAAATTAGGTATTCAGCACATTGTTTGGGTTTCTTACTATACCAAGCATATTTGAAGACCTCGGACAGAGGGAGGAAATAGACCGATGAATCTGAAACATTTCCCACGATAAAAAAATAAAATATCGAGTTTTATTGACATGCATAATATTTTTCCTAACTTATATTGTTGAGCCGGATTACCCACTACAGCAAAAAAACAAACAACTAACCATTCTTTGACAGTAGAACTTACCTTCCAAAGTAAGACACTGCTTCGCAACTTGGACCAAGATACATTATTCGTCCTTCTGCCATGAGTATTGTCCTGAAATATAGTTGTAAAAAAATACGTCGAATACTGTATTACCTGAAGTTATAATTTTTTGTATATCTTTATCACATGTTTGTCTATATCCCTTCATTGTTTTGAATCAAAAAGAAAGATATAACCAATGTTGGAAGTACATATCCTACAAACCAAAAATCCGGAAAAAACCCAAAAAACGGAAAAGTTGGCTTTTTTGAACATACTAAAATGTGTATTCTGCAGCTACCCAATAAATATAATGAAGAAAAGAGTCGTTTTGACTGATAAGTCCTTTAGGAACATATTCCAGGTCCTCGAACTCTCCTTTCCCCTACAAAGCTCATCATTTAAAAACCGTTAAGACACATACATACTTATTGCAGAGATTATAAATCTCGGATGAAGGTTGGTCTAGTGTGCAGATAATGGTGTAGCCGCTTCTTGCAAGGTTTTGCAATGTTTTCATGAGGGAATACGCTGAGAGTGAGTCTAAGTCTGCAATCGGATCGTCGGCAAAGAGTATAAACTTCTGATTTGAAAGCAACTATGATGAAGATTATAAATTTAGAAGCAATTAGATAAGATAAGTTATGAAGCAATTCAGGAAAAAAAAATTTAAAATTTATAGAGGAAAACCAGCGTTTAAAAGAAGTCTTGGAAAAAGATACAAGCACTTATTTATATAGATTATTCATGAAAGTGGCACTGCACTGTAGAGCTCTGAATAAAAGCACAAATCAAGCTATTTGTCACCTCCGACGCAAATGACAGGCTCTTCACTACTCCTTTAGGTATACTGTTGCTAGAAGAAGCTGTGCCAAGTTGTACATCTTCCCATTCTTTGAGACCAAACTGTTTAATTTTTTATTTGAAGAATAATTAGGTCAATGAATCTAATGAAATACCTCAATGACATAAATGTATCATAATTTTCTGGAAAGACAAATAGATCATTTAAATAATAAAGTGATTCAAAATCGAGCAGTTTTGAGATCATAATTTAAAAGTAGGCAACTGCAATTGTATTCTTTAATTTAAATTCAAACCTCGTGCATGACATCTTCAACTCGACGTCTTTTTTCTTCGCGCGAAAGATTTTTGCTCATTCTTAAACAAGCCTAAAAACACATGAATATTAATTTTTGAAACCAATTACTAAATAATGTTCTGAATCACCGTTCAAATGTTAGTCAAAATTTTAATACAATACATGAAAGGTCATCTTTTGTATAAGCGCTATATATACGTATAAGTGATTTACTAGCCAATTATGGTAGAGACTATAGAGATGTTGTCTCTTTATAGTAGTTCTTCAAATGTTATCAACAATTCTACAGTTGTATGAATCTATCAATAAATCTTTAAATAAAATGCTTATCAGCCATGCATCTTTTGAAAAATTTATACAAGTAATAAAAAACCACGCACTAGTAATATTAATATTTTTCATTTTCCCAATAAATTCCCTTGAAATTCATTTGATTTGACATCGTGTCGATGGCCTATGAAAGCCAGAACGGATTGACGTGGGACGAGAAAAACGTTGTGCTTTAATGATGTAAGTCATTACACTTATTGTTCATTTGTACCATGTTACTAGCGGATATTTGAATACCCTGATCATAAAAATAACACAGCAGTTTCCGTAAGTTTCCCGAAGATAACGATGTAAAGAGGAAAAAAGAATGTTGTGGGTTAGCTAATTAACTTTGTGCGCATAAAACAACAACTTACGATTTGGAATTTTATGAAATACACTATAGACGCAGTCTATTTGGTAAAATTAAAATTTGAAGATTGGTAGATGAGCAATTAAAACATGCATTTACCACATTTAAACACAACTAAAAGTGTTCTAAACCTGAAATAGCAAGTGCTCTCGCACTGTTAATGTAGAAACGTACACATCATCCTTCTCAACATACGCTGACAATTCACGTATATTTATACCAACAGGTTCCTCTTGAACATACACTGTCCCAGTCACTTCAAAATGTTCTATCTTACGGTGAGATAAGGTGTTCAATAATGTTGTTTTTCCAGCTCGCCTATAATGACCAATGTCGAAGTTATTCATAAAAATTAACATTAATGGAAACTTTAATTTTGCTTTGGTCTTTGGTAGCTTCATTGGACCATAAAAAACTTATGACTTGCTTTTGGGGCATTTTTATATGTATAGTAATATGTACTGTAAGTGTGTAAGTACTGTTTTTTTCATCTGTTGTGGCTCTCCCACAAAGTTCATAAAATAAAATAATTCGAACCACTGAAGACATACCTTGGGCCCAGTATTGCAACAAGACTCTTGGCAGAAATTTCACCATTGGCTGCAAGCAATAATTTTTTTACACTTTGTTAGTGCCCTTAACACAACAAAACAACTAACGACGCAAATGGCCACGGCTTAAGATAAAGAACAGAGCAGATACACAAAACATTACAATAAGATGGAGACAGGACATGGCAAAGGGCGTAAATTTGGTCAATCGTGTTGAGTATATATGCACTGAGTAAGTCAGAGAACGTGGATCAGTGTATCGACGGCTATTTACAGGCCATATCGCATAGACAAAGGAGCTGTCATTATCAACAAGTTCTCTCAGAAAATTAATGGAAGAATTTTTTTTGGACGGAATTGAAAAGAAACTTTTTTGTACTTTGCTGAATTTTGGCGTAAGAAAATGTAGACAGATGGAGTCAAGCTTCTATTCATTATGATCACTTTACGAACATGAAATCCCGAAACTTGGCAAACGTTAGAGCATGAGCGCGAGTAGCATTTGAATTGTAAAAATGATATATGAAGAAAAGTTTTTTATCGTAAAAATGGTAAAGTAAATGAGCTATCACAGCGAAGGAACATATAAAAGAAATGCTATAGCTTGATGAAAGACAGATGCATAAATTGCCTTTTTATGTGAAGTTCCTTGTCTCAGAAGAATTATAATTAGATAATTATAATAATAAATTTTCTTAACAAAGAAACTCCTCGCTTGCTCGAACCGTCGAGAAATTCACCAATGTTTGAAGCATTCCGCCTATCAATCGATGTGACTAAAAATTATGGAAAACCTAGGCAAATCGAGTTTTCATGTTTTTGGTGTACTGTACAAGTGGAAGAGCTTCTGTAGTGTAGTGAATAACAACATATTTTACAGTAAAATTATCGCATTATCATGCGTAAAAAATATCTTTTTAAGCATCGAAGTCAATGAACCTAATAATTACAAACCACGCAAGGCACAATGCCAAACAAACTTAACAAAGAAGCTTCAATTGTCTCCATTTTAACCATTGTAATGTTTTTGTGCAAGGACAGCAAGCTACGCATAGCAATAGCTTTTGGCGGCAGCGTGCAGATTTCACTAGAAATGAAATGAACAATGTGTACATGCAGATGGTATGAAAACTTCATTATACTCACAAATAAGTTTACCTTCATGTAAAATTTGGTTGTCAATGAAGTCGATGGTCCGTCGATCACGTCTCAAACAACGATCAAAAAATCCAACTGGCTTGTTTATAAATACTTCGATATTTTCCCACCCAAGAACAGCTTGAGTTGAGTCAAATGTTGAAGATAAATCAAAACTTCTCCGGCTTTCGCGAAATGCGTTTAAAACACTGGGTCTTCCTAAATTACTCGTGTATGCATAGTTCTCAAAGCTGTGCCCATTACTTTCACTTTGTCTGTCTGTGTAGGGATCATTTTCATCCTCTGACATTAACTTTCTTCTATCCATGCCATTGAATATAGCTCTATTTTCTGTAATGCTTCTTTCAGCGTAACGTTATCAAATTTCTGAAAATGGCTTCTTGCGTGCTTTGAGTTGAGTTTAATGAGAAGTGGAGCTTATATGAATTGCTAATCGCGAATGCCAAATAAAGCGTAAGAATATTTGAAGAGTGTACATTGAAGAAGGCCTCATTGTTTTTAAATTCATGCATTTCAACTATTTCGTATTCGTTGTCTCTGAAATTACAGTCTTCAGACTTTGCATACCACTACGTTCATTCATTCATATCTCTAGAACCCTTTCTACTACCACACCTTTCATACTGTGGTGTGCTGTGGTTGTCTGTGGCGTATACGTGAAAACAGTATATCAGATTACATCAGGGCGGAGTTTTTGAAGTATCTCTGGAATTATATTTTAGGCAGAAACCGCTGACATTTGATCTTTCAATTGCATATTCAATACCGAAGTTGCAAATTTCACATCTTCATATTTCCAGATAAACTGCGATCATTCAAACATGATCAACGGGCCTGTTGTCTGATGGAGGGTCTAAACTCAATATAACTTGTTTCCATCGGTTGCTTGTTTTTGCAATTGTTAAAAGATTCTTATTAAATTCATCCGAGTTCAACGTACTACAGCTCAGGTTCATATTTGAAGTCGATTTACAGGTACGTTCCTTATTAAAGCCCAGTGAAATTCTTATGCTTCTTGTGACACGAGCAGAAGTAAATAAGCTATCGTTAGCATGGAACTGAAAAATAAGAATACAAAGTAATAGTTTGTTTGTTTGTATGTATTATCAACGATGTTGAAAGAAATTTTGTCGTCATTATTTGCGGCTTATTTATTTTTGAAATTTCTGTTAACAATTAAACGGGTTATTCTCGACTAACTTCACTTGACACGAGTAAATAAGTGAAGTTTGTTCAATTTGTCATATATTAAAAGTGTTCTGCTAAGAATGTTGGAAGAAATGTTGCTTTTGAGAGTCATACATTACACAGACAAATTAACGACTGTGAGTGCTTAAATTTGGCAGGTAAAAGCTAAATTGACTGCATCCGCTATTCATATGCTAATATTTTAATCATGTCCTTACAAAGACAAGAATTCGACAAACATTATTGGGTGTTAGAAACTTTAGCTGGTAGAAATTATTGACATAGTGAATGTGGTCGCTGAATTTTAGCTTGGTGTACACATTAAGTATGGTTGTATTCATTTTCTATATATATTGAAGAGCCTGATATCTAATTTAAACTTGGATTTTTTCCCCATATTATGACTTACGGCCGATTGTGCAAAATATCTTGCCGATATAATATTATATTAATTAAATTATACGTAAAATACTATTTTAAGCAATTTTAGTTCCAATTAATTTTAATTCCAGCGAAGTAAAAATTCCATAGTCAAATGAAGCATCAACTTAAGTGATCATTCACTGCATAATTAATGTTTAATGTATCCATTTTTGGTGAAAATTTTAAAACAAGCATTAGAAAAATTCAAGTGTTTTTGGAAAGCACTAACTTGAGTGATATTTTTGACAATTTTTTACCATTGTTTTGAAGACTCGAGCAGATGTTTTATCCACAAATGTCAATCTCTAATTTTTCAGCAATTCAAATTCAATTGCTCAAAAAATTTAGTTGGTAAATATTGCAAAATCTTATGAAGGAAATTTAAACTTCATACTGAAAAATTAAGTGTGCATAAGTTCATAAAAACCATGGTTTGCTGTTAACTTCAAGCACTTGCAATTGGTCCTTACAACTGACTCCTATAGGGGTGGCGAAGAGCATTATTTACAAGTGGTTTTATACATGGAAAATGTCTTGGGATTGTCAATGAATACATAAGCTACTTATAAATAAGAATTGAGAAATATGTCATTAAAAGTCCATATAAATATGCTTACATGACTAACATTTTAAATGTGCAATTTTTTGTGTTATACATAATTTATTGACTTGATTTGTTCAAAAACTTCCTGTTGAAATATGAAACAAAACATACTCCCCCCCAAAATATCTTTAAACTCAAGTTTTGGTGGGGGATGTTATGAAAACCTTTACCAGACTGAGTTGCTATCTATGTAATGTAGAATACTGTTGGTTGTGAATTTCTATAGAATAATTTGGAACCAAAATATTACCAATGGGATTGTTTCATTTTAGAATTATAATCTTTTCATAGGTGATCAACTACCAATAACTCTGCACTGTTTTGAGAAAATATACTGTATTGGCTGTTCTGTTCCCAAAATTTAACTCAAGCAATGCAAGAAAATACTAACATGTTCAATCATTTCATTGTCATTGTACTGATCTTTCTCTTGAATCAATCAATATGTAAGTGTTTGAAAAATGTTTCATCAGTATACATTATAATAAGGTAATAACTTACTCAAAGTCTTCCACAAGTATAAATTCTTGCTTTCCTTGAAATACAACATCAAAAAATGAATATTAGAATGAATAGGTAAATAAACGACTCTTGCCAAGGTGTCAGTCTTGATTGTGTAAACAAATGTATGGTAAGATGCTCAATTCTTCTCATGTTAGCCAGCCTGTGATTAAAAGTTTTAAAAGCCATGCCACGAAAGGTGCATTGCTGCACATTATTAGAAATATGTATTAAAAATATTGGGTGTTTGACTAAAAATTTTGTGATAAATTAATTTTTTATTACGTCGTCCATACTAGACACTTATGCACAAGAAAATAGATGCCATAAATTTTAACATGCGGTGACTGTATCAGATTTGCTGAAGAAGAATGCACTTGGTGTGCAGATAAGGTGAGTGGCTAAATGTTGTGATCTGTAAAAGGTCCGTTGATGTTTCAAGCATAGATAAATCAAATGCTTTACAGGGATGTATGCACTGACCTGTATACTAATTACCTGGACGGGAAATCAACACCCAAACATGGATGCCGTCATACCCAATATGTCAAATTTTTGGGTAAAAATGACGTGCCTCGTTCAATGAAAAGTTTTGCACTTCCCCGGAATATTTATTGATTTCATATTTTTACTGCGCCGTCGTAACAGCAAGTCTTATATTTCAAAACTTTCTTTCTAAAATGCCAAAATATTGTGCGGTACCTGGGTGCCAAAATAGTACAGCAAATGAAAAGTTTTCAATGCACCGGTAAGAAAGAAAGAATATGATTTTTATGAATGTACGTATTGCTCCGCAATTTAGCACTGATTCGATAAACAGAACAAGTACTTTACAACTGCGTTTCGAAATAAAAAGAACTTGACCACCAAACCCCAAAAAATTTGTCTTACAGTTTACTTACAGAACTTAGTTGTCTAGTATTCAATTTAAGCTCAGCCACAGGGGGGAGTGAATGATAAAAATAATTCTTCAAGTTGAAGTTTCTTACCCAAAATTTCCTTGCGGCATCCATGTTTTTGATACCCGTGTCCAGACCCCATTTCCCCTCCAGGTAATTTAATAGAACTCAATGGATGTATAAATCCTAACACGGTGCCATCCAATAGATGTATGATGTTAAAAGATTTATGGGACTTGCGCACGCGCACCAAAGCTCTACACTTATATGATATTGACCAAAGCAGGCTGCAGGGGAATTATTTACGCACAAGTTTTCAAAGCGCCAAGACACTACGTATATTGTTGTTTTAGGGTCCTATGGAATGACTTTCCTCTTTTAAATTTTCGTCTCATTAAAATACGCTTTTGGTTGTTTGTAATCAAGTGATCGATTAAATAATAAGTGTCGTTTCCTAATTGCATGTTATAACAATATAAAGCGTTCTAGATTTTACAACATGCGTGTCATTTTGCATTCGTTTTCACGTGTTCCATACAGCGTATCGCAAACTTTGACAATATGGTGTATCCAAACGGTAATTTAAACCAAACGAAACAAAATGCGCGATGTTTGTTTTCTAACTGCAAACGAATATTTTTATTTGTAGATAAATTGTATATCAAGCATAAATTTAACGTTCGTTTTGCTTATCTCCACAGGATTATGTGCTAAGGGCGAATGATTTAGACCGATGTGACTTTGCAGCATATCATAAACAACAGAATTGCTCGGATATTATCAATCCTTCTTCTGAAGTTACTCCAAAAAAAGTGAGTAACGTGAACTTGTCATTTTATAGAAATCAAACTCATTACTTACGAATAAACAATATAAATTTTTGCTTCGTGAGTGGTCTGCATGAATTCATTGGTATAACTACCTTTGACCCATCATTAGTAAAGCAAATAAAATTTACTTCATACGAAATAAAAAAGAAAGTATTTCACTCTGTCTATTTCTTAAAATGGTTCTCTACACGGACCTCGACGTGAATTTTTTACTTATTCTTTAAGACAAGCTATGCCTAAATATTGTTATCATAGATAGGAATTTTTATATGTTGGATTAAACGTCAATACAATCCAATTCAATAGCCTAAAACTGTTTTCTTTTTATTACCCATGCTTATAGCTACTTACTTGTGATTTCCTTGCCCTAGAACGAAGATTTATCAAATACTACGAAAGTAAAGCCACAGGAAGTTGAGATAGCTTTACGACAAGGTATTTGCGTGTGTTTTGCATGGAAATGCTAAATTTTTCTCTGAATTTTATTATTTTTAAACTTGCAACTTCAATATGTCGTCAGAATCTTAGTGGTCTAGTTGACATTGTGCTGTAGCAAGCACTTTGTTTCATTGATATCTATTGTGCCGTGAACCCATGTAGGGCCAGACTTTTTTCAGGTTTCATTAGCTCTAGGGAACTCTAAAAAGGGCTGACAAAGGCACAAGAACAGGCGCATTGATATTTTTATAATCTATTTATTACTGAAGCGTAAATGTAGCTATAAAGCAGACGCATCACAACCAAATAGCAATATTCAATGCATGGCCAACACAGATAACCATAGCACTGGAAAAAAATTACATAAAACAAATCGATGATGACTAAGCACATGAAAAATAACTGATCAAAATCTAAGAACGCCAACGTACACAGTACTTAGTTGTACTTGAACTTCGTAGTTTATGTATTTAAATTGCCTTATGCAATTTTATGTAAGCATATAGATGAAGCTATCGTGTAAGCAATTCTCAAAGACGAGATGTTATTCACCCAAAACGATCATAACTAGTTCTTGTGTTGGAAAATACTTTCAATGTAGTTCAGTTTGTCGCGAGTAAAATTTTCAGAAATCGTTCTCTTTATTGTAAATTTTGTAAGATTGCATGGAATGTCCATTGTGTAAAGGACTTTAGTGCATGAATCTACGTAAATAGGAGCCAGAAACATGTGAATATTGAGTAAATCTTCGAGAATCTACGGATTACATAAATATTGTTTTGTGCGTATTAAAGGCATGCAATTAAGTGCTGATGCATGTTTAACTCTGGAATCACTAGCTGAAGGTGACGAAGATTTGAACTTAGATAAATTTTTGGGTAAAGTCTAAAAACGTATTGTTATAAATATGAACACAACAAACGTTTTCATGTTGAATTGAAAAATCCATGTGGATTTTGCTTTATCAATAAATTGCAAGCAATTAATGATTTATACTTTTGAAAACTGTGCAATGCCAACAATCTGTAATAAATATTTTATTTTGTTATACTGCATCAACAATCTAAGACAAGGAAAGCTGATAATCCTTATTTTCTGTAAAATCGACGGATGCTTTAGTCATAATACATTGATCAAAAATAAATTTGAAAGTTGAATTTTGAAATATTTATACCAATATAAAAGTAAATGTTTCAGACTAACTTAATTACAAGTGAAAAGGCTGTTGTCATTGAACTTTGGCACTATATCTTTGTACCCTAATTTATGATAATTGCGTTTATATTGCTTCATGAATGATTGCTGAATCTCCGTTAATAAAATAGAAGTCAATAATTTCATTGTAACACGATAAAGCAAATAATTTAGATTGAGAACCATTGTTAACAGAGAAGGAACGCTCTAAAAGAAGTAAGGCTCAATAAAACTTTTTTAGCCTTACTTTGTTAAGGGGTTCTCACTTCTTAAGGCGATATAGTTCAAAATTCATACAATTTTCAAGATCAGAGAGAAACTTATGTTTAAAACGTGTGTAAATATTCTAGGTAATCTCTCGTTCAAGGACTTTGACATTGTATTAATACATAAACCAAAAACAAAAGGTGTCTAATGATAGAACCTTAGGAGGATCTTCATGTTGACTCTCAGTTGATTATTAACCAAACTTAGAAAGCGCTACATCATGTACGCTGTCAACTCCAAACTTTGATAAAAAGACTTCATGATCCATAGTGGCAAAGGCCTTTTTTAAATGAAATTATGACAAAGAAGATGATACTCAACCTTAGGCATTACACAAAGTTGACAAAAAGAAAACAATTGGTTATATAGTAGATTGTATGTAGCTTGTGATATTATCTATGTGTGTGTTTTTCTTGAAACTTTGCACAGTCCTTAGATCCCTAGTTTTGTAACTTTTATAAGTTATAAAAGACAGATCATCGTTGCCATAACTTCACTGTTATCGTTGTTTGGTAATCACGCCATGTTACGCTGTTTCTATTTCAGAAACTTTAATGGATTTTTCAATCCCTTTACAGCTTCGTGCATCTTTACAGTATAACCGCACAGCGTCGTTTATACATTTATAATCTCACAGCTTTATACATCTAGTACCTACGAATGCAGTTCGGTTGCAAGACACTAAGTTTTGACTTCATATTTTACTGTAATTTGCTTTAACAGGTGAAAAACGATCGTTTGATATATCTGTCCGTACACCTGAAAATTATCCTGTTGATTTATACATGTTGATGGATATGTCTTATTCAATGAAAGATAATTTGCCCTCTGTGGAAACTCTGGGTCTTGGCTTGGGTATGTTTTATTATTTGACAGTTATAAAATTTAGGTATATTGCTATGATTGTAAATGGAAAGGCAAATCACGTTTCTTCGTAAAGTATTGGTTTTCTTCAAGAGATTAACATGTTTCAACGCAGTTTTTCTGTGTCATTAAAAATAGATTGATTTCAAACAATTTTTAGGGGGTGGGGGGTGGATGTGTGTTCTGTATTAACTGCTAGCCTGTTTGTATTCTAGAGTTTCAAGGATTATTATAGTGCATAGTTAAAAGTTTATGTGTGTCTTTAATCTGTCTAAAACCTTGTAATATACACATAATACTTGGTCACTTTAAATGAGTAGCAAAAATTTTTCTCTTTTTTCGATTAGATAATCAAATGAGAGACATAACGTCGCGATTTCGTGTTGGTTTTGGTACAATGGTAGACAAACCATTAGCACCATTTTGTGAAGTGCGTGATGAGTTGTAAGTGATTTATTATGAATTTAACATTATTAAAAAGAGGAATAATCAAAAATTATTTTGTTCGCGTTGTCAATGAACAAATTTTAGTTGATTTTGAGTAAAATTAGTCCCCGTCCACACGGAGACGATTTCTGTCCACACGAATACGATTCCTGTCCGCACGAATACGATTTCTGTCCACACGGAGACGATTTCTGTCCACACGGAGACGATTTCTGTCCACACGAATGCGATTTCTGTCCACACGGAGACGATTTCTGTCCACACGAGAATGTTTTATCCCCTAAATGGTAACGTTTTTAGTAGTTTATACATACCTCCTGTTCACACGCAAACGGTAACCGTCTTGTTTGAAAATGCTCATTTTTGTAAACGCATTTTAACCGGCTAAATTTAGGTACGTTTACGTTTCGTCTTCGTGTGGACAGTTGTGAAGAGAAAAAACGGCCATTTTGAGAACAAAGAACAACAAAAAAATGGCGAATGTTAAGCTCGGTGTTAGAATTATGGTTTTGTTGTCTTTCATTGCCAGACAAGAAGTTTTTATTGATGTTTAATCACTATGGAAGCTCTTGAAAACTTCAAACTGTTTTCTTCCATTATTTTAAAGTGGCCATGTTTATTTTGAGATGAGACAATCACATGACCTGTGACTTATGATTCGCATATCATTAGTTTCCAGGAATTCACAAAATTATTTTACAAAATCGTTTTCGTGTAGACACATCCGAAAGGTTGTCGAACGATCGTGTGGACAGGACTAGTTTTGGTCGTTTGTATTTAGTCGTTTACAAATCGTCTTCGTTTAGACGTAGCCTTAATGCCTTGGGGATTTAACTATTTGACTCTGAAGATGACTACCGCTAAGGTTGTCGAAACGTCAGTCAACAACAACAAAAACAGTCCTTCTCAGGACTTTACCAACCTGGACGATCTACATTTACATTTACAAACATTGAACTCTCCCCATTCCCCAACAATTACGTTAGATTGTGATTTTCAAAGATTCAATGAACATGTACACTTTAGCTACTCTGCATGCTTACACGTTACTTTAAATACATTTTGACCTAACTTAAAAACCTAACTGTTTTTATAATACAAACTTTACAAAGATCAAACTTTACAAACACCAAACTCTCTGTGGACATAGCCTTTGTAATTCATTATTTGTTCTAATTTCAAAGTAATTTTCTGACGTTTTTGAAAATGCATTATTTCGTAGTGGTTGTTTACATCGTTTTCCTGTTTTACAGCTGGGCAATCGAGGCGAAAAAGACAGACATTAGGCCTTACTCTTCTCCTTGGGTGTTTCGAAATGCCCTTCCGCTGACTGATAACACAAACGAATTTGAGGTTAGAACAAACATCTGTTTTTTTTTTCTTGCTTTTTTCCTTTTAATACGTAAACATTTCCTTTTCTCTATAGTTCAACTAAATGCAATTTGTTTATTCAAGAGACTTTTGAAATAAAGAAAGTAAAATGTGCAAGTAGTTTTGTATTTTCTACAACACAGTTGCAATCTTTTCTAGCAAAGTGTTAAGGGATCAAATTTATCGCAAACTCTTGATGGACCTGATTGTTGGCCGGATACATTGATGCAGGTTGCGGTGTGTGAAAAGGTACATACATGTATATTGTCATGTAGAGACTGTAAAATGGAGACTGGCATGTAGACTGACATGTAAAGACTAAAAAATAGAGATTGGCATGTGGACTGACATATAGAGACTGGCATGTAGACTGACATACATTTAGAGACTGGCATCTCCACACTGACATTTAGAGACTGGCATATAGACTGACATTTAGAGACTGGCATGTAGAGACAAGTATGTATGGACTTACATGTTGAGAATGGCATGTGCGTAAAATGGTGAATATAGAGTAGGAAGTAGAGATTGACAATTAGAGACTGGCATGTAGAAACCAGAGGCGAAACCAGCCTGAACTTTTACTCCTACAGTACAAATTTCCAAAAAAAATATATTTTTAATTTCTTTAGAAAATAAATTTTATTCATTGTTTTTCCATTTTTCCAGTGAATGAACGCAAATGTATTTGCATTGTAGAAGTAAAAACGGGCTCACTTTGCTACTATTAGAGACTGCCAAATTGTAGACTGGGAACTAGTGACTGGCATGTGGGAACTGCATAATGCATTGTCAAGCAGAGATTTGATGAAGTAACTGACGTGTAGGTACTTCTACCTATGTATTTGTAAATATTGCATGCAGCACTTATGTATATTTTAGGATGTAGGTTGGTCTCCAATTAAAGATGCCAGAAGACTTGTTGTTATTGCTGTTGAAGATGATTTCCATATTGCAGGAGACGGTCTGGTAGGTTACTGGTCTTGTTATTATGTTTTTCGATTTTAATGAAAATGGAAGTTTTATGCTTTCTCCACTGGACGTGTTTTTTTTTAATTTTTTAAATTCCTAACCCTCGAAATTAGTTAATGGAATATGCGACTAGAAAATGATACGTGCGTATCGATGAAAACATGTTCTTTCATGGCAAAAAAATATTTTTTATAATTTTGTAGTTGGGCGGTATTGTTACACCAAATGATGGAAAATGCAAGCTCGGAAATGACGACGTATATTTAGGCAAACAAATGGTTCGTACACGGGTTAATCACGTTGTGATTTTGTATGATTGTGTTGTATTTACTTTCGGTTTCCATTTGTCTAAATTGTTCATTTAATACTTCATAGTTCATTTCTACGTGTAAGTTTGACGGGGGGAGCACATAAAAAGCTAATATTTTTAATGATATGTTCTAGGACTATCCGTCTCTCTCGCATCTTCGCAAGGTTTTACTTGACCAAAGCATTGTGCCAATATTTGCCGTTGATGAAAATTCAATCGACATATACAACGTGAGTTATCTTAGTTTGTGTATTGTTCAATTTGGTTACAATTTGGCTATACTTTGTTACAATTTTATTGGCACACTATAAATGAGGATACTCGGGTACAACATATAGAATAAATGAGGATACCCAGGTACAGCATGTCATAGTATAAATGAAGATACTCTGCTTAATATGGTATTTTATGAATGAGGATACCCGGGTACAGTATGTTTTGGTATAAACGAGGATACCCGTGTACAATACTTATTGTTCTTTCATACTGTGTTTGTGAAGACGTAAATGAACGTTAGCAAAGTCATTGACTGATATCACTTCTTTACTATTGACAATTTTATTCACTTTACGAAATAGAGAGTTGTGGATTATTTTGGTCCTGAAGTTGGTGCAGAAGCTGGTGTTATTGAAAGTAATTCAACTAACATTGTCGAGCTCATTCGAAGTACATATGAGGTACATTGATTTTATATTTTATCACCTTAAGGTTACTTCCACAATGCATTATTTGAATTCGTCTGGTATTTTTAGAAAATTGGTACAACTCAAACAGTTTTTCACAACGTAGAAGATACTAAAAATTTAAAAATTGAATATGAAGCTAATTGTCTGTAAGTTTATGTTCCATTGTTTTCAAAGCGATGAAGTTTTAAATTAAAACAAAAAGCAATAAAACTACGTGTGGAATGTCCGATAATTCAGGCTTTCTACAACAAGTCATTGCAGAAAAGATTTCTTATGTAGACGATTGTTTTATACCTTTGACAATTGTCAAGCTGACTACACCACTGACTGACTGTTTAGTTAAATTGACAATTGTCAAGCTGACTACACCACTGACTGACTCTTTAGTTAAATTGTATAAGCAATGTAGTTGTCGTGCTCCCTGAAATTTTTAATTCTATTTTAATGCGTTGATAAGGTGTCTCATAAATTTTTGCAAGTCAATAAATACATTAGATAGTTAAATAGGGCATTGTTTTTATTCTTCTAGTTATGGTAGAGTACCTGGCCAAAGATGTGAAAATGTCACTATTGGAGAAACGGTTTGTAATGAATTTCATTATCACACTTGACTCTGTTAATTATGATGATAGAGTTTGTCCATGGTGTTAAAGAAACTATATAAGCTATTGATTCTCTAACAACTAAAGACAGTTTCATCATAGCAAGTGAGATGTCACGTGTTTTAAGTGAAATGTTGGTAGTTGGCTATCTTGTTTGATTACAAACATTAAAAAGGAAACATAGGACTTGCCTTCTGGAATGTGTTGGTAATCTTGATTACCCCCTTTAAGTCCCAGTTGTAGGTCTGTGTACTATATGATATACAATTTATTTCATATCATATGCGCCTTTTTATCAAACAGGTTAATTTTACTGTATCCATAACCTTGGAGCAATGTCCTCCTGGTGGTGTTGGTTACTCACGGTTTGTAAAAGATTTTATTCATTATATACAGCTGAAGGTCATAAAAATGGGATAATTTTGAAAACATATGAGTCGTATTTATTTCTGATAAAAATTCACATGAGTCATAGGTACATACAAAATCGTGATGCTTAGTTTATGTTACATAAAGGAATCGACTAAGAGGCTGTTTCACGATCCCTGCTAACCGAGATTCAGTGAGGCGTGAAATGATTTCGAGTCATTGAAAGGAGGCAAAATCTCAAGCGTAAAAATTGTTTGTTACGTAAGCGCCACAAGCCATTCCTGTTCTAATTCTCACATTAGGCCAAATTGGTTGTTTTAATTTTAAAAGTTTTGCGTAGTTATTAAATCAGAATATTTTGAAATTGCTCAAAAAGATTTATCTAATGATAATTATTGAATCGTTTCCATTTGTCGAGATCATTTAACGCTTGGCTGAATCCTGGCTATCCGGGCTCATGTAATAAGCCACTAATTAAAATGTATGAAACATGTTTAAGGTTGGTTTAAATTCTAAATTTGTTCGTTAAACCGAAGTTGTGTGAAATTCTGTACGTGCACTATCGTAGGGATATTTTGTGAGAAAAAAGAATTTTTTAAATCAAAACTCCCAATCGAACCATGTATTACGACTCTCGAGACTTTGATTTCAATTGATTATAAAAATATATTCTAATTTTTTCTGCGGGTATTACCTAGTTTCTTCTTATGTTATTATTTGGAGAGGGCCTGGGGTCGAGATGGTATTAACAAATTATGTTGTCTAAGCTTTGCTATGTGCTTCTAAATTTTGTCCGTGTAAATTTCAGATTTAGTATAACGACTGCTCTTGGAGACAAAATTCCTGTCATTGTGAAGTACCTTTGCGATTGCGATTGCTCAAACAATACAGTAAGTTTATATGTATAAATCAATATTCTTTTTTTGATAAGACTGAGGAAATCATAAATCGTTCAACATTCGAAATGTTTTGGGAATAACCATGAAGTACGACGTTATTTTTTCATGAAGGTTCACAACGCTACTGAATGTAGTAAACAAGGAAGTATTACTTGTGGTGATTGCAAGTGTAACGATGGATTGTAAGTATGTTTTATTATAAAGGCAAATTTATTTGTACTTAATGATGGGCACATTTTATAGGGACAGTAGCGTTTTATATGTACCTGCTTTTTAATCTAAAATTCGTTGTCTCCTGCATTATGAAAACCATGCAGTACTCTACTCATACAGCAATTTTTTGTTATCTAAATTAAAACTGTGTTGAATTGAATAGTTATTATCAATGCCATGATATATTGCAGCCTTGGAGATAAATGCGATTGTGCTGACTCTGAAAAAGAAGAAAACAGTGATTTGTGTAGAAAAACGTAAGTTTCATATTTTCTTAAATCTCTTCTATTAGCTTGCAATCCACACCTTTGATCTCTGGCTCGACCGATCTGATCTCTTGCTCCATGAATTGACATCGGGTTTGACGGATCTGATCTCGGGCACGACGAATCTGATTTCAAACTTGATAGATCAGATCTCGAGTTCAGTGGTTTTACTCTTGGGTATCAACGGAGTTGCTTTTGAATTTCCCAAACTTTTAATCCGTTCACAATGAAGTTTAAATGCATGAAAAATACATTTTGATTTATGAATCTTCTGTAAGGAATACATCGAGTATCTGCAGTGGAAATGGCCAGTGTGCTTGTGGCAAATGTATTTGCAATAAGGTAAAATTACGTAGGTGAAAAAAATATACTTGTTTCGTTGTTTGATGTTAATGAAATGATTGAGTCAAACTTAAATTATCGTTTTAGGGGAAAAGTGGTGCTCGTATAAATGGGAAATTTTGTGAATGTAACGATGAATTTTGCGATATTGCAGATAATGGAGAGCGTTGTGGAGGTAAAATGAGGCTATGTCTATAGGTACATGTTGATCCATGTCGGTACATGTTGGTACATGTTGGTAGCTACTTATTGGTTACTTCTGTCTGCTATGCCAACTGAAAATAACATGATGAGCAATACACCAATGTTTACTTTCTCCTTTTCTTGGAACTCTGAATTTCAGTATTTTACATATGTAGGGTAAGATGGGGTAGGATAGGCTATAATAGGATTAAACATTCTTGTGAACGTTGACTTTCATTTACTGTGCTGTAAATTGTCTTTTTAACTATTTTCGTATTTTATCATAAAATAAGGTAAACCTTTAACCTTATTGTCAACCATTCAGGTGTTGAACGCGGAGAATGTAAATGTGGTCGTTGTAAATGCAAACCTGGTTGGGAAGGTTCATCTTGTAGTTGTCGGAATATTACATCGCCTTGTGTTCAAAATAACGTAAGTGTATATTTAATAAACAATCGCAGCCAGATTTGGGGAGTCCCAATGGGAACGTAAAGTGTTTTTTATTTGTGAATAGCTGCAGAAAATCAAGCAGTTTCCTCATGAATACTCCGTTCTTCTTAATACTCCGCGTTAATTACGAATTTATTGCAGGTCACATGTTCTGGTCATGGTAAATGTCTGTGTGGAAATGTGTTTGTGACCAGAAATATTCTGAAAGTTTTGTGGTACCTGTGAGGTAGGTTGTCATCAAAGCGTACACTCCATCAAAAAAGGAATGGTCTTCCTTCATTGCGTTTCGTCATTTTTTAAATAGGGATGTATTAAAGGCTGTTCATTTTACAAAGATTGTGTGCGCTGTAAAATATATCAAACTGGTCCTTTGGTGGGGACGTGTGAAGAAAGATGTAATACTTCAAAAATAAATAACGTTCCCGATGTCAAAGCATGTAAGAAACTATACTTTTGTGTATTTTCAATTTGACTTTTAATCTTTATATGGGGATGACAGAGAACAGTTACTTATCGTAGATTTTTTCATTACAACAAATAATTATTTTCACTACTCGTTTGTTTTCTTCAGTTGATTTCTTTTGAGTTAACCTTTGTTTACCATTATTTCCAGATGAATCGCGAGGAACAACTTGTGTTGAACTTGACGAAGATGATGATTGTACGTTCTCTTACATTTTGAACGAAGGAAATGAGAAAGTTGAGATTTTTGCCGAAAGTGAAAAACGTAAGAACAATAAAAGTCATTGATCAGTTATTATTTATTATTATTTAAAGATCCAAAACGCTTTTTTTTAATATTCAATGTTTTTTCATCAGTCATTAGAGAGCGCTTACCTGTAAATGTGATCTAACTGCGATTCACTTACCAGACTGCCATAAGTAGTTTTTTATTTTCAAAACTCATAAAAATGATTGCTGTGGTATAAGTAAATGTCTAAAATATCAAGATTTCCAAATTATTGGTGTGTTAATATTTGTTTTGTCGGTTTTTATATGAATTATGTCCAGCTAAACAATGATCATGTTTACTATACTTCGTTTAACCAGCATGCAGCAGTTATCCTAGACAGGTTGCACGCCCCCTCTTTTTGCAGTAGGTAGACTAATAAATAAATGGATGCACAGGTTATACCAAAGTTGTAACTTATTGAAATATTTTTGCTTTAAATCGGCATTTTGAAGATGGTTTACTATCTTGCCAGTAGTGTGCTATCAGAAAAACTGTTCAGTGAGGCAGTTTATGGAAAGCAAAACTGAAACCTGAACAAAAGAACGGTCTATTATTTATAACCAAAAACTAGATATAGTCATACATGCTGAAATTTAGAACTAGCATTTATTATAGTATCTGTAGTTCATATTCGTATTTAGTTTTTTGTGAAATAAGGATTTTAGCGTCAACTATGTTGCGTCTGTTCAATGTCCTTTAAGCAAGACAAGAACATTTCAGGAGAAAGTTTATCATCAGACAGTTTTACCTTGATGATAAATAGACAAACTTGCTTTATGAACTATAATGATGATCAAGTCGAGAACATGATTTTTATGTTCATGTGCTTGTGAATATTGTGTTATGCCTAATTTAAATTGAGTTATTGCATGGCGACAAAATATTCCATTCTCGTATTGACAATATGCTGATACGTTTAAACTACTTGAAATAATTTTTTATTCTCGTTATTTTAGGTTGTCCTCGAGAAGAAGGATATTTACTAATAATCATTGGAGTTATTTTGGGTATTGTTGCTATTGGTGCCGCTTTACTTCTCATTTGGAAGTTACTTGCAACCATACAGGTATGCATTTATAGCATTTAGTTGTGTATTCTTGAGGAAGCTTTGTATGTGTGTATATAATAGACCACCGAGCCTATTCAAGGTAACAGGAAAACTGACTCGATACGAAGTACGCTGACTTTTATCTAAATAATTACATACTTATCCATGAAAAATGTATCTCTTCTGTCATTGTGTGTGTGCACACGACATCCTCAGTCACAGGCTCATTTGTATGTATGAATTTGTATGTGTTGTAATTTTTACTGTGAATGTTTAAACAAACGAAGACTTACAAGATTTTAGATACCATGTAGAATTATACACAACAACCTATAAGCATTTGTGCATATGTGTGTATCGTATATTTACTGTGTATAAAATAATCAACATGTGTATGTTTTAGTACGTTTTGTTCTATGTACGTATTTGTGCATGATATGCAACCCACTGCAGTACATTTGAAAGTGAAACAAATTTGGTTTTGATCGTGTAAGTGGTTTTATTTTCTATCAGGATCGTCGCGAATTTGCCAAGTTTGAACGTGAACAACAAAATGCCCGCTACAATACAAGTGAAAATCCTATATACAAAACTGCCACAACAACGTTCCAAAACCCAACTTATGGTGGCAAAGGTTGAATCAAGATGATTTTATAGTTTGGTCTTATTCGATATTTTAAAACAAACATCAGACACGTTTATTTTGATATAAATAGTATATATAATTACTGTTCGAGTATATTTTTAGTGTTTGATGACAAGCATATTGTAATTTTTATGCTCTTATAAAGTATATCAGATTTGTCGACTTGTTATTTCGCTCTGTTTCAAGACTGTCTGTTAAATTGATCAATGTTTTACTATGGCCACACAGCACGTTAAACTGAGACGACAGTTTAGTAAACACTGTCACACGAATTTTTTCTTAGAAACAGACGTCTTAAAAACATCGAATGTAGTTCTTAATTTTTTATTCTAGCGCAACTGTCATTGAGTTTACATTAATTAGTTTTCAAAGGTCTCAACTTCCAAAATCAAGAGACTGAACAAAACCAAGTTGAAACACAAACCACAGTAGTCAGAGAACTATAAAAATCAATGTTATTACGTTTAATGGTACGTTTACACACAACGATATTGTTATTTATGCATAGTATTGAGACGAACTGTAATTACCTAGCTCTGTATCGTCCATCATTTCTGTCTGAACGTATATGGGGTGTCTTATAAAATATGGCCAAAAGTTTTATCTGGCATAATGTGGTGAAATTCTTATCATTTCCTCATATTCTGCCTTAGCAAAGTCGGTGTATGAATACGAGTGACATCAATTGTTTTTGAAAGTAGAGAAATTGAAATAATTACAATACAGAATATTAGTGATTATTAGAAAGAGTCAGTGTTCAGCTTTGCAGGCAAACAAAGTTGTCAAGTGATCTCGATATTAATCTCACACCACATAAAAGAAGCTACACAAGAGCAATTACCAAAGTTTTCCACAGTTGAATCAATTAACAAATGACAATGAATCATAAATAAAATCATACTTTTTGAACTGTCATAGTATAAGGCGCATTTATGAGCTATATATTAGTTGTTTTAACAACAGTAATAGAAGACCATTGATTTACGAAACAAAATTATATCATTCAACCATTGTTCCCATGTAAAGAAAGCTATGTGCGTGAATCTATGATATTCCTATTCGTTGTGCGATTTAAGATGGATTACGTTTGGTGTACATCACACTGCCACTGAGCACCACACATTTTATATCTAATCCTATCATCTATTGTCTGCTTGGTTACAAAATAACAAATTTAATCTGCCGTTAAGATGGTCAACAATGATGCGTTGCTCTAATAGCTGTTGCTATGGTGAATAGAAGTGAAAAAATTGATATGAAGATCTCTTCTCAAGGGAATTTTTCTTGAATTTTACATTTTCTGTGTATCCATAAAACATCGTTATTTATTCAAGTTAGCACGCAGAGAAAAATAAAAAAGAAAGTCATAAAAGTGAAAGTGATCTCCAAATGTTACCTGTGTTTCTAAAATAATGTATTAATTGATCATTGTAAATAAATAAATGACCTACTCTTTGAAGTTGCTTACTGTGTACTGCAATAAACTGTAAAATTACTATACATGTCTGAGTTTACTGACAGTTTTGTGACGTTAGTCAGGGCAGGATTAAGGGGAGGGCGTTATGGCCGATTGTAATGGGCCCTGCGGTTTTAAGGGCCCCGTGTAGAGGAAATATTTTTAAAAGAAATGTTGCTTTTGTGTGGCAAGAGCAATACAAAAACCACAACACGAAAGATCGGATTTTTTAAAATAAGACTGCATTATATAAACAAAATTTTGAGTGCTTTCATTAAACGTGAACGTGGCGTTTCACTACAAACTATGGATGGGATCAAATTTTATGCCAGTAAAATACATCGTAAGAAACGTTGGTCTCGTCATTGTAAGAAAATCATTGTTGAAAAACAACCTTAATGTAAAACGCTTTAGTTAAACAGTCTTCGTAAATATTACAAGTTTAATTGCATATATTTTGTTTTATATAACCTAGGAAATTATTACTTTTTTATAGTTTTTGTGGATAAAATATGTCAGTTGGGGGACGGGGAAGCGAGGTTTTGGACCGGCAGGGGGGGGCGGAAACTTGATCCGCCCTTGTTAATGACTGCACGACTGGCACTCTGATGTAAGTCATGAAACCTCTGTCGTACTTATTGGTGCGTATTTATTTGAAAGATTTATGAATTTGATATGCCGTAAAAACCATAGAAACTCACTAACCATACTCAAATCGAGAAAGATTATCATTAAAATGTTCAGAAATATGTCAGCTTTTAATTTGAGAATGACACCTTTCTAGTTTAAAAAATTTGTAATGTTTGTTACGTTTGAAATACAATGAAGGATACTTTTAGTAAAAAAAGGTTTTCATGTTTTTTTATTGTGTATAGGACTGACTGTTTACAATTGTTGATATTCAACCTCATTTTTATTTGGTTGATACGAGTTATTGCTTTATGCCTATGAACCTCATTTAAATAAATGTAAATTAAACAAGACCGTACTAGACTATGTCCATGTCCATGCAGACTAATCTGACATACCTCCAAAGTTGAAGACTCGTTGTCATACTGTACTCCCTATTGGGCAAACGGAAGTAAGATTTCAGCCAGTTTTAGCAGGAAGGAGCGCAATAAATGTGTATGATAAATTATTTTTTTACTTTCAGTTTATAACAATGTGCAACGTAAATATGGATGTAATAATCTCATTGCAATAGTATTGTGGGAAAGCCGTCAATTAGAGACGGGATGTTTATTAGAGAGAGGCGTCTCACATAATCTTTATTTGACACGAGACTTTTGTTTGATAGACAGGCGGCGATTATTGGCTCATTTACGGTGCGGTAAACTGATATCGACTTCTATCGTACTTCTAAGTTTGAACTATATTTCCAAGAATGTCATCAGCAAGTTCCCGGATAGTCTTCATTTTCACTTTCTGAGGCCGGGGTTAAGTAATATTACTGATATGCAGTTGTTAGACAATAAATTTTTGATGTATTTTACTGTTTTTGAGGCCTGCGCTATACGGACGAATTTAATTCACACGAATTCAAATATCGCAATTTTATTCGACGATACTGCGACGTATAACTTGGAAACTCACATCTCATAAATTAAATTCGACAAAGTGAATTAGATTCGTCGGAGATTGACGCATTATGCGACACAAATGGACGATGAACTGAAGTCGCATTGAATTAAATTCATTAATTATATAAAAATATTTCAACCAATCATACACAGCGTTTTATTTCATGGCGGCAATTCAGCAGAAATAGTTATGAAACAATATGGCGGATGCAGATTGTTTTGTTTGTGATGAGCCAACAAAATATCGTTGTATAACTTGTAACCTTCCCATTTGTAATGTATGCTACGTGGCAGAATTAGATGAAGATACATTCGGATGGTTGGCTCAAGTGAGCGTGGGTTATTGTAATAAAAGTGCGATCGACAAGCGGGTAAATAAGCCAAAACATATTGATCAAGTGAGCTGAACCATAAGTAGATTGAAAAAGAAACAAATTAATTCAGGCCAGGAAAATGCTAGTAAAAATCACGATGAGATAGAAAGCAGCTCTGATAGTTCTGACAGTTCTTGCAAAACCAGGCAAAAGGTTAAAACAAAGAGACGTGGAAGAAAGGCAGCTTGGAAAGATCGTCATGTTGATGACCTTGTTGATGTAATCGTCATTGACGAAAACTTCAAGAAAAATTTAATTTTACTAATATTGAAAAGAAAAAAAACACTGAGGTTTGCCAACGTGTTTTGGAAGTTCTGCAAAAAAGATATTCAGAAAAAGATCCAGCTTTCATCTTTCCATTTGATGTCAAACAATCAGAATAAAATTCAAGTGGTGTGTTGCCATTTGTAAGAAGATGTGCCTTACAATACGAATCGTCACCGGCATTAAACGGATCCAGGATGAAAAGGGTTACAGTAAGTGGTTTACTTTGTTATACCCTCTGATAAAGTCTTGTGACTCTTGCCAGCCTGAGCAAGCGATTGAACCTGATGCTGTTATAGAAATAGAAAATAAAAATAACTTAGAACATGATTTTGGAGTTGATGTTGACAGTGGACCATCAAGTGGGTCAAACTTTTCTGTGGCAAAAAAAACCACATATAAGAAAAAAAGAAACTCTGAGTTATTGACTGATGCAATATTAGAGTCAGGTAAAGTTTTAAAAACTGCTGTGGAAAATGATCCCACTAAGAACATAATAATTATCATTAGAGAGGAAATGCAGCAATTCAGAGAGCAAGACAAAAAATTTATGGAACAAATGGCAATTATTGTTCAACAAAATTTACATCCAGGCTCATCTCAAACTTATCTTCAAATCCCACTGTCTGCTTATGACTGTACAGTTGGACACTTTACAAATACCAATCGGGGCTTGGAATTGAATTCATTTGATCATCAATCAAATGCAAGTGCACAACAACAAACATCTAGCAATGGGGACATGACATGGAATATGTTTAATAGCCCTCGTACATATCACCATTTATGACACTGTTTTTGTATTTTAATTTCTTTACAAATACTTTATTTGAACACAAATTGAGAAACATTCTTTTGTTTTTTTAAATATGACTGTTTTGTTACTGTTTTTGTAAGAAGATATTCTTTTATGTTTAAGAGAAATATGAGAATGAACAGAACATTACATTTTACTATGGCTGCATGAAGCGTATCTTACAAGTTCTTCAAGTGTAATAATTCACTAAAAATCCTAAACATAGAATACTTCTGTTATGACCCTCACCTAAACATTCAGTTATCTCTAATAAAGTCCATAGTGCATAGAATTTCAATGAAAACCAAGTAAACATTCCAATTTAATGCCTTGCGCATTGGCATAAACTGGCTAGCCAGTTTGGTCATGCTAAAAAAATATCATCTGGCTCCCTCCATGTAAATGACTTCTACACAAATAAATATTACTAATGATCTATAATTTATATAGCACAACCTGGTTTTGCCACTGAGCAATGGTAATAAATTGCTATGTTTACGTGCTGCTTGTACCAGAGGTTTTTTCTTTCCATAAATATTCAGAAATTGATGAACGAATCTGTTCAGCTTTGTTGCATGTGTCCCTAGTCTTTTCACAAGCCCTCATTTTAAGAAAATCTCTAACTACTGCTCTATCTCTTTGCTGATAAGTAGCAGGATCCACTGAAATGTCAAGGTGAGAAGAAAGAACTTCCCCTCTTTCAATACAAATATTGTGCAAAACTACACATGCTAATATAAATACTTTCACAGAATCTTTGCTACATTCACATTTCCTGTACAAAATCCGCCATCGACTTTTTAACTGTCCAAAGGCACACTCAGAGACCATTCGAGCTCTACTGAGTTGATAATTGAAATTGCGTTGCTTTTCCATCAAGACACCTCTTGAATAAGGCTTCATTAGGTAGGTTGAAAATGGAAATGCAGAGTCTCCAACAATTAAAGGAAATACATTGCAATTGCTAACTTTCTTAGCAATGTTTGGAACAATTTCTTGGTTTTCCATCTTCTTCCAAAATGATGTTGACTGTAAAATAACAGAATCATGAGCATTACCTGGAAACCCTGCACTTGCCCATACAAATCTGCTCTTAGCATCAACTAGTGCAATTAAAACAATCGAATAGAAATTTTTGAAGTTGTGATATTCTTTTTGTGATTGTTGACCTCCTGTTGGGCAACTTATTGGAATATGGCACCCATCTACAGCACTCCATTAGCAAGGGATTTGCCACAATTTCTCCATATCTAAAATTTTTTCCTTGAAATTTTTTCTGTTTTGGGAAAATGATTTGAGACTTGTTCCCAAAGCTCACAAACAATAGCATCACACACTTCTATAATTATTTTTCGTACTGTACTAACACAAAGTCCTGACATTTCCGCTATGGTGTAAAAGTAGTCACCTCTACCTAAACGATATAGGCAGATGGCTAAACGACATTCCGGTGAAACTGGCTCTTCTATAACAACTTTTTTCTGAAGTTTATGCCGAATCTTTTCGAGAATAAAGTTAAAAGTACCTTTCGAAACTCTAAAAGCACCTTTGAATTGCTTATCCGAGTAATTTTCCCAAATGTTACTCTACCATCCAATGTTTCTCGGTAAGCGACGACAACTTCAAATCCTTGGCTTCAGAGTTCAGAGTGGTTATTGTTTTAACACTTGCCGTCACATTCAGTAGTGACAGAGCAGCTATAATTCTCATATACCTTTAGCAATAAAGTAGAACGGTGAAGCAATAATAGTAGAACGTACCACTTAAAAAATCTTCTTTGTCGCTGTCTCAACCGACGTTTGTAAATTGTAAGCAAAGGAGTAATTTGTTTAACTAATGGAGGAACCATCTTGTTTTTCCAAATCATGAGCTGTTGATAGGAGTCTGGGGGCGAGCACGGAGTTTTATGAATTAAATTCGACAAAAAAATTTGACATATAACTTTGCCTTGAGTTTTTGTCGCATTATTGTCGAAGTTAATACAATTAAATTCGTGTGAATCATTATAGAACTCAATGGTGTGAATTAATTCGTCCGTATAGCGCAGGCCTGACTATCATTAATTAAGAACATGGATTTTCCTTCCAATAAAAAGTTCATTGTTGTGCTTTTGGGTGCTAGTGGCAGTGGGAAAACATTTTATGGTAGCGAACAAAACAAGAGATTTACAGAACCTTTGTTTACATTCGTTACGAAACATGAGGATCTTGCAAGATGTAATGTTATGTATTTTTCAATCAGCAAAGAACTTCGTAACCAAAATATGGTAAGTGTTTGGCAGGATGAAACTAATTTTTCAGTTGTAAAGGATGCTTGTAAAGATTTGATCAGGCAAACTTTCATGAAGTTTAAGACCTTAAATTATCAGGTATTAATTCTGGACAGTGCGAAAGATTTGGAAGACGCCGAATTTATCGATTTTGAAGCAATGAAAAATGATTTGGAGGTAAGATATGCAATTTTGTTCGACGTTTCATATGAAACTATAGAAAAAAATTGGGCCACTCGAAACGATGACCGCGATGATTTTCGTGGCCCTGCCCAAATTTATCTGCGTAGCTGGTATGTTAAAGCTAATGATATTTTAAATTATTACAAAAGATCTCAGCGTCTTCTGAGTGTAAATGACTATATCATTCAGAGATCCTGGTTTTTGTATAATCAACTGAACACATTGTCCCCGAAACCAGATTGTCCAAATAACCTACATGCAGCATTGATTCATTCGTCAAAATTAAAAGATATCTTTTACAATCTGAATAATGTACTCCAGGTTCATCAATTTCAGTTTACACAGCCAGTTTCCTTCGTTAACAACAGTAGAGATTTAGCTTGGGTGACCAAACTTGGCCAATATTATGTTACACCTAAGACTAATGGAGTTCGTTGTCTCATGTTGAAAATAGCCTGTGGCTGTTATATGATTACAAGAAAGAATGAAATTTATCCATGCTCAATAGTAAATAGTCAATTGCCTCTCAACACAGTCTTAGATGGTACTTTGCTCCCTTCGGAAAAGATCTCTGATATTTACTCAAAGAAAAGCTTGCCTCTAAAGGAAAATGTCTTTTTGGCATTTGATATTCTGGCCAAATCAGACGAAGTTTTATGGAAATGGCCTTTCTCTGTCAGACAAGATAATCTTATCCAACTTCCTTTGAGTGATGATATTGATATTGTCATGTTTGATGCACAAAATTTTGGAGAAACATCACACATACTTTCTCTGAAAAGTGAAGTGATGAGTGTTCATTGTGCCATAAAAAGACATTATTTATCTACTCCAAGAGAAATCTTGAATTGTCTTGAGACCTTGTCTAATCTTCCATATTTATCTGATGGTATGATTTTTACCCCTGACACTCCCTACATGTTTGGATTCGACTTTATGCTTTTTAAATGGCAATTTGAGGAATCAATTCATTGTGACATACTCTTAAATGATTTAAAAAATGGAAAGCGTGAATGTACGGTAGAGTTTAGTGAAAATGTGAAAAATGGTGACTTGTGAATTAAGTGAAAATGACATCATGGAATGTCGGTGGCATTCATCTAGAAATGCCTGGGATCCATTGCTTCTACGAACAGACAAACTCAAACCCAGCAGCAACAAAGCAATTAATTTTATTAAGAAGCTTTGTCAAAGACCATATAGAAGGAAACAGTTTGTGAAAGATTTAACTGACCTTGAATACCAGGAGCAACTGAATATTGATTTAAGTGAAAACAAATCAGTTCATGTACTTCATCCAACCTCGAGTTATTCTTTCGAAGAGCTATATTCAGCAATAAATGAGCAAGTAAATACTGGTTACGTTCAAAAAACGGTTGACACTTCAACAGAACTTCAAATTTTTTGTTACACCACAGCATTGACAAATCCAATTCTGTCCCTGTGCAGAGGACTAGTCTTACATCCTGACACACAGACCATTGTAACCAAGCCATTTGTTCGATTCTTTAAAGGTAAAGAGAGAGATTTTTCAAACTATTTGTGACTTGCATAGAATTATGCTGTATCATTGTAACAAGAATTATCAATGATGAATCTATATATAATATGGGAAGAAGAAATAAATAAATTGTGTACATGTAACTTGTTCATATGTGCAATACGTGAACAGAAATATAACTATATTATTGTTCAAAAGTCGGACATGCATGGCTTATAAGTAGTCTCTGTGCTTTGATTGTTTAGCTTCTGACAAGATGAGTTCCACTAACAGCAAATAAGTTTATTTTTTGTGTGTAGAATGCGGCAATCATTGTGCAGATGAGGAAGTTGAAGCTACCATGAAGTATGATGGCTCACTTGGTATTGCGTTTCTTTGGGAAAATGATTTAAAGGTGACGACAAAGCGAAGAATGGATTCCGAGCAAGCCACTTGGGCAAAGCAATGGATTAACCAACACTGTGATATCACAAAATTTGAATTTGGCCACACTTATATGTTTGAAATTATCTACAAATGTAACACAGTGATTGTAAACTACCCTTTTGATGGACTTGTTCTTCTAGCAGTGACTGATGACATTTACGGTCGTGAGTTTTCTTTTGAAGAATTGTTGCGTTGTGCTCAACAAATTGGCTTTTTCATGGTGCCACCACGATTTAAAGGTACTTATGACGAAATTCTTTGGTACTGTGGTGGAATCGATCTTGGCGTACATGATTCTAAAAGAATCAGCTCTGCAACCCACAGCACTAAACACAGCGGTGACGTGAAAGCCAGCAGCTCTACAGCCTCTATTTTACACGGCAGTGCAACACTTAGCAGAGCGACACTATCTGGGAAAGCAAAAAGTGTTCATCAGGAAGAAGGTTGGGTTGTTAAATTCATTGATGGATCACGACAGAAGATTGTTCATAATTGGTGGAAGGAAGCCTTTAGATTGGCACAATTGGCCCATCCACAGATTGTTTGGTTGCTGCTAACACAAAATAAATTTAAAAATATATTTAATGACATGCCTCCTCACATTCGTAAAGAAAGTCAGCGCATGTTACGAGCTATTGGTAGGAAATTTATGAAAATTGTAGAAGAAATTCTCGGTAGTAAAATTGAACCGGAATGGAATTTCGATTCATTGGAAATCATTGTTTATCCAGAAACTCTCACTTCTCTAAGTTGGCATTTGTTGTCGTTCCAAAATCCGCTTGAAAAACAAATATCACCAATTAGTGGTAAACTTAACCAAGATAAACGATTACCAATTTTAAACTATATTCGCCCTGTAGCTCCTATCTTAAATGACTACGTTCCAAGCGATAATTTTAGCCAAACATGGTGCAAAGGATGGAAAACATTGCCTATTGATGACGAACGTTTTATTCAGGAGGTTCTTCAAAAAGATCATTGTTGTCCTCCACTTCTTCTCTTTCCTGTTGAGTTGATTTTGCATGTATTAGAATTTTTGGATGGAGTAAGTCTGGCTAAGATGTGCCAAGTCTGTGTGATGATGCTGCACATTGTAAATTCCTCTGCAGTGTTGAAAATAAAAATTGCAACTGCGAAGGAAAATTTCAAGACAGCAAAATTGGATGAATTTTGGGAAAAGTTTCGTAAGAAAAGAGACTGGTCACCAGAGATACACAGCTTGTATGGATCTTCGTGGGGATATGAGTCACCTTGACAAATGAAACGAACATTTTCCTGAGACTGGATATTTTACTCATCATTTTTATCTTATAGGAGTTTCTAAAATTTTATTTGATTGCATACTGCAAAGAATGTGTTATTGAATTTATAGTTGATAAAATTTAAATCACTTGAGGAAATTACATATTTTAGAACAAAATTTTTGTATTTATAGATCTTAAAACCTTTTCTCATCGTATATATTCTAAACACATATTCTAATCGTAGTTTTATGTTGTATAATTCTCGAACAACTGAATAAACGAAAGTTTAACGTGTTCATCGTAAAATTTTGCCTCCACTATAAAAAAAGCCCTAAAAGGGAAAATTACAACACAAAAATGTGAGTCGAGCAACTGTGTCATAGTGGAGCATTTACAGGTTTTTATCCCAACGCTCAATGTACGTTGAATATGGTTATTTTTATGTCACAGTTTTCGCAGCAGTTTAGAATGCTTTCTCTGTAATCTCAATTCCCCAAATCATTAAGGTGAACAGTACTTCCACCTTCGATAAATTTGGGTTAGGTGGTGCGGAGATTATTTGAATTTGACTAAAAGTTTAGCAAAGATGTGCAGAGACTACAGAAATGTGCAACGTTTTAAGAGAAATATAAATACATTGAAACCTGTACTAAGCAACCCTCGCATTAAGAAACTGCCATTTAGAGACCACTAATAATTGGACACGATCGTGTTGGGCAGAACAAGTTTTTATGAAAACCAAGATTATTGGAACTTACTGAATATTTAGCAATTTGGTTATTCCTGATACACTGAAATCTTTCCTAAATGTAAGTACTTACACCGTTTGTCGATGATTTCCATATTTAAGTTATTTCCTTATTTGGAAGGCCTTGTGACGAGCCTCCGTAGCAGACACTAGTGCGTCCCCAAGATCTTTTGCACTTTTAGTTGTTTATGCTTTAATTTTTCCTAATCTTTTTGCAGTGAGAGCGCACTGTAAAAGCGACATATAGGTGCATAATGGTGCATACCATTGAATGATAAACAGAAATACAAATACTTCGAAAATGCTGTGTAACCTTGTCAAATATATGGAAAAAGCTCTGTTTAGACACTTTGGGTGAATTTGAGTGTTTAAAAGTTTTCATAAATGGAGCGTCAGTTTCGGTGAATTAAGGTAACTATCAACGGGCGTTTTGTAGATCAAAACTGTAGATATTGGTGAAAAGGCCACTAAAATGGGCACTGTAAGTTGTGATTACTAAATGTGTATCAAAAGTGGGCACTAAGTGAAACGTCCCTTACAATTTGATGTCAGTAGTAAATGATACATGTTGGGATTTAAATATTTTGCCCATGTTAATGTCTGAAGACAAAACGTCCAATAAAACTTGCATAGCTTGCGATGCACTTTAAAGAACAGTTGGTTTTTTATAATTTTCTCTTCCTGCATGCTTACTTTTGATGTTTTAAACGATTTGGCAAGTCGCAGATCCCAATATAAATTTTTGTCTTCTAACAAATATAGATGCTGCGCATGCTCTGTGGATGTGTTTTAAAAATTTTATTTTCAGTATAATATAATACGAATAAATACGGCCAAAGACTGACTTCATTCACATGTTTGTAAGACCGAGATGACAACTGAAAGTCTGAAAATTTTACAATCGTGAAAATAAATCAATTAAGTCGCAACTAAATCATGGATTAATAAATATAAGAGTTTGTTATTCGAAATGAATATTTTAAATAGTGCTTTGCACTATAAAATATGTGAAAATTGCGACTATGAATACTTACGTAAACAAACTGTAAACGTTTTTGTGTAGAGTTATTTAAACAAAATAAGTTCTCACGCAAAATTTGCATACCACCGCTGTTCTTTTGTACTAACACAAAACATAATTGAAACTTAATTTAACAACAATTTATCATTAAAATAATTATGCATCTTCGTAATACTGGGATAAGTTAGATATCTCTATAGCAAGAGCTAATATCCCGCTTCTGTTTCGTAAAATATTCCAGTATACGGAGAAAATGTCATTAAACTCATAATTGTAAAACTAAAAGGTAAGTTTATTATTTATCTTTATTAAGAAATTATATATATATACAGTCACGACAACTTTGACTTTGTATTGGAATGAAGCTTGAAATTAATTTACTTATGATTTGTTAGCAATGTAGACAAGATCAGTAAACATTCAATATTTACTTCTTTTAAATAACTTCTTCAATTATCGTCATATGGAAAATCCAAACTGTCTCTTGCATTATTGGAAACTAACGACTTGTTGCTTAAGAATAAAACCTCATCATTAACAAAAACAATTGAAAATTCATACATTTATGTTGAGAAAAATTGCCTTTACAGGAGTTAAGCTTATCGCTAAGCAGTTTCTTATGACAAAGTTATAAAATAAGGTTATAAAATAAGAAACTACCAGACTTAATTAACCGCCCCCATATATGTTAAAAGAAAAGTTATTTGTAGAAGGGCTCAAGTATTTTTCAAATTAGGAAACATCGTGTCCAAAAAAATATCATTGTCAATGTAGAATTCTCATATCAAACAACAATGTAAGCATTTGGCTTCACCCCCAATCAGTTATATTATATGTTTAATTTAACAATGTATAAAGCAGTTTGATTTTATTTTTTGTGGTTTTAAATCAATGTACAATTGACCTCAGTACTTATATTTTATGTTTTTAAGATCGCGTGTTGCAAAATCCAATACAACAGTCTGCTTTTTTACTGTTGTCATGAAGTTAAACTAGAAATTCGAGTAAAAATAAGCGAAAAAATTTCACCTCACTTGCGTATATGTTTCGAAAGGACTAGGCACGTGCTATGATTGATGATAACGTTCGCTTTTGCAATAGTAATGCAGTTTTTAATGACAAGAGAAGTAAAATGTTTATGGTAAATAATTGACAATCGACGGCTAATTGAAGTTTCTTCACTTAAATAATTTTACTTATTAGTTATTGCAAATGAATGTAGAGCTAATTGCTCCTTCCCCCCCCCCCTCCACTCCCCCCCATTACTTCTTTGGTCTGAGACGTGGCTTTAATAGTTCCATAATTTATATTATTATATTTTTGCTACATTTTATATGTTCCCATTATCATCAATTGGAAGATGCAAAAATGTCTTTTTCGAAAGAATCTAATTAATAGCATAATTTCTATTGTACATTATGACATGAATGACTTGGATTAGCCAAGCTTGATCGTTTTGCTACTCACGAGTAATCTTAACGAAAACACCGAAGTTTTGTTGAAATATATTAAATAAATATATTTTATTTATCGACTGGGAGGTCCTGATAAAGAAATATTCTCCCGACGTCTCAAAAGGACCCACAGGCCTTGGGACTCTACCCGAAGTCCAGGGCCCTTTCTAAGATCTATCTCGGGAATTTATTTTTCTATCCGGACGAACGTAAACGGTAAATAACGTATTCATTTTTTACTAAAGGCAACAATTTTATTAAATTGCTCAGTCAGATTTAATTATGGCAGCCAAGTAAGCAATCAAAACTTTGCTCTTCGTTAGTTTGTTTTACTTGAAAACTCAAAAATTACTTAAAATAAGTTATTACAATGAAAAGCTGGCTGATAATTTCCTTTTTATAAAGTTACAAAACGAAACAAAACGAAACATAGCAACTCTTCCCTAAAATATTTAGCCATAAGATTCCGGAGTGCTGTCAGATATAAAGGTTCCGGGCCGCGGTCAAGATATCGTATAAAATATACTTCCGCTGTTGCAGCCAATCAGGTTGCAGGAAAGACCGGGATTCCATCCGCTGTTTAAAGTGAAATATGTTTTTGATTTCAATTCCAGTCTCGGATGTCTGGTAAAATATCACTGCATGCAATCATAGCTTATAGATAAATCATCATGTATGCAAACCTTGGCAAAATAATTATGCATTTTATTTCTAAGTTGTTGGATGAAGCCATAAACCTACTGGAATTTATGCACAGAGGGACCATGAATAGCCATCTTGTAAGAAGAGGGGGGGGGGACAAGTTTTTTGACTGGATTGGCCTTGACTTTTAAAAGAATCTATTCGAAATTAAGAACTAAAATAGGTATTGACCCTGAGATCATTATTCAGTTTTCTAAACTATAGATGACATTTGACGTTGCTAAACATATATGCTATAAAAAATTTATGTGTTTTCTCTGAATGTTTGTTGTTTTGCTATTGTTTTTTCTTCGAAAAAGACTAACTATAATTTTTATAATACCACATATAATACAATATGATAGATATTCTTGTCTTTAATTGGATGTTCATTATAGTTCTTATTTCTTCACATATAGTTTTGAGAAGAATGTTGTAACAATGAGATATCTTTCCGTCGTTTTTACCATCGTGGTATCCACCTCTGCTTCTAAAGATATCCTTTCATTGCCTCTTACAATAAATCCTTTACTTCAGGATGCTATAGAAAGAAATGGCTCGATAGATGATATTGCAAAGATGGATCCAGAGTTTTATAACTGTATATCATACAGTGACATGATAAAAAAACTAAAATATCCGTCCAGAAACCATATATCAAAAACAATTTATGGATTAATGATTCTTGGACTTGCAGCAAAGCTTAATGGTTTAACAAATGATAATTTAGAATGTAAAACACCAAGCAGATGGACAATACAATTGAAAGTTGAGGATTTAGTCTCAGCCTCCGTTAACCTTACATTACCACTGAATGCAGAAACACGCCTGGTGAATATTCAAGAGGCTATGTTTAATATTTTGGAGAAGCGATTCAATTTCAACATTAATGACGTTGCAAAACAGTTGAAGACAAGTACTCTCAATATTTATGGATTTTGGAAAATGGATGGATAACAGTTGTAAATGCTATCACAAAATAAACGTTCGGCTGTTATCATCAAATTATAAAGTTGAACCAATGGTCATTGCAAGAGCTTTAAATTTGTCGTTGGTTGAACTCTATAATTCAACGTTGCTACAACTTGAAGATATACTCATAAATAAAACAGATAAAATCAGAGGTGAGACAGTCATCCTACTTTTTTCTTTCTAAATTGAAATTACTAAATGTTTCATGATGCTCAACAAGCTAACACTATGAGGCAACAATTGGAGCCAAGGAGCCAAAATGTTTATTTTTCCCCGGGCTTTCTTTGTAGCTAAAAAAATTTCATCCCATAATGATTATTTGCATGTTATAGCATGATAGTTAATGATACATGACATCATTAACACTTAACATCATGACTATTGTTTACAGAAGCAGCAGAAAAATCGAGGCGTACGATGTCATCATCAATTTTGGGTAAGATTATATTTTCTCTACACCATCGGAGTAATTTTAATTAAAAATTATGAACAAAATCATCAAGTCCTGAGTCCTGACGATAAAGAACAAGTAAAAAACCTTTTCTACTTTCATTGCCGGCTTTACGATTGCTAATTCTGGCATGTGTAACAACACGTTCTTTAGTTATATGATCGTTGCAAAATAGTCTGATTGTCTACATTGATATTTAGTTATTCTTAATCTTAAGATACCCAATGTAACAAAAAATAATATATTTTAAGACAAAAGCGAGTAAAGAGAGTCAACACAATACTAAGAAAAGATTATCATCGTCATTTACTCAAGCAAAAAATAAATGTTTCAAGCTGTTTCTGTAATTGTATGCTTTAGAACTGACAACAATGACTTCACGTTTAAATGACGAGAGAAAGTCAACAATAATCACACGAAAGACCACCCGCGTGGCTATCGTTAAAGAATCAATCACGCCATTGTCAACGACAATTAAAGTTTCTTTCACCAAAGACCACAAGCTTAATTCAACTGTGTATTCTAATGGGCAAAGTAGTTCTACTATGGCTTCATCGATCGTAAGAAGTAGTTACCAAACAGGTGTTGATCTACACAAAACAAACACCATAAAATATACGATTGGTAAAATATTATCCTTTGTAGAAAGTGTCTCAATTTCAAGTGCCATAGCCCAATCAATGTTTATTGAGCCATCGAAAAAATCAAGTAAGATGCAGTTTTTGACTTCGCAAGATTATTCATTAATGTGGAATATAAGCCACTCGTCAGGGTCATTGATTAATCAAGGTAGCTCTGTATCTGCACAACTTACGTCAAAGGGAGATCAAATTTCATATTTGCGGACCAAAATATTTTCGTCTTATAAAACAGAAAGTTTCAATTCTCAACTTAAACAATCATTTAGTAGCATTACAAAACCAACACCCAGAACTGTTACACCAGTTCAAATTTCTGATTTGCAGACTAAAATACCTTCGTCTTATAAAACTGAAAGTTTCACTTCGCAACTTAAACAATCATTTAGTAGCATTACAAAACCAACACCCAGAACTGTTACATCCGTTCAAATTTCAGATTTGCAGACTAAAATACCTTCGTCTTATAAAACTGAAAGTTTCAATTCGCAACTGAAACAATCATTTAGTAGCATTACAAAACAAACACCCAGAACTGTTACAACAGTTCAAATTTCAGATTTGCAGACTAAAATACCTTCGTCTTATAAAACTGAAAGTTTCAATTCGCAACTGAAGCAATCATTTCGTAGCATTACAAAACAAATACCCAGAACTGTTACAACAGTTCAAATTTCGGATTTGCAGACTAAAATACCTTCGTCTTATAAAACTGAAAGATTCAATTCGCAACTGAAGCAATCATTTAGTAGCATTACAAAACAAACACCCAGAACTGTTACAACAGTTCAAATTTCAGATTTGCAGACTAAAATACCTTCGTCTTATAAAACTGAAAGATTCAATTCGCAACTGAAGCAATCATCTAGTAGCATTACAAAACAAACACCCAGAATTGTTACAACAGTACAAATTTCAGATTTGCCTACTAAAATACCTCGATCTTGTGGAAATAAATGTTCAAATTTTAAAATAAGAAAGTTTTCAAGTGGCAATATTAAGACCATGCCTAGCATGGATAAACTGAGTTCAATATCAATGACATATTTTTCATATGATGAAATAAACAGTCAGACCTCACTACAAAGCTCTCAAAATGACGACTTCTTTTACTCGTTAGTTGAAAAACGATTGTCAACAATGTCTTTGACACATTCCTCGGGTAGGACATCGTCTAATGACCAAAATATCCAGCAATCTGGTTCCATGTTGTTTCTATTGAGCAAAAGCAGTCCATATATTGTAGTTCCCGCACCATACTCAAAAGGAATTGGAAACATTAAACCAAGAGTCACTTCATTGTTACCAAGCATCGTATCGTCTATTTCAAAAGGTAAAAAATCAATGCTCACTTTTACTTTGCATACCTTGGCACAACAGTACCGTAGTATTGAGAGGAGCCATGTAGCCTGTCGTCCCTTTTTTTACAAAAAATTTATACTAAGTTGCGCAAGCATCAACATTAACCCGTCCCTTATTCTGTGATCAACCCAATTTAGCAAACGTTCCTTTTAAAAAAACCCGTATCTTTTAAACAAAGCATATTTTGAACCCATATTTGCTTTCAACTTTTAATTTTTTAACACAAAAAAATGAGAACCCTCTCTTAGACTAACCATTATTCCAACCTAATGGCTGTAGTTTATCAAAAAGCTGAAATGATTTTAGTTTCGAACGTCTTCGACTAAACAACATCCTAGTTAAATAAAAAATGCATAAAAATGTTCAAAAATGACATAATTGAAAAGAGAGCTGTAAAACATACGAAAACTGTTTCTAAAAAATCAATTGTCTGATTTGGTAGTGACATGCTTCATGGTGACGTCGTGAATCCTAAAGTCAATGCATGCATGTAGTATTATGTTTATGTGGTTTTTCGATTGATGACCGAAAGCAGAAATTACATTCATTAAAATCACTCTGCAATCATGCCAGTGATGAATGATAAATAATCAAGGAATTTTTATAAATTAGCGTAAATTAGCCATGTTGTTTCAAAAACAGTCACGTCTGGTGTGGTAAAGGATTATACGTGTTCTCAGCACAATATTTTTACAGGTTTTCACTTTACTTCTTTATCTATTTTCAATTTTTATTTTTCTTGAACAGACAGAGAAAATGTACCAAATTCGAATACGAAAGGTAAGGCTAATTTTGTATTCAGATGCAAAATTTGCTAGTTGTTATTTCATCAACACTAGATTAAAAAGTTAAAATAGCAACAATAACGTCTCAAGAGCCCCTTCTATTCTTTCTGTTAAAATACGTTGATTGGTAGTGTAAGCAAAAAAGCATACAGTTGAAAAAAGTCGATAGGCCGAAATAAATTTTGGAAGTAAATATAGCTATATATATATAATTTTTATCTAGGTTTTTAAACATTATATAGTTCCATAAGAGTGTAAATTAAGTCGCCTACTTTAATCAACAATTTAAATAACCTTTGGTGTTTCTTTTCCTTCTACATAAATTACTGTAATCATGCATTTTGAGAAACTGAGAGTGATTTATTAATTTATGAAGAAAGTTGTATTGTCATGCAGGAACTAACATTGGCTACCATTTCTATCATGTAGAGGACGATGACAGCAAACTTCTTATGATTTTTATTCCAATCATCATCGTCTTATTAATCCTGATCGTTGTCGCTTTATTTAAGTCGATGAAGCATAAACGTCAAGTTAAAAGGTAAATTTTTTTTATTATTATAATTCCGCTTGTTGTTTTCAATTATGAACATTTCAGTTGATCGTTTTTTGTGGTTTTAGTTGACTAAATTAAGTCACATTTTATTTCTTTTGACTCTGTAAAATGTTAATCTGTTGATAATGAACCTTATTATTTACTTATTTTTGCTGATAAAAACAGTATTCCATGTAATTCATTGAATGCCCTTTCGTCTTGTTTTATGAAAAGTTCTTCAAAACTTTCTTAATTTAGCCAGAGTTTAACCCAAGTCACTAAAATTCAGACAAAAATGTTGTAATGCAAGACAGTTTAGATATTTATTTTGTTGCTTTTTATTTTACATGAATCAAATGAAAAAACAATGGAAAAAAATTTTGAACTTTCAAAATTTACTCGACATGCATGTTTTTCAAAAACAATTCCCATTAAGATTCTAACCAATAAACACAGTAAATCTTAAAAAGCTTGCTGCAAAGCGTATAACATGATGCCTTATTAAGTTTCTTATTATTTACGCTATTGCTGGAAAAAGCATACACATAATGAGCAATAAAAGGTACGGATTAAAGTCAAAAAATGTCAGCATCAGTCCTCCGATAAGTTTGGCAAATAACGAATCAGAAGTAAGAGCCGCTCGCTCAATGTTGAGGATAAGTGGTGTCGGTAATTTCGAGACAATAAATGAAGGCGACGAACCCGCAAAGCCTGAAGAGTCTGACAAGTCTGAGGTATATTACACATGAGGAAATAATTTCCATGTCAAAAGTAATGTAATGAAAATATAAAACACATGCCATTAGCGGCAGAAGATCGATAGTTTAGGGGGGGGGGGTCATTCATACATGCATGTGTAACTTTAATGGTTCCTATTAAAATCAGTTGTTCAGTATTACGGATTATGCAACATAAATATATATGAAAATGAGCTTCCCCAATTATAAATTTTTACCACCACTCCCTTACATTCAAATCAAACCACAAAGCATTTTGATGAAAAGATTGTCTTGATCTGTAAACAATCAACTTGAGTTTGATTTAATATATTAATTAGACCTTGCATGCAAGTTGTGAAAAATCTAAATGCCTTTAGCTACTATAAAAACATAGAAGTATTGGATTTAAATGAATTTTGTGAAAAATAGTTTGTTAGATTTGTCAAAGAAAATTGACTTCAAACTAACGTTTGTATTATTGCAGGTTTTTGACCTTTGATCCAAAGAAGTTTGAAGATCATGTTTTTTTTAATTTTAGAAAATATATCAGTTTGTATTTATATTAAGTTATAAATCTATCTTATGTATACATCTATCTTATATATCGTTATATATAAAAAACCAAAAATGATGTATATATTTTGGCATCTCAATCATATGTTTCCTGTTTGATCCTATCATCAAAAGATTAACGAATCATTTGAAGTCGATCCATCGGTTTAATAAAAATACGATACTGTAAGTGACCTTCAGTGTTAATGAATACATACATTTGTCATAGTGTGAGATGTATAATTCAGTAAGTATAAGATATGACTTGAGTGAGGTAATGCTCAATAAATAATTATTTACAAGATGATGTATGAGCTAGCGAGCTTGGATAACAGTAAGAAGTTATAATTAAAACAAGTAGCGGAATATGCGGAAAATGGTATTGAAATGTTGAATTTGTTTGCAGAGGTTAGGTTTGTGTTTATGTATGTAGCTACAAAGATTCTTTACGTTTCAGACAGAAGGGAGTGTTGGTAGTGTCTGGCACTGTGAAACAGAATTGAGTGTATTTGGATTTGCAGTTAGGATTTTGTAGGTGTTTGTAGATGTGGGAGTTTTTTTGAGAGTTTGTGTGTAGCAAGATGATATGATCAGTGATATTCTTTGCAAAAGAAATCATTCACGCACAAATGAAAATAAGAATTAATTTAAAGCATCCTCCAATCAACGTTCAAGGGATAGTCCTGAGTGCATGTCAAAAATTAGGGTTTAAAAAGTGTTTTTAACGGTTTTATGAATTGTATAAATAGGAACAACTGGCAACCAAAGTCTTAACTGTTACTTAAATCATACGTTTCTTTTAATTTGCTCATTTTCTTTTTGAAAAATCCTTTTTGATCTTCTTATAAATCTTTTATTCACCATTATAACCTAAAACTCATCCTTCCCATCCCTCAACATAATACTGTTCACTGTTGAGATTTGTTTTGAAAAGCATAGATATGTCAATGGTGGCTGACTGCTAAAGTGGCACGATTTTTTGGAAAATTGTAGTAACGACAGTGCTCACGATAAGTAGCTTTTGACTTTCTTAAAACCAGAGAACTTGTATTACAACTGTACTGTTACGTACCCTACGTATATGGACTAATATTATGCTCATGCAGTTATTGATAGTCATGCATGTACGTTTTGTGATATTCTCGATCTGCCAATTCTCTTTTGAGCTGCAGCAAAGAAGGGTATAGGTATAACTTTGGGCTTTATATTACAACAATAAATCAAAGCAAAGCAAAGAAAATATATTTGTTCATCATATTTTAAGTGTAATTGTGTAATGATTGATAAACAGCTATGAAGCATGTCAGTGATTGATTGATTGATGACAACAGTGAAAGCAACCGAGATTGATAGTCGGTAAAAAATATCTGTAACGTGCATAATATGTATGATTAAATTTTGTTATTGTTGATAAGTTAAACGCTAAATTTAGAAAAATGCAAACATACGGTGAAAATTGAAATACAGCCTAATGTAAAATTTATCTTAAAAAATAAGCATTCATTTCTTTCAAAAACCTTGGCCACCAGAAATTGAAAATTAACATCAATCAATTATATTTATACTGCCTAATTAGATCAACAAACATTTACTTAGGTTTTTTACGATTTCGTAGCGATTGCTTCATGGTTGGTGAGTGTGTGCAATTTTTATGCACAAGTTGCAAAAGAATTGAAAACAAACGTTTCTCTCGTAACATTATGAAAGCTCTCTTACGACATAACTAGATTCGTATTTTACGTTGTCTTTTTTCATTCGAACGAAAGCGTAATAAACCCGCTTAGATATTCATTCAGTTGCTTGGCGGGAATATTGTCCATGCTTCGAAAGTAATATATGTTTGGACGATGAAAATTACTGAAGAAATCCAATGTCCTGCAGATCTTTTATCATTTTCATTACATTTATATTGAATTCGCTTTGGCAAGTTGCAAAGCTATTGATAAATGAAATTAAAAAGATTGTTTTCGTCTTCCTTAATTTTGATGCTGTCCACCTTTTGGCGATAAAACTTGATATGCATTTTGTCACTAGTGAAACAAATGATATATCCAATCAGAATGCAGATACGGCGTTTTTCACTTGTGAAGAAAATGATATGCCCAATCAGACGCTCGGAAGTTTTAGGCATATGATTTTTATTTCACCGTTTTGTTGCACATAGATTTCAATACTCGTATGATAAAAAACATGGTTCAACACTTCATAAAGTTTTTTTACTTCGTAATAACATTTTCCCAAACCCTAGCAAGATAGCTAATCCGATCCCATTGAATGCTTTCTCACTGGTTTCAAACGATTTATAATTGGAGAGCTCATATTACCAAAGTTTTTGATTTCAATCAAAACTAAGAACAGAGTATATATATATATAAATATAGACCCCCCTAAATAATCAATCATCTGCGGTCCTGTATTTTTCATTTTAGTTTTTGGATTATTAATGGGCTGCTGAGATTCTACTTCGATGAAATATAGCAATAATAATATAAACATACAACATGGGGTATGCAATTAAATCATCTCGACAAATAACCTTTATCGCAAGATTGCACAATTCATATACGTAACTGGCACAAAGTCTTTGAACCAATCAAAATATTTCTTGGATCGTTTCACCCGTGAGTGTGGGTATGACTGATATACTACGTATGTTTAAATACGTATGCAAATCGTATTGTCGTGAATTTTGTTGAGCTATATTTGGAAACTATAACAAACACTGTTCTCGAGTAGCTCAAGTGAAAGTTTGATAGGCATATTAATTTGTTTTAATCGTTAGCTCGTTAACTCATCAACATACATAGTTGTAGTTAAAACATTCCTCGTTGAAGATTGGACTTGAAAGGCTTCATTATCTAATATATGGCGTGTTAGTTTTTTTAGTACATTTGGTTTAAAAATGACAGGTGAATTAAACCATTTTCACACATGTCTATTTTACAAGAACATTTTAGACTAAAAAACTGTAGCCCAATGGTTAAAGTTGACTTGTGAAAAATTTTTCGTTCTGATGTAAAAACGCAATCAGCTTTTCCAATTTTAGTTTAGATAGGTGAATTTGAAGTGAAATCCGTATAAATGCGAATGTGATGCGTTGAAAGGCAAAAATTTTGACAAGATTAATAAATTTATACGCACTCTAAATAATATAGACCACAAAATCAAAAAAATGTCATTAACTTTTGGATATTTTTTAGTTTTTTCCACAATAGCTGCGATACTATTAAACAATTATGGGATGAGGTTGAACATGACATCAAGAATTAGTCAGACCGAGGTCAACGTTATCTTCCTCAGCTTCGCTTTGGCAGATAACACTGACTGAGGTCTAAATAATTCTTTATATCATGCAAAAGCCGAGATCAATAATTGTTTTATTATTCACTCTAACTAACTGAAATATTATTAAAACCTATCAATATAAAATATTTTACAAGCCTTCGCTAATTTGTTTTTACGAGACGGCTTATTCAAGTTCGTCTCGTCTAAATATGTTGTAAATATGTTCACAGACAGCTTCGCTGCATTTTTAGTGTTTTCCGCATCCTTATTGTTTAAAAGCTTTCAAATTTTTTTTAGAAATTGTGGCATATATCGCTGTTGTTTGATTTTTTTTTCAAAACCGGCTTTTAATGGCGTCTATAATTTTAGAAACTATTATTTGTACATATGACGTCAAGCCTACAGATATCGAGAATTATTTCCAGTTAGTTGACCAATCAAAAGCGACATTGCTTACGTAATGAATAATAAAATAAGTTCATCAATGTGCATGTGGTCAGAGGAAAGACTTTCATGCTTTGGCGTACACACAATTAGGATGTTAAAAGAAAAAAGTAGCGTTGAAAGATGTCTTTTACCTTTTTACTATAAGTTTTATTTAAATTTCTACTGAACTTGTTCGATCATTACGCGGTTAATACTAAAATAGAGTGCTGAAATATGATTTTTCTTATTGTCTGTCTTTCGCTTTACTTATCCACTTGTGAAGCCACTAATAAAGACTTCATTGTCGTTCCAGTGTCGACAAGTCCTGTGGTTCAGCTTTGGCTATTACCTGAATTCCCAAATGCCTTGTATGAATCAAAGAAACAAATTTACTCTCGAGTTACAGTAAACGACGTTGCAAGAGGCATAGGGGAAAATCTCACCGAAACTATCAGGAAATCAGTTAAAACTCTGTTTCGAATGGCTGCTGCAGCTCAAGTCTCGGAAACCTTAAAAATAGAGCAAGTGAGTGAAAGCAAATGGTCGTATCGTATTCCTGTGTCAAAATTGCTCGAGTCTAATCAAAGCATTAACAACCTAACTGAGAACACAGAAATCTTTAAAATACAAGAGGTGGCAATGAAGGTTCTCAGCAAGAAATACGGATTCAATACGAATTTTATCCTGAAAAAGCTTTGTTTGAGTTTAATGGATTTTTATGCTGCGGATGAAGAACAATGGATTAAAATTGTTGGTATTATCACTAAAATTGTCATCCGAAATATAACGAACAAACTGAACTTGACACCATGTTACCTTGCTGAACTTATAGGAAAAACGGAAAAAGAAATGGAAGTATTTACATTGAATGATATTGACAAATATTTAAACAGTACTAAGTTGATTAAGAAATTGTCATTGTATAAGGAAAATACAATGCATAACTTTTATGAAGAAGTCCAAATTACGCCCATTCAAATAGCTGAATTGAGCAACAAGAGCGTTACAGAAATAAAAAATCTAGGAGTCAAAGACAGTATTCAACATTTTACCAAAACCGTTTTAGGCAGCTTAAATCTTTCTAAAGAGCAATTGAAACGTTTTGAAAACAAAACAGTTTGTCCTCATCAGTGGGAGTCATATAAAAAGCTAATGATCATTGGAGCATTTGACAACAAAGCAAAGGAAATGTCAATCTTACCTAAATCACTAGCAAAAGCAATGAGAATTTCATACCGTAGTATACGACAACTTCCATTACTGGAAATGATACAACTTATTAATGGAACTATCAACCAATTACAACAAGACAAACAAAAGATTGAAAAGTTAACGTTGTCCATGTTAAAGGAAATGTACAGTGATAATGTTCTCAATATTAAAAAGCACAACTCGTTGTCTATTATTAAACATGTTACTCATCTGAGAAAACGACAATTAAGATTCTTTTACGGATGGAAAAAAAATGATCATAATTTTGAAAGATTGTTTACCGTAAAAGATCTTGGAAATGAGTGCTCTTTTGATGTTAACAAGAAAACATTAAGTTCGTTGGCCAAATTGAACGTCGGTGAAAGAAGCAAAAAGATAAATTGTACTAAGTTTTACGTGTTGAAAATGGTATGGAATCAAGCAAGTCTTGATGATTTGGCCAAATTATATTCACCCAAAAAAACCATCGCAATAGATGAGCCTCTTGCTTCAGTAATGGCAAACTTAACAAATTCATCATTGCATTTGAACACAAGAGTATTGAGTCGTGATCCAATCACTCAATGGCTATTAGAAAAGCTTACACTGACTAATATCTCACATTTGACCAGTTACACTCTGATCAACTTGCAAGAAATTCCAATAACAAGAATCGCTTTTCTCATCAGTCAACTGATAATTAATGGTTCACTTGATCAACTATTAGAGGTATTTACTTATTTTGAAAAAAATTTTGTGCGAGATTTACGATGTATTTTAAAATCTCACTCAGACTCACTGACACTCACACTAAAGTATAAGTGTGACAAAGAAGTCCAACTAGTCAATGGCAAAGTTTTTCCTCTAAAGAGGGCAAGATTTATGCTAAAATATTTCCATAAGCAATCAAGAGAAGGGAAAATACCATGTTCAAGTAGGTATGAGGTAATTTTAAAGCCCCACACAATACTTAGCTATGTTAGTGTGAGTATGAGTGACCTTAAACGTTACACACGACATAAAAAAACCTGGGTTGAACCAAAGTTAGTTTTTGTTTTGCTAATAGTGCTGCTGAAGACGTTATGTTAATTACATTCACTACACATGATTACAATTTAGGTCTACCAAGCTACTAGCTACCCTACAGCCACCACTACGGATATGAAAAATCCAAATTACAAGTTAGAAGAAGTCACATCTGATGCTTTGGATTATAAAGAACCAACAGTCCATCAACTGGTAATCCATGAATCAGTTGATCAAAAAGTGAAGGTACATGCTTACATTTAATAAATCAATTTTGTACGAGATTTACGCTGTATTCTAAAAGCTCATTCCCACCCAAACTCACTAAATTTTAAAGAGAAATCATTTTTATTTAATAGCAAAACTATTCCCTCGACAAAGGGGAAGATTTTTGCTAAAACGTTTAAAATCAAGCAACAGGCGGAGTGAAAATGCAATCTACGAGTAGCTATGAGCTGATTTTAAAGCCCCAATAAAAAATATAGATGTTCGTTATTTTAATCACAATCACTACACCTCATCACAATTTAGGTCTACAACACTACCAGCTACTCTACGGCTACCACCACAAATATGAAGCCCACAAATTATCGATTTGAGGAAGTTGCTTCTAACGCTTTTAATTATAAAAAACCAACAGCCCGTCCACGTTCATTCGCAAAAAATCACCGATCAGGTTTGTTGAAAATTTATAAGCTTTGTATCTTATTTGGAAAAATTTCTTGGAAAATTTGCTTTGAGATAATCTTCATTATTTCCATTCAAAAAATCTTATCATGTTCACTTTTCTTTAATCCGTATCCGAAATTTTGCAAACAAGCACATGATTTGAACAATGACCAGGAATATTTAAAAAATTATTTCAATATTCCGATTACACAGAAATGCCTAAATGCAGTCATTCTATAATCCTTAGATATATATACTGCTTGCACTAAGGCCGTTATGACTCAATAGATCGACAATTGAGGTATCATCTTCGGATATAGCTATGAATATGAGCCCTTCAATTATATGGATCTTCTCACTGCTCTGGAACGTGCAGCATATGTGATTGTTAATGGAGCTTTATTGTTAAAATGTTACATATGAAGTACAGTCAAAAATTTTTGAGGTTTTCAATATATAGTTGCCACAATTCATCACTTTACGTTTTGTAAACAGTTTATCCCTTCGATAGGAATTTGCATTTGCGTGTAGTTTAGCAAAATACTTGTTGTTCTTTATGTAGTTACCTGACAACGTTGCTATAGAACTATACACTTTACAATGTACACGTATTTTAAAATCTTAGTAAAAGATGAAAGCCAATGCTTGCAAGTTTGTATAGAGATTGCATGCGACGCGAATTGTAGTTTGCAGTTTTTTTAATACACCCCGTATGAATTTGCATGTGTTAAATATTGAGTGCCTATGTTAATTTTGCTGTTCTTTAAACAAAACATAAATATATTGTTTAGATCCTGCGATACGAATGATATCCTTGCTGATTGTTTCATGGCTTTGTACCTGACTTTAAGTTAATTATACAATTTTTAAAGGTTATATTAAAGAATAATATTCATATTTTATCTTATTCTTGTAGTTAAACTAATACATAGCTATTACTAGAGCAGCGAATTACTTTAATCAAATAATTCCATGTATTATCATACATTGTACTGTAAATTGCTTGCTAATTCATAGCCGCCATGCTGGATGATTTTAACAAAGAATTTTCCGTATTTACAATTCCATTTCATGCAAAATGGCCAGCATTCCATTATTTTCTTACTCTAAGGGCAATGGTTACCCACCACAAATATAACAAACCCATTCTGCAATAAAGTGTGTTCCTCTTATTAATAAAGTTTCCAAAATATAATCCTCCATTTTAATGCAGATGGAAATCTCAACAGCTTCTGGGCTCAGGTCGAAAATATATAATTTTGATGGAATTTGGAAATGAATGAAAACTTTGGAAGTAGAATTTCTGGAATAAACTATTACCATAGTCAAAAGGGACGTATCAAATGTATATGCTGCGTTAACACAAGTCTGATTTTCACTAGCCACATAAGCATTGCAAGAAAACAAAACAGAGTATATTTTTCTAAGTTTGGGGAAAACAAAGCAAAAGAAGTTTGCTATTCAATTTGCTTTTGTTTTATTTAGCTTACGTGTATTTCAAGGTGCAGGGCTTATGTTTATGCCTATGTCGATGATTGTGCATGAAGCTTAATTCATTGCATTCTTTTGTCTTTTCTTTGCTATTTATTTTGTCTTTGCTTGTCCTGCTTATGTTGTTAGTAAAAACCAGGCTGTAAGACAACTGATAACAGACCACTTTTTTAGTCATGTGAGATGCACGCAACGATATTTCTTGTGACTTACGCTGATATAGGGTATAATATTTTGTCCATGTTACGTAAACTAATCATTCCTTTAATTAGTAATTTAGCCAAGAATATTTTGTTCATGTTATAAAAATTTCAGAATACCATCCTTATTCATTCCTTTATAAAAATCTATCATTTTCGCCATGAGTGTTAGCAAAAAAATATTTGCATTGCCGAGTCTTATAAACCATGGCCTTCCCTTCCCTCTCCTCCCTCTTCATGTGAGCAAGTCACTGCCGCGAATCAGCTGGTTGCAGAAAGGTGTTGATTTATAAAGTTAGCTAATTCCTTCTTTTCACAAAAAAATTTGAAAGTTTTTAAAATTTAAACAAAAATATATTATGCTGCATATAAAATAGCTCCAAAAATGGCAAAAAGAGATGAAAACATATTAAAGAGGGTGTCAGGTTATTGTGTAGTAGCTATGTTATTTAACGGAGTCATTGCATGTTGACGTAAATAAATTTTAACAAAATAATTGATACTTTAGAGCTTAATAATCTAATACAACATAGTTTGCACGGTTGCACGCGACGTTATTTGACTGAGGCCACACATACTTTAGCTAAAAAGTAAAAAAAACTTATGTTTTATTCGTAGCTATCTACATCTTGAGGATAAATTGTGTGCTTGGTTAGCTACATATACTTAATGCACTTTTTGCTAATTGTAAAGTTGAAATGTTTTTTTATTTTAAACGAAACTCATTCGAGAAGCAAGATTATGTCAGCTGTGCAAAATCGAGCAGGTGGTTCAAACTAGAAATAAACACCGGTATCGAATGCAAATGAGTAACAATGACACACTGAGAACCATAAATGTTATCTTCCGCATAAAAGAATAAAATGATTCTTGCATGAATATAGTCGAAACTTTCGATGAATCTAAGGATGTACAATACGCTACTAAATGGTTCCTACACCAATCTGAAGAATTTTTGGTAAGATAACTGTAAAATACATAAAAATATACGCAATTTGTGTGAATGTAAAACGAGATTCATGAAATGAGTTCTTTTTGTTTGATATGTAGAAATTGCATTCATTTTATAGCTACGTGCATGATTATACACTATCCAATTTCATTACTTGCAAACATTTGCAATGTCAAATGTCATTATTTGGTAGCTACCAGCTAAATAAAATTTAGTCTGCAGTAGATAGAGTATTAAAATAGTGATATTTTTGTTCAAATAATCTTAACGCCGTACAAAAAGAACTTTTTCTGAAACTTATGCGAGATATTCGGGAAGAAACGAACACTTCAGGAATCTTTTGAAATGCTACGTTATTTGGCTTGTGAAATATTTAATACAACGAGGGGTGGGTAGTGGTATGATAAATTAAATATATTTAGAAGTGGATTTTTGAAGGAAAACTCTGCGCAATTCTTGAAAAAATAAGTGAGATTCATTTAGCTAATAAAATGAGAATCATGTAACGCTATGCATGTCATTTAGAGGCATTGTGTACGAAGAAAACGTAAAAGAATAAGTTATTTCAATTTAATATTATAAATTTCATTCACTCAAATTTCACAAAGCAGACGTGAATGAATATCTAACAAAACTATATAGCTTAAAAACAAAAGGGACTTTGATAAATTAAAGAATACTTACAAATATAATTTACTAATCGCGCAATTTTTACGAAACATTTTTAATCGTTTGAGTAATATGAATTTTAGCTTGTATGTTTGTGTTTCCATGGTAATGTGTTGAGCACAATATAATTATATCACGTTTTACAATAGGTTCTAAAAATCTAAAAGCATTTTTTTACTTTTACATAGTATAATTTAGCGTAATTTGAACTACAATAATGACGTTTCATAGCAAAAATAAAATATTGACTGCTTTCCAGATAACAAAGCTTATTTAAGAATACCTATGAATGCTTAAAATGAAGCGGCCAGACATGAAAAGACAAATAAGTCATTTTGACATTGCTTCCTTACAGGTACTTCCATTATTTTTTTTGCTTTTCAATGCTTTTGCAGCTGCATCTTGCAGTCACAGGCTCACCATTCTCAATACGATATCAGCACAACCACAATGGAATGTAACTTCGAAGTTAGATTCGCTACATTTTAATTGGCATCTTTTCAAATAGAAACAAAAGAAATATTGTATCAAATAAACCATACATAAGCGAGCAGTGCCATAGCTAGCTTGTTAATTTAGTTTTGCATGCTTGATTGCTTGCTATGTAATTATTTCTGACTTTAATCAATTTGAAATATTAGATATCTTAAGTGATGATAGCAGGACCAAATCATGTTTCTTGGCTACGCTACTGTATGTGAGCATCTCCACAAAAGAAATATATTTTATGTGTAATTATAATGAACAGAAATAAAATATTGCATTAACATAATTAGGTATCTTTACTCAAGTAAGAATGCTGCTGTTTTAACCTAACTACTGTTAAGTACAAAATAATTTTTGTGGGTTTACTTTGAAGATTGTTTATCAATAATATCTTAGAAATTATAGTTTAAATCAGTTTTTACCACAGATTTAGATGTGAACGAAAATAATGATCAAGTTTAACCAAAAGAGATTCATCGTCAATACCTGGGTAATGTTGCAATGGCTAACTTGTCTTGTAGCAACTACATCTCCAAGTTATCTTATTCCTGTTACGATTAACCCCCTTGTTCAAGACCTGGAAATATTAAAAGATGAAAAAATAAATAGTTTTTACGAAGGAGATAAAACATTTTTCTCTAAAGTGACACCTTTGGACGCTTCTAGATCTTCTGGAGAACCAGTTAAAGATACAATACAAAAAAAAATAAATGTAGTTTTTTTTACAGTTGTATCAGCTCATGTTTCTAAAACAATGAAACTGAGCGATCTCAAATATACGAAAATGAGTAAATGGTCGTACTCCGTTGATGAGCAAAGTATTTTGGCTGCATCTGATGGGAATTTGACGTCAATCGATAGTAATACAACGATTTGTGATATCCAGAAGTATGCTATGAAAGTTTTGGAGAGAAAATACAAATTTAACACAAGTGAAATATTGCGCAAACTAAACTATGATTTATCAGATTATTATGCCGTTGATGAAAAAGAGTGGACATACGTGGTTGGGATCATTGTTCAAAGTGTTCTCGAACATAGAACAAACACTTTGCAGTTAACCAAATGCCACTTAGCTGAAATGATAAATACGAGTGTGACTAAAATGGAAGAATTCACATTGAATGAAACTGACACTTATATATACAACACAACAATGTTGCTTGAAAAACTCACAAATTACAAAGAAATTGTGTTAAATCAACTTTACAAAACATTTGAATTATCTGAAGCAGAGTTTACAGAAGTCACCAAAACTAACATTTCTCGTGTGAAATCCATGACATTAAACAATATACTCAAGCTTTTCACTAAAAGTGTTCTTCAGAAACTTTTCGTCACTGAGAATGAAGTTGTAGCAAGAAACCACATTTTTTCTCAACAGATGCTACTCTCATGCCCTGATAGATGGCATCCATTTATTAGCATCGTTGTTAATGAATCATTTCACAATGCAGCGGAAAAAATGTCTATAGATGTTGACGCACTTTCGTCTCTTATCAACAAGTCTTATTCCGTAGTGCAAAACTATAGCGTCAATGAAATGATCAATTTGCTGGAAAAAACAATCATTCGTTTATCAAATGACAAAAAAATCCTTGAGACATTACCATTACAAAGAGTTATTGAGCAGCTTGGTTCACTTGGTTCAATTAATGTCGGAGAAAAAGATGTATTTGAGGTTATCTACCGGCTTACCAACTTTACTGAAAATCAGTTGACTGTTTTGTTCAATTGGTCAATTAGCGATTATCTCTTTTCTGCTAAATTTACCCTTAATGATGTGAATATGGTTTGCAAAGTTGATTCCATGAAAACAGAACTTCTGACTTTGGCTACTTTCACAGTTGGTTCAACAAACAACTCATGTAATTCATTTACTATTTTACGAAGAATATCAGAAGGACACTCCGTTAGCTATTTGGAAAACAAGTACTCTTCTAAAGAACTGTTATTGAATATTTCAGTTTCTCAGTTGATTAATCAGCTCACTAGAGTACCATCAAACATAAGCCACCGTGTTCTTAATGTCTCTGGGGAAGCCGAGAGTCTTATTTCAAGTTTCACTTTAAATGATATAATTGCAGCGTCAATGTATCAGAGTTCGCACTTGAAATCATTGTCTTTTCAAGCTATTATTGACATCATGGTTGAATTGTATAACAATGGATCATTTCATCAAAATGTGGTTAGTTTTATTATTTTTTTCTAAACATATTCTTCAACATCTTGCCATAACGTAAAAACTGAGTGAATTAAATTTAATTAAAGTTAGTGCCAACAGTGCATTTGAGCACAGTGCTATTCTTTTTGTTCGGATTAATTAGACTCCATTTTTAACTCCACTCCTATATTTACCTTCGTTTTTTCACTCGATCTAGAGTTATTTTGGGCCTAAATAACTTTAGTTATATATTCAATACTTTTATTTTAACACCACTTTGAGAGCTATTTCAACTAACTCCCTGAAATTAAATGTATAAATACCATTATTTTTATGAAATATTGTTATATGTTTATTTATGTATTGATAAACCAACATCCTATTATCCCATTAACATTATTAACTATAAATAATTCATTCGATTTTTTTAAATCATCTACTTTTCATCAGCAAAACTTAAAATATCAAAACTAAAAATTTTTCGTGAAGAATCTACAGCAAAAATCTCCTTAAGAAAAACGTTTACTTAATATTATAGAAATCGAGGAAACCTTCAAGATCGATGGAACTGTTTACGACAACCATTGAAAAGTTGATCCCAACTCAAATTCGTCCAAGTGTGAGGTCAACTATTCTCGATTCTGGTAAACTAAGTATGTTCTGAATATGAATTTACCTGTAAATTTTGTACATGAATTTGAGGTAACATCTTACAAAATATGTTTATACCAGAAAAAGTTTCACGCTGCACCTTCTACTTTAGATGCAAAGTGTCAACCGTCATGTAGGGCTGAAGAATTTTGCGTTGTCAGAAGTGATAAATTTCCCATTTGCCAAGGTAATGTGATCAATAATACTGTATTTGTTGTTATGTCATCTGCATAAGGTCGTTGTGTATATTGACATTTATTCAACATTAGCAGGTTGTCAATGAAGGAAAACTTTCAAAGTGCAGTTTGCTGTTCAATAGCATTTACTTTTTCTCTAATTGTTCACCCAGTTATTGTGCTCGATGTATTTTTAGATGAAGCTCAATTGCTGCTTCAGTTTCTAAATTGCAAATTCAGACCTAAATCTTTTTGATTATTATACAATATTTTTAATTGAAGTTTTTAAAATGTAAATACTTCATTGAATCATCATTACATAAAGCTACTCAATTTAGATTAGAATTTACAGGCACCGCTTAAATTAGTGTGATGTTAGTCTCTTTAAACCGATTTTAAGAAAATCTTGAAATTTGAGGAGTCCTTTATGGCTGCATGTGAATTATCTTGTATGTTGCAAATACGCTTTTTTTGACACCATGTTATTATTACGGATGTAAGAAATATCTTTTGAATACTTTTATTTACTTTAGCTACAAAGAACCTCGAAGGAAGCTTCAGAATCATAAACGGTGTTAATTTCACAAAACACTTAGAAGACCGGAATTCTGATGTCTTTAGAAACATGGCTGCCCAGATAGAAAACATGGTATGAGAAAAAAAATAGTTCCCCCCACTATAAGAAACATCGTGAAAAATTCCATTGACCAGCACACTAAGTTTGAGAATAAACAAAGCAATGTGAAGCATGAACAACAATTGGTTCAAACTATTGACAATATTGTATTCATGGTATACAATATATTTATTCTTTATAACATTTTGAATCATTATAATGATGCATTTCTTTAAAAATTTATTTTTTTATAGCTAGTAAACATTGAAATAAACGACTTTAAGTGAAGTAAACTTGTAGGCTGTTTTCAACTCATATGTTTAGTCTGTGCAAGCAACTTTCTTGACAATTTTTCCACAACATGTATTTTTATATAGGTTGATGTCATTTATGAAACCTCTTTATATTCAACAGTTTACCTTGGAGTAAACATTTTACGTTTTGAGTAAGTAAGATAAGAAGAAGTAAGTTTCAGTACACAAAATTAGTGCCCATTTAAAATATTAATTTTTTGTCAATAATTTCTCACAAAGTGGTTGAAGTAAGCAGTATTTTTAATGTTTCATATTTATTTTTAACTAGGAAAGGGAGTGTCATCGTTCATTTTAAACTTTCCTTTGAGAACGCAATAGAAATAAACGATAGCACTATAAATGATATCACTGAAGTATTGAAAAACGCCGAAGATAGAAACTTCACAATTGACAAAAACAGCACGATAATCAATGGTAAGACTGTATGACATATTTTCTGTATGCAATATTTGTGAAAGATCTATTTTACATAAATATTCTAAATTTTATCTAACTGTAAGGGATCCATTTTTGATAATCCAGCTAGTTTATAGCACCTACGCATAACTACCTAGCTAAATGAAAACAACACTCTTCTATTTTTGTAAATAAACTTCGTACATGTAGGGTTAGGCTTACCATCTTCAGAAAAATTACAAATGCATTACCATTTGCTTTTTCGATTGAATTTATACCTCTCAATGAAATGTACATTAAAAAAATATTGCGTGCATACAGTATATGTGAAGAGGTATTTTATTATCAATAGTCAAAACTATTTTAATAAAGTAATCTTTGCCTTTAGCTGAGATTATTTATTCATCACCTTGTGTTTGTTCACGTGGATAAGTATACTTTGTTGAAAAGTAAAACTCAAGTTGAAATATTTTTTAGATTTTGATGAATGTTCTTCTGGGCTACCACTAAAATGTCATGAAACAGAAAATTGCCATAATACATTAGGATCCTACAATTGTAGCTGTCGTAAATCAACAGGTGGAAATGGGATTGTTTGTGAAGGTAATGATAGTAAGGAATTTCTCTGATTCTTCTCATTCTTTTCACAAACACAAAGAATCCTTGGCCATTCTTCTCTCTTATTCAGTTCAGTTCTGCATTAACTGTACGACGTTTTTTTGCATTATATAGCCATTAATTCATCACGAGATAAAGATAAAGGTATTGAGAGCTATACTAAATAGCAAATTTTTGAAAAGCATTATTATGATAATGCATAAGATTATTCAAAATGATATCTTCAATCTTGTCATCGAATGGGGGATTTTTGGTTTCAATGTAAATAAGTGCTGAGTTTTGATTGAGTTGAGAATGTAAAAGCAAATTTCACGTCATTTTCACATAATTTTCATGTTGTTGACAAAAGATACTTCAAGCTAAATTATAAGATAATTACAAAATAATTTTGTGAAGTTATTGTGGGTCTCCTTCTTGTTGCTTAAATTTGTGCTAGCAATAGCTTTTTCTTTCAAGTAGCCAAATGTTTCTCAATATTTGTCTAGATGATTTTCCATGGATTATAGTAATAGGTATCATGGTTGCTTTAATAATATTTCTACTTTTCGTGATGATCTACAGAGAGAGAAAACACAGAAAGAATAACAGGTAGCATTGAAAGTTATGTTAATGAGAAACTATGGATATAATTTTCTCAAGAATAATTATAACAAAGAAAATATATTTCTGAAAAAACGAAATTCAATGAAGTTTCATTTTCACAATACAAATATAATGAAGAAAAAATTTGCAATTTTCTTACACTCGTGAGTAAAGCTTTTTGATCGAATGATTGTTGTAGACAAAAAACGTTAAAGATTAGAGAGCACAACGGTGATACTAACATGTATCCTCATCAAACGTCACAACTTGCTCAAACTCCAGAATCAGTTACAGGTATTTTTGATGGTCTGGGAATTATTAATCGTTATGGATCCCAACCACACATGGTTTCATTTAACCCTACAACTGAAGATAAGAAGAGGTGGAGACAGCCACAGGTGGAATACGTTTTATTGAATATTATGACACATTAATATTTCAAATTTATTGCAAATTCCTCATCAAAATTTATTTACAAGCTAACTATACCTTTATGTATATGTGCGTGATTGCATCATTTTAAAGGAAGTGTGAGTACGGAAATGTGAATTTGATGGGGAGAATTAGTTGATTGTGTGGTTTTAAAATCAAATATTGACAGTTCCTTGCTGGTCTTAAGCCCATCATTAAGTTCTGGTTAGTATAAGATTTACAATAAAGAATGGTTCTATTAGTGAAAGTCAGTTTCTGTTTAAGTGTGTGTTTGAGTAAAGTGTTTTGTAGTTGTTAAATATAAGATTTGTAATGTTTAAATTACATTTGTCGAAAAATGTTTTGTGATCGGTTGTGTTGTTGATTTGAGAAGTTATGTCTCGTACTTTTTGGCATTGTAAAAAGTGTTATGAAATTTCGTTTGGCATGTTCGGGAAGTCGAATTTTAAGGCATCTCTCAGCTTTACTAATGTAGGATTTGTTAAAGCCAGGCTAAGTAACTTGATATAAGACACATTAAAACGAGAGAGGAGGGAGATTTTGTCTTTAATGCAAGTGAATAAGCGACCTTTTTAGTATCAAAAATAATGATGATTTTTGTTATAGTGTCAATAAAAGAGTAATGAATACTGTCAAAGTAATGCATAATTTCTCACAAACTCTAACCACCGACCAAAATCAACCTAAAATATTCATAAAATTATCATCAAGGCTCACAAGACTCTAATTACTATAATTGTCTCAGAAAACGTCGCAAATGTCTCGTCAAACCGGCGTAATTTATCATTACTGAGTTAAGCGTGGGTCTTTTTTGGAGTATGCTTCTCTATGCTTCATAAAATTGTGGACAGGTTAAATGGATTTTGACACTATATGCCTTGCCAAATTTTGGGTCTCATTCTAATATAAAATTCGTTTTTAATATATAGCAATAGTGCTTCTACGAAATTATAAATTCGTTATTATTTTGTAGATGTCATTTGCCTTAATGGATGAAATTATTTAAAAATCATAGTTATATATAGAAATAAAGCTAAATATAGGTAACAGCCAGGAGTGAAATAAATCAAAGATAATAGATGAGCATAGCATACATGACGTAGCTACTGTATTTTTATAGATATTTTATAAATTGCAAAAAAGTGCTACGTTTAGCCATATAGCAGTGTTCTTGTATCGTTTTTTGTTATTATAAGCAATGAAATATAGGCAATAACTGGTTGTTTAAACCAAAAAAATAAAGTAACGCAGAGACCGGCTGTATCAAATTTTTAAAATACTTTTCTTTTCTCTAGATATTCGAGTACAGTCTCTGAGCAAAATGGCCACACAAACATGTAAATGGTTCAGATTTTTTACATTTTAGCATAAATGATTCTTATTTTTGAGCAAACTATTGCAGTATATAGAACCTGTTGCTATAAATTATTAAAGAAACAAAAAATTGTTAATATGTATGAGCCATGGACAGGCTTATGAAAACCGAGGAGACCTTTGAAATTAACACTATGGTTCAATAAACAAATGGGCTACTGAACTTTAAAAAATAATAATTTTCCTTGTAGCTCTAATAATTAATTTATCATCATGCATCAATATTATTCTGAGATAACAGGGAAACTTAATTATTAACTGTAAATACGAAAACGTCTGACAGACAGGTTTTTTCAGGATGTACTTTGCGCATCCATTGATGATGCAATTATGCAAATGCAATAAATTTATCATACTATAAATCATAACTGACATTTCTTTGGACCTGTCCTTTTTCAAAATTGACAAAATCACAGTTTTAGCTCGTTATTAAATAAAGTAGTATAAAGCAAAAGCAGTTTGAAGCTTTAAAATAAAGTATTTACTTCCTTGTTAAATAGAGCATTAAACAATAATTATTGTCGTTTTTATTTATCTTTGTTTAGAAGAAGATCGTAAAAATTTTTTCATGTCTAAACGCTATGTCAACTTAAGTAAAACAAACTTCAGTTTGAAATGTTGACAAAATCTCGGAAAATGCTTCAAAAACGATTACATGTTGTAATTTTCGTCCAAGTGCTGAGTTCAACACTTGGCTTAAATTTCAACCCGTTTGGCTGAAACAGGGTTAAATTGTCAGCACTGCATGGAGTTGAGCTCAGCACGAGGTAGAAAATTTGCCATACAATTGTGTGTCTGATATAACAAATATATCGTATAAAGACTCGGAGGACACTTCAACTCACTTAACGAGACTCGTTTCAGCTCAGGGTTGAAAAAGTGACCTTCCTGTAGCTCTATTAAGCAGTCCAATAATTATTAACAAACCAATAAGAATCCAGAATAAAACTGAAGCACGGGTCTTATTACGAACATAAACTAAAAATAGGAGGCTAGTACTCATATTTTACCATTACTTTGTGATGGTTATTGAAACTTGATCATCTAAACAATAAATATAAAGAGTTAGATAATGGATTGTTTTCATCTCTTGGTGTTATTATTGGTATGGCAGATTTCAAGTATTGATATGTCTAAAGTGAACAAGGCAAGATATATTGGATGTATTGTTTTAAGAAACTATAATGAAAACAAAGCATTTTTGATTTAGTAGCTGCGTCTTATTTGTGGGAATTGTTTTTCTTTGTAATCATGTTCAAGTAACAAAGATAAATTAACTTTTTTATAAATATATGTTTTCAATTGTCAAATACTCGCTCAAAGAAGTTTAATTTCTACTAAAGTAAGACGTTCATAGTAGAAATTCCCACGTAAAAACTCTTTTTTTAAACCTCTGTTCAGGCATATTTTTACATGTCTCGACATGTTTTGGCGGTTTATTTGTCATGTTTTATCGGATCAATGATTAATGGCGTCAAACCAAAAACGTAGACACGACACCAAAAATTTGTAGCGTAATCAAGTTTTAAAAACTTCATACACTTGCTATTTATTATGTTATGGTAAATTGGTATTAATAAGAAAGTCCAAACATATTGAATATTTGGTTTAATTTTAAGGACAAGTTTGTTATTAACTATAGTGTTCTAAATAACGTAAAAACAAGATGACATGACGAAGAATATAAGAATACATGCAAATTACTGAGCAAAAATCTTCACTAAATATTATACAAACTATTTTTTCCACTCTGAAGTGTAAAAACTGCGTAAAAAACAAGTGAGTGGTATCACAGAATATTATTACAAAAGTGAGAAATTTCTATGGAAAAAATCTTCATTCAAAAGAGCTCTTAGTACCTAAAAATAAGTATAAAAAAGAAGTAGGCCTACAACTTATAATGTATCATCTATTTCCACATATTGATTTATGATTTAGTGTGTATAGTTCAAGTAACCATATGTAAACTTACATGCTGTACTACTAATTGTAAAACCAAAGAAGTTAAATAATTTATTTCCTGTTGTTAAGGACAATTATTCAACCAGCTGCTGTGGAACAACAGGCATCCCAGGTGTCCCCGGTGTACCTGGTGCTCCAGGAAGAGACGGGGTAAAAGGAGATGCTAGATCACCAGGAGAAAAGGGAAATCCTGGAAAATGTAATTTAAAATTTACTAAAGGTGAGAAGGGAGATCCTGGAAGTTCCGGGTTACAAGGTATGAAAGGTGAAAAAGGAGAATCTAACGCTCATGCAAACGATGAAATATTTTTGTCTACATGGAAGCAATGTGCTTGGCGGAGAGACGACAATAAAGATCATGGATTGATACAGGTATGATGAGCAAAACAAAATAAAAATTGTTTCATCATACTTGATTTGTTTTTTTATATAAAGAACAAAGGGAAATGTTTATTTTATTATTTGGATGAAACTTGAATAATTAAAATTTTAGTCTTAAATTTATTCGGAAAGTTTGGCGTAACTTAATGGGAAATTATCTTCCTGAATTTAATTTTAGAACTGTGTATTCACGAAAAAGTTTCACAACACTTCCCTTCAAGTGTTTTATGGAGGAACCTTGCGAATTTCAGGGTGCAATAGTTGTTGCAAACGTTGGTATTTTACTTTCAATGGAGTTGAATGTAAAAACCCTCTTCCTATTGATGGAGTTCTTTACATGGGCAATGGAAAGTCACAAAATATCCATCGACATCGTCACATTGAAGGATATTGTAACAAAATCCATAAAGGAAAAGTGCAAGTTGGATTCTGGGTTGGCAATTGTGTTAGTTATGGTAACGCAGATGCATACAGTGGATGGAAATCAGTTTCTCGTATTGTTATTAAAGAGGTTCCTCCTCCACAAGAATAATTCCTTTATTCACTTTTCTATTTAACTCTATTTTATGTTAAAGCTTCCATTTAGTTAAAAATTCATGTGTATTTTATGACAATAATTCAGTTTTGTAATTTTAACGAGTTGAGTAAGTCTATTATTTACTCCTCAATGAATAATACTATTAATGCCACATAAAACGAAAATAAGTTGATTAAAATTTTCAATTCAATCATATAGAAGATGAATTATTCTTACGATGACACACATGAATAAATACTTGTTTTAAGGAACTGTTTCACTCGGATCGTTGCTGCAAGTGAAAATCAGGCCAAATAAAAATTATTGCAATTTCAGAATCTTTTCTTTTTAGTACATGGAGTAAAGAGAGACGCAGTATCAGCAAAATAAGAGACGCTGCGAAACCAGGAAGTTCTGGTTTTAAGGGAGGGAAGAATAATTATATGATGCAAACATAAACATATTTACAAAATGGAAACAATATGCTTGGAAGAAATATGACTAGAATGATAATAAATTACTTTAGTTATAACTACATAACGTATTGTGGACTATTGCGAATTTGTCAGTTTACAAGAAAGTAAGCAATTTCAGACGTACTCAAAAAATTGCTTGATTAATCTTTTGTGAAGGTTGTCAATAGCATCATTGGTAAACTCAAACTAAATGAAGATCATACATTTTGATCTAAGTTTTTTCTCATAGCATTTGGACCCCTTTAAATTTTACTTATGCCTTATTGCTTTGCAGTGTACGTCAAAATAAATAATAGCTTCTCATTTTTAAATTCAAATTGCTTTCAGAAAAGCACTATTGGTTTTTAATTTATAAAGAATATAATTTTACCAATGTATTATTCTCTAAGTTGATTAGAAATGTACGTATACGCCAAAATGTGCTGCAGTAATTTATTTTGACGTAATTAGGACCCGCCACTGAATCAACATTTCAACGAAGAACAAGGAACACATATCATCTGGGTAATGTATGATTATTAGATCGTACTTACTATTTCGCAAAACACTGATTACACGACGATTAGTGAATTTCACTTTAGTCTACATTTAGAAAAGAAGGTGTCAGTAATAAGTAAGCCTGTTGTAAATTATATGCACTTACATTGGATTTAAAACCAAAAAATTCTAGATCCGTCCCTTAATCACAACGACAAAAGATGCTCTGAAGGACTTAAACTGTTCAATGAATAAAACAAATTGCTTCTAAAAAATTATGCATTCATCTCCCTTGTTTGTTCCATGCATAGGAATTGTGGAAGATTGATAAATTGGGTTGGGGTCATGTTCATACATGCATGCTATAATCCTAAGTAAACAAGGTATTTCAAAGACCAACAAATTAACAAGCAATGATAAATCATCACAAATGATTACGTCTATATTCATTTATGTACATTTATGTACTTTATGTATGTATATTTCATTTATAGGAAGTTTGTTTATTTGATTTTCCGTAATTACAATACTCGATGCGTTAGAGCAGAACATAAATATTGATAAAAAATAAGAAGAAAATACACAAAAACTACAATTTCATCCCGACAAGCCAGTTCAACTGCCTACAATCATCTGTCATCTACCAAGCAAATGTTAAACGTAAGGACACGAACACAACTGAGACCTACATCGGACTTATAGAAAATGAATTTAAGACTTGACACAGGAACCACACTGCCTCTACCGAACTCAGTAACACATATGGACGCTAAAAGACAACAACATCGCTCACGATATCTCATGGGACATCATTACTCACAACAAATCGTACAACAGCGCCAACAAAAGATGCAACCTATGACTGAAGTAAAAAATCTTCATCACCTACCAACCACAACTATCATCACTCAACAAACGTAACGAACTTGTCTCCTTTTGTCGCCATAGACACAAGACACTTTTATCCAATTTGTAATCGTACATCTAGCTTATTATGTACTTCTACCTTAATTTTTACCCTAACTTCCTATTGTATATAAAGTTAAACCCATGCTTTTGTATTCATTTATTATTGTCCCCCGAAGAATGAAAAGTTACGAAACAGGCTATTCGGGATGAAATTGTAGTTTTTGTGTATTTCTTCTTCTTATCAGTATTTCATTTATATGTACTTAAATGTTATAAATACAATGAATAAAAAATTTCCTTGCTAACTGAAATTAGCGTATATAAGTTTCTCCGTTATGTAGAGCAACAGATATCCCAGGTGTCCCCGGTGTACCTAGTCCTCCAGGAAGAGACGGGGTAAAAACAGATGCTGGATTACCTGGAAGTTCTGGGTTACAAGGGTTGAAAGGTGAAAAAGGAGAATCTGACGCTCATGCTAACAATGAACTATTTTTATCTATATGGAAATAATGTGCTTGGCAGGAATACGACATTAAGAATAATTAATTGATGCAGGTGAGCTAGAAAGGTTCAATTATTTCTGATAATCTTTAACTTTAAGTATTTTACTTTTAGGATTTGGATAAAATTTGAATAATGAATTGTTCTTAAATGATTTGAAGAGTTTAGCAAAACTTAATAAGAAAGCTTCTTCGAAAATTTTCATGGAGTAATACATTTTAGAACAACTCTATTTTAAACGATTCCATTTGAAACAAAGACCAAAGAAACACCCAACCATTTTGACTGTTGT